AGTATAGAGGTTTGAACTCAGAGGCTCACACTGCTGGGCAGGTGCTTTTACCGCTTGAGCCACTCTGACAGCCCTTTTTTTGTGATGGGTTTTTTTGAGCTAGGTCTTGTGAAGTATTTGCCTGGAGATGGCTTCGAACCTCAATCCTCCTGATCTCTGCCTCCTGAGTAGTTAGGATTAAAGGCATGAGCCACTGGTGTGAGGCAGTGCTGTGGTTTAAACTCAGGGCCTCACACTTGCTAGGTGGGCACTCTACCACTTGAACCACACCACCAGCCCCAGACTTAAATTGTTATGTAAGTTGTTTTTGCACTTTTTGATATTGTCTACTGATTTCTGTGAAGACTATATGAAGGTTTAGCTTTTATCTTACTTGCCAGGCTCTCCTGTAGTTTTTGTTTCTATCAGCAATCTGCATGTACCATATTAGAACTGTGACACAGTTATTGAAGCTGATTCAAGAAGTGTGCTGTGATTACAATTAATTTCTTAGGCCTCCTGTTTTTCTGTGGTAAGTACTGCTTGATTTCTAATTTGCTTAATCTTTTTAGGTAAGTGAAACATAATCTGAATATTTCATTTCCACATCCAGATAAGAATACTTTTAAAAATGCAGCATCTACAGAATATACAAATAACATGGTTTCTTTAACAAATGATTGACTTGAGAAAAAAGTGGGGGAAGGAGAGAAAATTGTTATAAAAGATTTGAGAAACATAGCAACCAAATGCCACGTGGCCTTGTTGGCATCCTCATTCAAACCACCCACAGCAAAAAGGCATTTTAAGACAACTGGGGGAAGGAATAAGCAGCAAGGTGTGGTGGCTCACACCTGTAATCCTAGCTACTTGGGAGGCAGGTTCAAGGTCAGCCAGAACAAAAAGTTTGTAAAACCCCAGTTTGAGTTTGTGGTCCTAGCTACGCAGGAGGTAGAGATTAGGATGGTCATGGCTTGAAGCCACCCTAGAAGAATAGTTCATGAGACCTTATCTTGAAAATACCCAAGACTAAAAGGATTGGCAGAATGGCTGAAGCGGTAGAGCACCTGTCTTGCAAGCACAAGGCCCTGAGTTCAAGCCCCAATACTGGAAAAAAAAAAAAAAAGAAGTGTGTGTGTGTGGGGGGGGGGATCCACAGCTATAGACATAGGGTTTTTTTTGTTTGTTTTTCAATTTTCTTTTTTTATTATTATTTTATTATTCATATGTGCATACAAGGCTTGGGTCATTTCTCCCCCCTGCCCCCACCCCCTCCCTTACCACTCACTCCACCCCCTCCCTCTCCCCCCCACCCCCTCAATACCCAGCAGAAACTATTTTGCCCTTATTTCTAATTTTGTTGTAGAGAGAGTATAAGCAATAATAGGAAGGAACAGGGCTTTTGCTGGTTGAGACAAGGATAGCTACACAGGGAGTTGACTCACATTAATTTCCTGCAGACACAGGCTTTTGAACCTGCTAATCTTCCCAGGCTGCTCCAGTGAGGCTGAGAGGCTGGAGGAAGACGTGAGCTGGGGACCAGGTCGGAGCAGGTCCACAGGTGGTCAGCACATGAAAGGCCCAGGCACATGCTGGCTGACCCGAGACCTCTCTGCACCGGCAGTTGCAGGTGTCTCCCTGCTACTCTCCATCTATAGTCTGAAGCCTCAGGGCCGTGATCACAGGAGACCTTGATGCCAGCTGCTGAGGGGTTATAGATCTTCCTTCAGTCCCCATCTTTTTGACAGATTGAGATCTAATCCAGTTGTGTCACCTACTTAGTGCACTATCCAGTGGTTTGCAGGACATTCACAGATGTGCGCACCTAGCACCACATTCAGCTTTGTTTTCTATTCATTTTTTGTGTCCTGGGAATCAAATCCAGAACCTTGCCTATGGTAGGCAAGATCAATGAGCCACATCCCCAGCTCCTATCACATTCAGTTTTGTTTTGTTTTGTTTTTTTTTTGGTGGGACTGGGGTTTGAAATTAAGGCTGTGAACTTGCAAAGCAGGCACTCTACTGTTTGAGCCTCACCTCTAGTCCATTTTACTCCAGTTATTTTGGAGATGGGGTCTTGTGAACTCTTTGCCCAGGCTGGTCTTGAACTGCAATCCTCCCAATCTCAGTCTTCCAAGTAGCTAGTGTTACAGGCATGAGCCACTGGTGCCCGGCTCACATTCAGTTTTAGAGCAGTTTCATTACCTACGATACTTGGGATCTGGAGTGCCAGTCAAAGGTCCATGTGTTGAAGGTTTGATCCACAGTCTGTGTCACTTAGTGGCAGGTAATAGAACCTTTGAGGAGTGAGGCCTAAGTGGAGGAAGTCAGGTCTTTGGGGAGTGTGCCCTCAAAGTGGATACCAGGACCCCAGCCCCTTCCTCCTCCTTTCTCTGCTTCCCAGCAGCTGTGAATTGAGCAGCTTTGTACCACCACGTGCTCCCACCATGATGTGCTGCCTCACCACAGGCTCAAAAGCAACAAAGCCAGTCATGGAGTGAGACCTCTGAAACTGTGAACCAAAATAAACCTTTCCTGGTTAAGTTGATTTCCTTAAGTATTTTGTCACAACAATGGAAAGATAACATATTACCTGAAGAAGAAATTCAGACCCATTAGCAATCACTTCCCATTGTCCTTCCAAGTTCTAGCAACCACCAATCTACTTTTATCTCCATGGATTTGCTAATTTTGGACACCTCATTAAAAATGGAAAGGGCTAGAGGTGTAGCTCAGGGGTAGAGCAATTTCCTTGCCTATGTGAGACTCTGATTTCCATCCCCAGCATCCTCAGCAAAACAATTTTAAAAAGGGACATTGTGGCCTACAGAAAGTGGGTTCATTGTGATATAACATCATTACCTCATTCCTTTTACCACTGAATGATATTCCACCACATGGATACACCACATTTTATTTACCCACATATTATTTGCATGGTTGGGTTGTTGCATACTTTGTGACTTTGAGTAATGCTGCTATGAATATGTGTGTAAGTTTGGATGTTTTCATTACTAGTTCCTTACTGCTATTTAGATTGTTAGCTACTTCTCCCTGACTTTCTGCCGTTTACTGTATTTGTTATTTCCATAATCATTAGCAAATGGCAATAAATATCTTAGTGTCTGCCTCTGAGCATGTCTATATGGCAGCATCTGTGACTAGTTGTTCCAATGGCACATTGTTCGAGGCAACAGTAAGTCCCGGTTGCAGTTTGTATATTTAAAACTCATACTCAAAAATGTCTTCTATAAAATAGTTCAGGCTGAGGGCTTGTACATGTGTCTAAATGAGCAGATGAGTTCGTTCACCATCCAGCCACTTAAATAGCAGTCACCCTGCTGGTTTCACCTGACTACTAGTGGAATTTCTGGGTCACATGGAAACTTTTAAGTTTTTGAGGACTGCCAGCCTTTCCCAAAGTGGTTGCAGCATCTGATCCCCTTTTGACAGATGGGGAGACTGAGGCCCAGAGAGGTGCAGTGTCTTACATAGGGCCATGCATGAATGAATGAGAGCAAGTGCTAATCATCTATGTGAACTCAACGCCACTCCCCGCCCCCTAGACTGTCTCATTCTCCTCCACCCTCCATATCCACATCGGCCCCTCCAGCCAATTCCCAGAGCAGTCCCTTCACCTTAGTCCCTCCCAAAGGCTCCCCAGCAGGATAGTCTGCGACCTCTTAAAACTCATCTGCTTTCTGGCCCTCAGAATCTCTAAAGGTTTTGTGGCCTCAAAAAAATGTATTGTCTGGTGTAGCATACCTGGAATCCCCAGAACTCGGGAGGCTGAGGCAGGAGGATAGTGAATTTGAGGCCAGCCTGGGCTACATAGTGAGAGCATGTCACAAACAAGTGTCCATATCTTATGTCTTTTTTTTTTGCTGGAGATGGAACCTAGGGCCTTGTGACGCTATGCTCATGCTCTACCACTGAGCTACACTCCCAAGCCTCTCTTGAGTTCTTTGAGGGCAAAGGTCAGATCTCTTTTATCTTGAGACTCTCCAGTACTGGTCCAAAATAATACTCCTAATTGTTGATAGGGACTGATAGTGACCCACAGAGGCAACACTTTCACAGGCAAAGAACAGAAAACAGCATGTTTAATTTATAGAGGCAAGAGTCGTTTGTTCTTGATTACAGTGCTCAACATGCAAATTACATCCATCTCTTGGTACAGAAATGGCACCGTGCCACCTCCCTGGGACCGTTAATTTAGGCAGAAGTATTCCTGGGCACCCTGTTCGATGTATCTGCCAGCAGCTGCCCTCTCTCCCTCTGACAGTGATATGTAAATTCGTTCCTGTCCAGAGTAACTGGGAAATGAGGTCTTTTGTTCAACTTAGTAGCCATTCACAGTACAGCACCATTTTGGACAATGGATTTGATATTTTCTGAAGTCCAGATCAAGAACTTATATTATGTAACCTGTCTTTGATGATCCCAAAGGCACTTGAGAGTCTGGCAGTGCCTCAGGGTCACCGATTCACTGGACAGTGTTAAGAGCTCTGAAAGGTTTGCTGAGTCTGGCCTTGCCCTGGGTATTCACTCGGAAAAAGAGTTTATTTCAATAAAGTTTTGACACATTTGTTTTGTGTCATTCAGTAGGCTCAAAATGAACAGTACAGGGAGATTTATTTTGCTCATCCACAGTTTCTAGATTTTCGGTAGCAAAAATGTATTATTTTTGTAAAGAAAGTTAAAAATACTAACAAAAAATTAAAGGTAAAATGCAGGGTGTTTGGATCCCAAGAAAACAGGAGTTTACAGTGGTTAGAAGTCAGGCTGACTGAACATAGTTACTAGTAATAATTGACAATGCTTCTTCCAAAGACTGAAGTTTTGTTGAGTTTTGATATATTATCAGTAGCTTGAGGTTTCCCCTTTCTCTGACTTTCATTACTAGAGTCACCAGAAGGAAATTTTAAGACACGTTTTAAATAGCACGTCGCCCAGCATACTCCTCTTTCCTCTAGTTTCCAACATAAGGGGAACCCAGCTCAGACAAGAACGAGCCTTGCTGCACGCCCGCCAGCCCTTGCACCCTCCTTTTTATTCTCAGAGGTTCCAGCTCCAACGAAAGTTACAAGGTTAAGCGCTACTCCGAGTTCCTGGCACAACTATTCCCTGCTTGATCTTCAAAAAATAGATGTCTGTAATTCCTTTTTGAACATGCCTTCGAAGTGAAGGTCTTTGGCCATGAGCTCTTCTTCGACATCATCTAGTGCCCACTGGTGATCTGTCAGCTCCAAAGCTTCCCACTCTGTCTGCAAAAGAGAAGCAGGGCAGGGGGAAAACGGCTTGTTACTGACAAGGACTGACCTGTAACCAACAGCCTATCCTGGCTGGAAGCTGAGCTAAGTTGTTCACGTGTATAGGCTCATTGGATCCTGTAAGGCAGGTGCTGCGTGCCGTCCTTCCTCCTCCCCCTCAATGTACAGATAAGGAGACTAAGGCTAAGGGCAGCTTCACTGTGTTCAAGGTCACTGGCACTGGTAGCTAATGTAGCTGAGATTTAAATTCACTGCTCACTCAGTCTATCAGCTCACTGGGTACCTGCTTTGTGCCCCACGCCACTCTGAGAATGTACAATAGGTAAATCAGTGCTTTTGATTCTTAACTCTTCTCATCTGGCAGGAAGTATCTTCAAAGGGCCTAAGAACATTTCCTGCAACCCTTTGTACAAATACATAATAGTATTTCATTATAACTCGTGGGAATCTAGTAATGTGGTATTGATGATTTCATCATTAGAAGAATTTGAAGTGTGAACTATAAAACTACATTGAATGTAGTTATTTGCATGTGAAGTAAAACAAATCTGCAGAATGTTCTCAGAAATTACATTTCTCTAATATACTATTAGTCTAAATACTTTTGCCTTAGTGAGTTTGTAAAAATTGTTTTATGAAACTTAATACAATGTTAGCAATACAAATGTTGGCTTAAGGGTGTGGTTTTTATAATTCACTTGGCATAAATTTCATCCCATCCCCTTTTTTTGGCAGTACTGGTGTTTGAACTCAGGGCATCACACTTGTTAGGCAGGTGCTCTACCACTTGAGTCACCCCACCAGCCCTTTTTTTGGTGATGAATTTTTTTCAAGATAGGGTCTCACAAACTATTTGCACAGGTTGGCTTCGAATTGCAATCCTCCTGATCCCTGCCTCCTGAATAGCTAGGATTACAGGCGTGAGCCACCGGCATGCAGCTAAATTTTACCCTTTTAATGGATACAATTTAGTGGTTTTTAGTATATTCAGAACCATGTGCAACCATTATCACTACCTAATTCCAGAGTATTTTCACAAAACCCATCAAAACAAACTCCATACCAAACAACTGACGGCTCAATTACCCAATGACTAGCAACTCCTCCTTTATATTGGCGGTATTCAGGGTTGAACTCAGGGCCTCAAGACTGCTTTATTTCCTGAATCTTTTGATTTACTTTCCTGAGCGGGGCCATTTGTCATCACCTTTCACGTGGCACGTTTTTAACGCTCACCACTGTTTAGCATGCTGAGCACTTGCCTCCTCTTTGCAGCTGGCTGCTCCTCCACAGGACGCACTCCAGTGCATATGTCCCCATTTTGTTTAGCCACTCATCAGATGATGCACATTTGGGTCAATCCTACTTTCTGATTGTTAGATTTAATCTTTTGCATCTTTTTTTTTCTCTGTACTGGGGATTGAACTCAGGGCCTCATGCTTGCTAGGCAGGCACTCTGTCATTTGAGCCACCCCGCCAGCCCCTCTCTTTAATTTTTTGAGGAACAGCTAACAACTGCTTTCCAAAGTGACTCTACTTTTGTTAGCAATGTATGGGCCTTCCAGTTTCTCCACGCACTGTCTGATGCTTTCATGTATCTTTTCTGTTATAGCTGTCTGAGTGGGTGTGAACTGGAACTCCCATGCTGATGTGCATTCTCTGATGGCTAGTGACATCGAGCCTCTTTTCACACACTTACTGGGTACACCTTCTTTGGAGAATGTCTATCAAAAGTCCTTGCCCATTTATAAAAATTGGATTGCCTTTTTTTGAGTGGTACTGGCGTTTAACTCAGCCTTGGGCTTGCCAGGCAGGTGCTCTACTACAAAAGGGATCTCCCAGCCCTTTTTGACTTGTTATTTTTCAGATAGACTCTGAAGTTCTTTTGCCCAGGGCAAGCCTCAGACCACAATCCTCCTACCAACAGCTTCCCACATAGCTAAAATCGCAGGCTCATACCATCACACGGGGCTTTCTTTTTAGTTCTTTTTCAGGTAAGGTCTTATACTTTTTGCTGGGAACCAGCCTCAGATCTTGATCCTCCTACCTTCCTCACACCTGGGATTACAGGCTGTGTCACTACCAGCAGCTTCTTTTGTTGAGATGGGGTCTTACTAACTTTTTGCAACCTTTTGCCTGGGCTGGCCTCCCAAATCTCCACCTCCCAAATAGCTGGGATTACAGGGAGTGAAACACGGGCCTGGCTAAACTGTCTTTATTGTTGAGGTCCAAGAGGTTTTTTTTTTTTTTTGTGGTACGGAGGCTTGAACTCAGGGCCTACACCTTGAGCCACTCCAGCAGCCCTTTGTTTGAGATGGGTGTTTTTGAGATAGGGTCTTGCAGAACTTGGGCTGGACAATCCTCTTGATCTCTGAATTGCTAGGATTACAGGCATGAGCCACCGGCAGCCGGTTCTCAGAGTTCTTTATATATTCTCTATGCTAGGCACTTAGATTCTGATGGTTGTCCTTTTACTTTTGCAATAGTGTTGAGGCGCAAAAGTTCTCTTTTTCACACACTTTCATTTTTTCCCTTTTTGTGGCTTGTGGTTCCAATGCCATATTTAAGAAATTGTCTAAATCAGAAAGATTTAGGCCAATGTTTTCTATGAAGAGTATTCTAGCCAGGTGCCAGTAGGCCACAGCTGTAATCCTAGCTTAGGAGGCAGAGATCAGGACGATCACTGTTCAAAGCCAGCCTGGCAAATAGTTTAAGAGGCTCTATTTTGAAAATAACTAACACACAAAAAAATGGCTGGCAGAATTGCTCAAGTGGTAGAGTGCTTGCCTAGCAAGCATGAGGCCCTGAGTTCAAAACCCAGTACTGCCCCCGCCCCCAAAAAAGCATATTCTAGGGCTGGGGTATGTGGCTGAAACCATACAGTGCCTGCCTAGCAAGTGCAAAGACCTAAGTTCAAACTCACTAACACCACCAAAAAAAAAAAAAAAAAAAAAAGTATATATATAGCCAGGTATGATGATGCATGCCTATAATTTTAGCTACTTGGGGAGGTGAGAACAGGAGGATCTTGAGTTTGAGGCCAGCCTGGGCATAGGTAGCAGTGAGACCCTGTTTAAAAAAAAAAAAAAAAAAAAGGCTGTGTTCAAGGTAGAGCGCTTGCCTAGCATGTACAACGATATAGGTTCAATCCCCAGCACCACACACAAAAAAAAGAATATTCTAGCCTTAAACTCTTATATTTAGTTCTTTGATCCATCCAAATTTTAATTTTTTATTATGGTAAAATAGCATAACATAAAATTTGGTATGTTAAAATGATCTAGAAAAAAAGGAAGTGAAACAATTTAGGTATACATTCCAGTGGCGTTAATCACACTCACAATGTGTGTAGCCACCTCCATTACTTCCAAATTTTTTATCCCCTGAAATCGAAACTACCCAGTGAGCAATAATTCCTTCTGTGTTCCCTGCTTCCAGCATCTGCCAACTGCAATCTACTTTATGTCTCTATGGACTTTCACACTGCACATATTTCATGGAATAGAATCATATTTGAGTTTTCGACTCATCTTTTTTTTTTGGCAGCACAGGAGTTTAACTCAGGGCCTCACGCTTGCTAGGCAAGTGTGCTTACTGCTTGAGCCACTCCACCAGCCCTTTCTGATGAAGGGCTTTTTTGAGATAGGGTCTGGTGAGCTATTTGCCTGGGCTGGCCCTGAACCTCGATCCTCCTGATCTCTGCCTCCTAAGTAGCCAGAATTATAGGCATGAGCCACTGTGCCCAGTAGTTCTTAGTTTTTAATCATGAAAAATTAGTGAGATTTTGCTGTATAAAAATTATATTGGACCTGGCAACAGTGGCTCATACCTGTATGAGAGGTATAGATCAGGAGGATTGTGTGTTCATGGCCAGCCTGGGCAAAAAGTTCATGAGACCCTATCTCAAGCAATGGATGGGTGTGGTGGGGCGTGCCTGTCATTCCAGTTAGGGGGGGAAGCACAAATAGGATCGAGGTCCAGGCCAACTCAGACATAAAGTGAGACTCTATCTCAAAAATGACCAATGTGTAATGCTGGTGGAATGGCTCAAGTGGTAGCACCTGCCTAGCAAAAAGAGGCCCTGAGTTCAACCCTCAGTATCAAAAAAAAAAAAATCAATACCGGACTTTATAAATTTCAGAATCCTGTCATGACAAGGCTCTAAATACTGATTTTGTTTATTTATTAATTGATGGTCTGGGAACTGGACCCAGGTCCTCTCATAAGCTAACCACATGTTCTACCACTGAGCTACATACCCATCCACTAAGCATGAATTTTCTTTTTTGAAACAGGATCTCACTTTGTGGCCCATGCTTCATTGAACTCAGAATCCTACTTCAACTTCCTCTTTTTTTTGTGTGCGTGTGTTTGGAGGTACTGGAGTTTGAACTCATGCATGCTGGGCAGGTGCTCTACCACTTAAGCCATTCCACCAGCCCTCTGCCTCAACTTGTTTGGAGATACTGGGGTTTGAACCATGTGGCACCATGCCCAGCCATTACTTGAAGTGGAGTCTCTTAAATTTTTTGCCCATGATCCTCCCGGATAGTTAGGACCACAGGCTTGAACCACCATGCCTGGCATTTTTTTTTGAGGCAAGGATCTCGCCGTGTTGCCCAGGCTAGTCTTGAATTCTTGGGCTCAAGCGATCCTTCTGCTTCAGCCTCCTCAGTTGGGACTACTGGTATGTATACAGCTATGTGACACTGTGTCTGGCTTGAGAATTCATTGTTAAAGTGTAATAGTGCCTTTACCCTCAAGAAGGGATAGTCCAAGAACACCAAGTTCTTGGTGAAGACCTACAACTACAAAATAGTAGCAAACTCTATAAACTCTATACTGTTTCCCCTATTCATACATACGATGATAAAGTTTAGTTTGATTTTTTGTGGTAGTGGAGTTTGAACTCTGTGCTTTCTTGGCAGGCCCTCTATCCCAGCCCTAAAGTTTAGTTCATAAATTAGGCACAATAAGAGATTAATAATAATAACCAGCAATAAAATAGAAAAAATATAAGAATATGCTATATGTGAATATGGTCTGTCAGCTGCCATGAGGTGGGTGGCACATACAGTTTGGATGCACTGGACAATGGATGGTTCATATTCCGGGTGGGATGGAGCACAAGATTTCATCCCAATACTCCGAACAGTGTACAATTTGAAACTATGAATTGTTTATTTTTGGAGTTTCCATTGAGTATTTTTGGACTGCGGTTGGCAGTGGGTAACTGAAACTGCAGAGAGTGAAACTGGGGGTTAAGAGAGGACTACCGTAACTCTCAGATATCACCCTTCAGAGCCTCCCTGCAGTCTGGAGAGTGAGTGGTACGCACCTTGAAGGCTTTGTTGGTGTCTGCGGGCATGGCCATGGCTGCTCCAGTCATCTGCTCCTGCATCATTCGTGACTGGTCAGCAGCTGCAGCATAAGAAAGGCCTAGTAAATGCCGAGGCTCAGCAAGCAGCCTAAACCTTTGTGGAAGAATGGGCATCCCCCATACAGCGCCTACTGCTGCTTGCTAGGGGGTGCAAGAACTGGACACTGACTGGACTCGCAGCCCACTGGCTGTGTGACTCTGAGACAAAGTCACTTTGCTTCTCCTGAAGAATGGTAAACAGAACTAAATTTCACCAGGGACAGGAGCCACCAGTTATTGTGCAACTGTTGCATGCCAGGCGTTTCACTCAGTGCTTTGTGCACATACCTCATCTCTCCCAACAGCCCTGCAGGTGATTACTAAGCTTCCTATCTACGTAAAAATAAACAGGATCAGAGTAGTAAATAACTCGTCTGAGGTCCTCACCACTGAATGAGAGTTAAGTTTAATACTAGCAAGGACTCTTAATTAATAAACTAATCCAACCAGGCCTTCTCTGGCTCTGTTTATGCTATCCTGGGTCCTTCACAAAAGGTGTAGGCTCTAGGCAACCAAATAGTGTACTGGTAATTACTGGGAGAAATTCGGTTTCATTTTGAGCCTTGGAATTTTTAAGAACTTTTCAGAGTACCTCAGAAATCTCAGGAATGAATCACTGTGTTTAACTATTCTAATAAATGGCAAACTCAATGATTTTCCTTGTTCTAGCATGGACAATTAACATATTGAAGTATTTGCTTATTAAACCTGTCAGGCGTCTTACCATTATCTTGGCCCAGAATCAGAGAGTAAATGCTCCGAAGCCCAAATACATTAAGGAAGTACCAGGATGCAGAACTCACCCTAGCAAAGCAAAAGGGAAACAGTGTAGGTATTTATTTCAGAAATTGTTGTAGTTTACACTTTTGAACAATCTAGAGTTACTCAGCATATATAAAAAATTATCCAAAGCCGGGCACCAGTGGCCCATGCCTGTAATCCTAGCTACTTGGGAGGCTGGATCAGAAGGATTGTGGTTTGAGGCCAGCCCAGGGAAAGTTCGTGAGATCCCCCAATCTCCAAAATAACTAGAGCATAATGGACTGGAGGTGTGGCTTAAGTGGTAGCCTGCTTTGCAAGTACGAAGCCTGAGTTCAAACCCTAGTCCCATCAAAAAAAAAAAAAAAAAAAAAAAATCACTCAGGATAAGGTCTATGTAGTCAAAGCACAACCAAAAAAAGAAACATAAAAAGCATATTAAATAAAAAGCATAATAAATTTAGGCCTCCTATCCTAAATTCCATTCCCTAGAGGAAGTTAGGTGTTGATGTGTTTCATACTTAGCAGAAAGGATTGGAGGTGGCTTTCAGGAAGTACATGCTCAGTGACAGCTACTGGGAAAGCATTCCAAGTTTTGAATTTTATCACCGAGGCCTCCTTAGGTTTCCCACCTTTCCCCACATATACTCACATATAATAAATATACTCACATATAATAAAAGTGAGGGAGTATGAAAAATGAACATTAATGGAAAGATTCTGTACTTCATTCTGATGCTTGAGTCATGTAACAGCAGGAGTCTGTTCTGGTTACTCCATTAGGCTGCAGGTAAGTAAATGACCTGCTTGTATCAGGAGATCAGGCGAGTATGTCAGTCACACACCTGCCCAGATGCTGATAAAAAAGACAATTCTTCTCCAACCATAAAACTCTTGCTTAGCCCAAGTGAGCCTGGCAGGTTTGATAGAATCGTGTGACTCCTGTGAAGTACAGCATTTCTTCTCTAGAACAGCTGTCACAGCTGAGACTCTCCCATCTGCCCTGCCCTGCCCCTCCCATAAACCAGAGATGACTCTGCTCAAGCCAGGTAGGTCAGAATTGCCACTAATGGCCCCTCTGCCCATCCTCTGCCTCTTCTTACTTGGCCTTGTTTTTAGGCCAATCTTTGAGAAGTCATAGACAAAATACTGTGGAAGGACAATGTGAACCAGCATTACTAGGTTGCAGGTACTGCATCAATTTCCTAACAGGTTTCTGGATTTGGAGTTTATTATTCTGTTATAAAAAAATAGAGTGGTAAACAGTCTGTCCTAAGTGCTGGCTGTGGACAGACTATGTATTCCAATGTTAATTCTTCCACAGACTTCAAGGGTTGCTGTGAGGACAAATACATGGAAAATACCTAGCATAGTGACTGGAACAAAGGAGAATTAGAATACAAACATTACTATAGTTGGATCTAAAATGTCCCCAAAGGCCCATTTGTTGAAGGCATGGTCCCCAGCCTATGGTGCTGTGAGGAGGTGGAGCCTTTAGGAAGTGGGGGTTAAGGTCACTGGAGGTGTGTCTTTGAAGGCGATTGTGGAAGACTGGATTCTTCCTCTTTCCCTTTCCTATTCTGACCATGAGGTGAGCACTTGGCTTCACTGAATGCTGCTGCCATGATGCACTCACTCCCTACAGGCCCAAAGCACTGGGCCCAACTGATCTAAGACCAAGGCCTCCAAAACTGTAAGCCAAAATAAACCTTTTCTTTTTATAAGCTGGTTACTCAGGTATTTGTTATAGTAATAGAAAGCTGACTAACATAAACATCCACTCCCATAAGCTACATGGCATTGCTAAAAAGGTTTGTCTCCGCCAGGTATACTGGTGCATAATAATCTCAGCACTTAGGAGGCTGAGTCTGGAGGACCAAGGGTTAGAGGACAGCTTGGGCTTCATAGTGAGACCCTGTCTCAAAACACCAAAGGCTGGAGATGTAGCTCAGACTTACAGCACTTGCCTAGCATGTGCAAGGTCTTGGGTATGATTCCTAACACTACAAATAAAATAATAAAATACAAAGGGTTGCCTGGACAGAGGTTTTTTTTGGTGGTACTGGGGTTTGAACTCAGAGATTAATGCTTGCTAGGTAGGCACTCTGCCACGTCAGCCACACCTCCAGCCCCTGGCCAGAGTTTCTGACTTACCTTTCAACTTTTTTTGGGTCAGTACCTCCTGTAGTTCCAAGCCCCAAGAAAAAAGGCTGACACATTCTCTCCTTTTCCAAGACTCATGTAAAAACTGCTTTAAACCAACAGTGGCATTTTGAGTGGAGTTTTGATGAAAATATAAAAACCCTTTAAAATCCTATTCCAGTGACATATGCTCATTGGAAACCCTGACCTTTAAGAGACAATGGTTTTAGGTTTAGAACTGTTTTTGTTTGAAAAAAGTTCTTACCAGGAGGCATCTAACGTGAGAAGTTCGATTCCTTGCTGTAGCATAGGCTTAAAACGGAGAGTCAGTGGAAATGGGACCTTGGCTGTAGAGAAGAAAGAAAAAGTTCATAACCACTTGAGCTGTCTTATTTTTAGAGCAGTTGAAGTGTGAAAGCACATGTTCTTTCCCTGAGGATGTGGGAACTCTGAGCCATATGGCTGTGGAAAATGATTTCCACAGGAAATATACAGCAGTTTCTGAAGAAAAAAAACCAAAGTGTCGCTCTGCTCTAGTTTCTTTGAATACCAGGGTTCTAGATGGCTGAGGATGCAGGCACTCAAACTAAGCTGTGACTTAAAATTTTGAAAAAATTGCACTGATCCATTAATACCTAAGTGAAATTTACACATAAAAAGAAGTATCATTACTAGGAAACCAAATGGATTCAAATAAAATCAACCTATAAACAAACAGACTGAAATCTCACCCCAATACCCAACAAACAACATCAAAATAGAAGTAGGGTTCTCCTCATCCTCCTTACTGAGACCATACTAGTTGTGGAGGCAAAGGAACAAGTTGCTCTTTTGAGTCTCTATTGGTCAGTGGGCATCTGTGTCAGGATCAGTTTGGAACAGGAACCATAAAACCACAGCATATTAGATGTTTTTGTTCAAAGAATGTTATCAGTTTTCACAAGAAAACATAAACCCCATGATATTAGGGTCTCGGTGGCACTTGGATTTCTCTGAATAGGTACATGGGAAAAGAACACAGATGAAGTAAACATGTAATCTGCTGTGTGTATAACTTACTTGTGACAAAGCCTGAAAATGTCATGTTGATCCATCCACCAATAAGAATCATAGGGAGGACATTTGTTACGTTCCCTTTCATCATGTCTGTGAGCATAGTGGGATCTAAGAAAAAAAGCACAAGAGACCACTAAGCTTTACATCTGCTGGCAGAGACTTTCTCCCCTTTTTTATAAATTTTTATAATATATTTGATAACTTAGGGCATAGTCATTGTAAAAAAATTTCGAGTGACATAAGAATGTAAGATGTGTATAGTTCTTCTTAGTCCACTAGCTAAATACTTTGAACTATTTTTTACATATCCTTTCTCTTTTTAATTTCTACACCCATGATATAAAGGGATGCTGTGCTTATTATTCTGCTTCTTAGTATTTTCAAAATGAATAATGTGGTGAGGGCTGCAGATGTGGCTCAGTCGTAGAGCACTTGCCTAGGATGTATGAGGCCCTGGGTCAGTCCCCAGAACCTTGAAAAAATGAAAGTAATTTTGTGAATAGCATCTTTGCCTTGCTATTATAATTACCTCTTGATATTTTCAAGGACTGGGCATATTTCACGATATGGTCATACTGATCACTTTTGGATGGACCAAAAAACAATGCTGCTAACAGCTATTTTACATAAAAACATGCATGTTTATTTGTTTCTGTTAGAGAAATTCTTAGGAAAATTTCAGGTCAATTTAAACATTTAAAACTGACAGATATTAGGGGCTGAAGATGTAGCTCAGTTGTAAAATACTTGTATATTTTTCGTGAGGCTGAGTTTGATAACCAGTATCACACACACACACACACACACACACACTCAAAAAAGCTGGATGCCAGTACCTCACGCTTATAATGCTAGCTTCTCAGGAAGTGGAGATCAGGAGATCGAGGTTTGAAGCCAGCCTGGGCAAATAGTTCACAAGACCCTGTCTCAAAAATACCCAACTCAAAAAAGGGGCTGCCACAGTGGCTCAGGTGGTAGAGCACCTGCCTCGCAAGTAAAAGGCCCTGAGTTCAGACTTTCCTTCAACAAGGCCTACCAGTGGTGAGAGTACCTTACTTCCCTTGATCTTGACAATAGTGACTTTGGTAAATCTTTTAATCTTTGCTAATTTAATGAGCTAAAAAAAAAGACATCTTGTTTTAATTTGTATTCCTTGGATTACCAGTGAGGTCAAGTATTTGTTTCTCCTAAGTTTTTTTTTTTATTTAATTTTTGTTGGTACTGAGGCTTAAACTCAGGGCTTCACACTTGCTAGGCAGGCACTCTAACACTTGAGCCACTCCACCAGCCCTTTTTTTGTGTTGGGTATTTTTGAGATAGGGTCTCCTGAAATATTTGCCCTAGCTGGCCGCAAACCATGATCCTCCTGATCTCTGTCTCCTGAGTAGGTAGTATTACAGGCACGAGCCACTAGCACCTGGCTGTTTTACTTTAAATAGGTTGTATTTTACACAAAATAGGGATCGGTAGAAGTCAGAAATGTGTTAGGGTAGAAATTGTAGGGTGGACTGAGCAATCATGTCTAGCAAAGAAACGGCTGGTCTTAGGAAACAGTGAGCCTTAGGAATCTGTTTCATGCAGGGAGAAGCAGGACAGCCATCTGTCAGCAAGAGGCTGCAGGCTCTGGTGGGAGCTGGGGCTGGAAAGATTCTGTCTATGCTCCAGAGCAATGGTCCTGAGGAACAGCAAAGAGGAGAGACCTAGGACAATGGCTCTGGGCTCCTCCTGCATCAGCTGAGAGCTCTTTGTAAAACCCACTTCTACACTGGGGTTCCCAGAAGATTTACTTGAAAATAAGAATCCCACTTTTGTAGAGCCCCACAAAGGGATTTCTAAGGTCCCTTACATCACCATCTCCTATAACATAATATGAAAAACTACCCGAGTTATAAATCATTAACGGTGAGAGAAGGGAATAAACATACCAGTCATAGGAGAAGGTGGCACAACCTTCCTTTTAGTTTTTTTGAAAAATCCATCCTCCGGGTTGTTGAAGTAATATTTTCGTGTCAAGAAAGACTTGTAGAGGAAAAAAAAAAAAAAAGCTTTTTAAAAGTATAAAGAACTGTGACATAGCAAATTGTCAAATGGTTCCCCAGAGGTTTGTCAGAAGGTCCTGGAATATGCTGTTACACTCAGAGCTGTCAGCCTCCTTGGCAGCCAACCTGACACTTTAGCTGAGTCACATTTAAAAACAATTTCCTAAGAAAGGTGAGGTCACAATGACGGCACACACCATCAAACCACAGCTTAATTACCGGGTTGCCAACCTCCAGTTTTCCCCAAAAAGTCCTCTTATAAAACATTTGGATATCTACTGCCTCAACAGTGAATGGTAGAGCTTTTTAATAAAAGATAAACGAGTACCTGTTTGGGAATGTATTTTCCATTTTCCCTGAGGACTCTGCTTCGAATTAGGACTTGACTGAAAAATACAACCAAGACAGAGATACTTAAACGCGAAACACTAGAAGAAAACAAGAGAATAAAGCAGAGATGCCCTATTTAAACACAAGACCTATTTGGCAACAGCAGCTATGTGTGGAAATTTTCCAAAATTCAAGTATCCTAAAAACTAACACAATACATTTTACTTAACATTTGGGTTTTGAAAAAAGTAGTCTTCAGAAGTAACTGTGATTCTGAAAAAAATAAAGATTTCTGAGGAAGGCACCTTTGAGGTTTTATATCCAGCTTTTTATTATTTAGAAGATTTGGGGGCAGGAGGAGGGGGAAGGTTGTGGATAAAAGAAGGAATGTCTTCATACAGAGAAACAAGGACAGGCCTGGAGAAGGTTGTTACATGACAGACAACAATTTGAGATTCCACCTGGGATTCAGACTAAACTCTGAATAAACATTTATTGAATAAATAAAATTATGTTGTGGTATTAGAGCACAGTTAATCATTAAAAGATAATAAATTGCTGTACAGTCAGTATCCTAAGATACAAATAACAAACAGAATAGAGATTAAAATATTATTTTTTTTCTAGGATTTCAAAAGTTGTTAAAAGGGGGCAAAAAGCCCTTAAATTAATGGAAATCCTTGAAAAGTGAAAAAAAAAATGCAGATGGAAACAAACCCCAAAAAACTGTGGCTGCTACCAGTGGCTCACACCTGTAATCCTAGCTACTCAGGAGGCAGAGACAGGAGGATTGCACTTCGAAGCCAGCCCAGGCAAATAGTTCACAAAACCCTATCTCAAAAAACCCCTCACAAAAATAGGGCTGGTGGAGTGCCTCAAGGTAAAGGCCCTGAGTTTAAGCCCCAGCACTGCACAAAAAAAAAAAAAAAAAAAAAAAAAAAAAAGAAACGTGTGTTTAGCTTTCCCATTCTTTACTGCTCAATACAAACCACCTGCTCTCAGCAGTCAGGCCCCTTGGGGTTTGCCTGCCACCCTGTACATATGCCAGCTGTCCATATGCTGGGAGTGCTGCAGTGTCTGCATGCCAGGGATACCCTATCATGCTCTAACACTTTCCTCAAGCCCCACCTTCTGCACAGAATTCTTCCCAATGCCTGGTGCCCCTGTTTTTCTTCCTCTTGGCCTTGTGACTACTATACAACTGACTAGACCCAGGCCTACAGAAGGCACATGTAATATGTTCTGTTTCCTGGGAGCTAAGTAGCTATGTACCAATGCTGGTCTGTGATGATGCAAGGTAAGAATTTAGAGACTTACAATTATTTGTCACACATCCAAACTTTACAAAAGCATTTATCTGCAACAGGTTGGAAGGTCCTTTACTACTGATAGTTTAGAACAATTAATAAAAATTTAAGCTCTGTAGTTGGACAGATGAGTTCTGCTCATGTCTCTGTCACTTACTAGCTATCTGATTGTGGGCAAGTCACTTAAAAGCTACCATACACATTCTGTACAATAACAGACTTATACTTTTATTGAACAAGTATTTCTTAAACTTCTAAGCGTTAGGTACTATGTGAGTGACACAAACAACAATGAACAAAACGCAAATACTTCATGATGGTTAAAGTCTAGTGGAAGAGAAAGAAATTAATCAAATAACAAAAGAAGTAATGTGACATTCAACTGTCATATCCTAGGGAGATGGATATTATGGGAGTATATAACTGGGGTGAGGGGAGGGGGAGTTGACTGAGCCTGGGAAGTTAAGGACTGAGAAAAAACTTTGCTGGGGATGTAGGATTAAGTAGGAATCATAAGGATGGGAGGGATTACTTTGGCAAAGTGCTGGAGGGAATGTCATGGCACAAGCACAGTGGCAGGAGTAAAAATTGTGTCTCTAAGGACGTAAGAAAAGGCCACATGCAAAAAGAAAGAGAACTGCAGAAAATGAGGCCTTGGGGCAGGCAAGAGCCAGAATGTGCAAGGCCATGTGAGTCCCACTGTATTTTGATCATAATTTTAGGAACAAAAGTAAAACAGTGAATGCAAGATCCCAAGTTCAACCTCCAGTACCACAAAAAACAGATAAATAAATAAGTAAAATTGTGAATGATTTAAGGGTTTTAAGCTGAGACTGTCATATATATTATCTCACTTAAAGTGGTTTCTCCTGTATCCTGCACACATACATCAAGGGCACCTATTATTTTCTCTTTGCATGATTTACCACTTGGACCAAAACTCTGAGAGCAGTCTTGACCATTTTCTACTTTGTACCCCACAGCATACAGCAGGGTGCAGGGCACATGATTGGTTCATCCATAACAATTTGTTCACTGTATGGTAATTCAGGACTTTTCCAGGCACTATAATATACAGAATTCAGCTACATGTTCTATATGCATACATTGTGACCTGATGCATGAAGGCAAGTTTACAATATCCTGTATATTCTAAACACTCAAACACTCAATTTCTTTTCTTTTTTTTTTTTTTTTTGGCAGTCAAGGCCCTTTTTGCTTTATTTTTCTGAATAGAGTCTTGATTTTATATCCCAGTTGACCTGGACTATGATCCTCCTATTTATACTTCCCACATAGCTGGGGTGACAGGCTTGTAACACCATACCCAGTTTTATTGGTTGAAATGGGGTCTTGCCACTTTTTGCCCAGGATGGCCTCAAACCTTGATCCCCCCAACCTTCCCACCTCTCAAGTAGCTAGGATTACAGGAATGAGCTACCATGACCAGTGTAAACACTCAATTTCTTAGGCAGAGATCCATAGCTATACTCTCCAAAGTGTAAAAATTGTACAAGAAAAATTTAATATGCAGCCAGGTGCCGGTAGCTCAAGCCTGTAATCCTAGGTGGAGGTCAGAAGTACTGAGATTTAGATCCAGCCCAGGCAAGTAGTTCAAGAGACTTGATCTTGAAAATACCCAACACGGAAAAAGGGCTGGCAGAATGGCTCAAGTGCCTAGCAAGTGTGAGGCCCTGAGTTCAAATCCCAGTATGACCAAAAAAAGGGAGAAAAATTTAATTTGCATTATCATGAATGTCTAAAAATAATAATTGTACTGGTTATAAAGTAAGGCTTTGGTAATTTACAACTGCAAGACATTTTCTTAGAATAAAACTTTAGGTGCTATGTTCCTTGGCATAGCCACCTACCATTGTGTCTCCCCTTCTAATAGCATCTTCGCTTTCTCTTAAAAAGAAAAAAATTTGAGCCGGGTGCTGGTGGCTCACGCCTATAATCCTAGTGACTCAGGAGGCAGAGATCAGGAGGATTGCGGTTTGAAGCCAGGGTTAAGGAGATGCTAATGGCCTCAATGCTGGGGCCAGTTATGCAACACCAAATTGTGCCACGTCCCACACTACTTTTAAATACCTCATAAACTGTTTTTAATTATCTGAGCCTAAAACCTAAGTTAATTTGTTTTTATTCGGGGGAGGGTGGTTGTTTTTATATTTACTAAACGTCCATGTATGCAAGCACTAAGTAAAAACAGGGAAAATTAGACTTTGTTTGTAACTTTATGAAATGCTGGGCATGGTGGTGCAGAGGATCACGAGTACAAGACCAGCCTGATATATAGTGATACCTTGTCTCAACAACAACAACAACAAAGCCAGGCATGATGTAAGTACACAGTTATAGTCACAGCTACTTGGGAGATGGCCAAGGCCAGCCTAGGGAACAATGTTAGGGAGACCTCATCTCATCTAATAAGCCAGGCATGGTGGCATGTCCCTGAAATCCAACCTACAAGGGAGACATAGATAGGAGGATCACAGTTAGAGGCCAGCCCTGGGCTAAAACCCTATCTGAAAAATAACTAAAGTCAAATAGGGCTGGGGGCATGGCTCAAGTGGTAGAGCACCTGCCTAGCAAGCCAGAGGTGAGTCCAAAACCCCAGTATTACAAGAAAAACAAAAGAACTTTATGAGGGGTAGCTCAGAATTTATAGAGACAGAACTACCTTCTTGATATATACCTGTGTTAGTCTACAACTGACCTGCCCTAATTATGGTGATGCATGCACATTTCTTCTGCACTAAACCTTGTAGAGTAGTACTTAAGAAATATAAATTATCTTATTAAAAGCTACTTTCCTTTTTATTCTTCCTGATTATTACAAGGACAGCATTATTATTATTATTTTAAGTTCTTGTACATAGATAGCAACAACTGTGAATTTCATTTCATTTTGGGGATACAAAAAACAGCTGATAGCTGGCTCATGCCTGTAATCCTAGCTACTCAGGAAGCAGAGATCAGGAGGATCATGGTTCGAAGCCAGCCTGGTCAAATAGTTCAAGAGACCCTATCTCGAAAACACCCATCACAAAAAAAGGGCTGGTGGAGTGGTTCAAAGTGTAGGCCCTGAATTCAAGCCCCAGCATGTTAAAAAAAAAAAAAAAAAGATCAGTCTGAGCTCTCTCCACTTTGCATCTTTCTATAAGGATTTCTTTTTGTGGTAAACTAACTTTTTAAGGTTGGAGCCAGGGGGCTGGCTCTGGTAAGTTCTGAAACTGCTATTACTATACCACTGTGGTGCAGTGGAAAGAACCCAAGGCTTGGGAACCAGAAGACTTGACTCAAATCCCTAAATGTCATTATGTGCCACCACAGAACTTCTTTAAGCCTTTTATAAAATGGGACAACAGTATCTGTTTCATAGAGTTGCTTTCTGTTTTAAATAAGCTAATGAATGTAAGTGCCTGGTATATAAAAATGTATTTAATAAAGTTAGCACAGTCTTCTCAGCATATCTGGGAAAAACGACTAAAAGTGATAAAGTGATGCTTCAGTCATTTTCATTACTTATACTTGTAGTAATACATACTTCACATTTTTGTATATTAACTTTTCTTCTACCTGTTTTTAATTTAAAGGAATGGTTAAATTACCAACAAATGAAAATCCAGTGTTACTTGCCACAAAAGAAAGTAACTTTTAAAACAAATACAATACAACCAAACCAACATTAAAATGGGTGACACTAGACACTGTCACCCATTTTAACTACTGTTCTCTTGTTAAAATGGGAGATTCCATGGAGGCAGGAGGATTGTGAGTACCAGACCAGGCCGGGCTTCCTAGCGAGATTGGGGTGTTAAAAATACTGTAGCACTTTCTTGAGATGATCTCTGAAAATAATAAAAATTTACTGCAAATTGTTAACAATTTGTTACACAAATTGTTTTAATGTGGAAGGATCTGTGTCTCAGTCAACCTAAAATGATCTCAAATTCCTGTATCTTGCCGATAAATACTGTAAGGAAGCACTCCACTTCAGGAGGGGAAATCATCATTACAACTCCTCGCTTCTCTAGTGGCAGTTTTACAGTTTGCAAAGCACTCTGTTTTTCAGCGTCCCAGCTGACCATGGCAGTAGTTTGGTAGGGCGTGGATTATGAAATCCGCTTGACTGGATGTTAGGAAGACTAAAAGCAGGGGCGCAGCTGGCACTCAGGCGCTCTAGTTAGCGACTAGACTAACAAGATCAACATCTAGTGGGGGACTTTGTATGTCCCAGGCCCTGCTCTAAGGGCTGTACCGACATCATCTAACTTAATCAGTGATGAGGTTAGTACTGTTATCATCTCCATTTTACAGATGACAAAACTGAAACCCACAGGGAGGGATCAAGGTCAACCTATACCAGTACGGGCGTGATCAAATTCAGTCAAACTGACAAAAGCCCTGCACTTTCTGGCCAAGGTCACGGGGGAGTGAGGCCGGCAGGATCGGAGAAGGTACTGACCTGTCAGACACTTGTTCCTGGGTGAGCTTCTTGTCACTCTGCAGCAGGATGGACACGTAGTGGCGGATCATGCCCACGAAGAAAGTGATGATAACGATGGGCAGGACCACCCAGAGGCGGATATTGGAGTCAAGCAATAGCTCTGGCCCCGCCATTTTCACTGAAGCCGGCCGCCAGCCAGGGGGTCGTCGAGTTCCTCTTTGATTTCGCCTCCTGGCCTTCTCACGGCCCTCAGCCTGGCTGGCCCAGGGCTCTAAGGAAGCCTCGACCCTCGGCTTACTACTTCCAGCTGGGCCGCCGGGCCGCCGACTTCCGGCGCGGAAACTTGACGTCACGCGGTGGCGCGTGTCGGTGGCGTCAGCGCGGCATAGCGTCAGGCGGGAAAGTCGAAAGTGAGGGGTGGGGACGGCTTCTCGGCTGGTGAGTGGAATTGCGGCTGTTGTCTCTCGAGGCTTCGCTACTCTGGCTGCAGGCCGAGCCTTGCCGTTCCCTCTGGGGTTCCGCGCTCTAAACCTCGGCTTCCTCATTTGCCCTATCGGGATAATTCCCCTTCCAGGTACCTCCCCGCGCCGATAAAATGACAAAATAAGAAGGGCTTTTATTCCTCGTCCCTTCCCCCCCTTTACTGGAGGACCTGTCTGGTCCACGTGACCGGCTTCACCTCCCAGTCTTTTAGGCTTCTCTGGAAACGACATGGTGTTGCACGTGTTGAAGGCGTTTGCTTTGAAGTCAGACGGCCCTGACTTGCCTTAGTTTTTCCAATTGCAAAATGGCTGATAATGATGAGACGAAGTAACGAAGGGCCGGGCCGGGCGTAGTGGTGCACAACCAAAAATCCCTACTCTGGAGGCAGAGAGCAGGAGGATCGCGATTCCAAGCCAGCCCGGGCAAAGAGTTCTCGAGACCCTATCTAGGGGGGATGGGGCGGGGGGGAACAAACTTCACACACGAAAAAGGGCTGGTGGGGTGGCTCAAGTAGTAAGAGCGCCCGCCTGACAAGCGTGTGGCCTTGAGTTCAAGCTCCAGTGCTGTCCCAAAAATAGATAAATAAAATTAATAAGTTAAAAGCAAAAGGCATGGCTTAAGTGGTAGAGCGCCTGTCTAGCAAGCGCGAGGTCCTGAGTTCAAACCCCAGAACTGCCTGTAACAAACACCCCCCCACCCCCGCCCCAGCTAACGAAGCGCTGGGCAAATTGTAAATGCCCTTACCTTATTGGAAGCCATTGTTAGTATCAAAAGTAAGAATTGGTAATTAAAGGCACAAATTCTGGAGCCAGACTTAGAATGCCAACTCCACCTCCAATTATGAGAATAATAATGAGGGTCGGCTTCAGACTCAAGCAGTAGTACCTTGCCAGTGCAAAGCCCTAAATTCACTATGCTCTCCCCCCAAATAATAATACCTATCTCAAACAGTTTTGTGAAGAATAAATGAGTTATTAAGTGTAAAACAGTTTTTGTTAGCTATCAGTATTTTACTAGACCTACTGGTCTTTTATTTTTTCTTTCTTTTGTGCTACAGGGATGGGGGTGGGGTGAAAGGAGTGAATTCAGGGCCTCCTGCTTGCTAGGCAGGTGCCCTACCCCTTGAGCTTCTCTGCCAGCTTACCACCTATTACTTAGTGAATATTCTTAGTTGTTTTTTTTTTCTTCTTCTTCTGCTTTGGTGGGGATGGAACCCAAGGCCTACTGCATGCTAGGCAAATGCTCTCACTGAGCCGCACCTCCAGGTTGGGAAATTTCCCTTATGCCAGATACTGTGGTGGCACCAGGAACATTGAGATAAGACTGGGCTCCTGCTCTCAAGGCTCCCCCAGTGTAGCATGATGTGGAAGGAGATCCTAGCTGTACTCTGGAGTAGGAAATTTGGAGCAATTTTTTTTTTTTTTTTTTTTTTTTTTTGGTGGGACTGAGGTTGAACTCAGTGCTTTGTGTTTGCAAAGCAGGCACTCTTCTGCTTGAGCCAAATAACCAGTCCATTTTTACTTTGGTTATTTTGGAGATGGGGTCTACGAAGAACTATTTGCCTGGGCTGGACTTGAACCATGGCTCTCTCAATCTCCGCCTCCCAAATAGTTAAAATTATACACTTAAGCCACTGATGCCCACACGGATGCCACTTTTCAAGAAAGATGAATGTTTAAGGATAAGTAGGAATTTCCAGGCAGGTAAGAGCATTAAGGTAAAGAACAGATGACTGAAGCTAGGTGATAAGGATCTTGAATCTCAGATGAAGAACTGTGGATTTTCTTCTTTAGCAACAGAAAAGTGGTCTGGTGAAAGAAGAACTAGGTAAACAAGTCCTGAAAAAGAGGGAATATTGGTTAGATATGGGAGTTAAGATGTGCCCAGCACCTGGATTTAGATAATACTAGTGTGAAAACTAGCCCCTCTGGTTTTGGATAGAGCAGTTTCTCTGAGGTATAGTTGTAACTTCTCAGAATTTATCTTCTAGAGGGTAACTTCTGCTCTCTGATTTTGCTTTAGGAAGTAATTTAAGCACAGAAGACTGGTCAAAATGGTTTCCAAAAGAAGGCTGTCAAAATCTGAGGATAAAAAGACCCTTACAGAAGAAGACAGTGAGTATCTAGCCATTTATTGCTTTATTTGTGGTCACAAAAGTTCCTAATTTTCATGTGCTGGCAGTCATCAAATCTTAATGGATAGAGCACAAAAATTCTATCAGGAGATTTGGGCTTGAGTTTCTGCCTCTAATTCCATGTTTGGTTTTGGGATAGCCTCTGAGCATCAGTCCCCACATTCATAAGAGAAAATAGTGTTAAGAGACTTAATCTGTACATTAGGTAGGTGCTGGGACACAAAGAAAAGATAGTCCATACCCTTTAAAAAAGCTTCTGGTCCCCTTTTATCCTTTAAAAAAAATTTTATAGATAAATACTGTGATAGTGATGTATAAAGGAAAGATAGCAAAGCAAACACCAAGGACAAAGAAGTAGTGCAGGCTTAGCCTATAGGTGAGGTATTGAAAGACCCTAAGCATTCTGAGAAGTTGGTAGTCCTTTGTTTGCTGCACTCATTTACTCTATTAAAGTAATTCTAAACTGTTGATTGAAGAGTTATTTTTTCCCTCCAAGTTAGGGTCTCACTGTGTAGTTCAGGCTACCTTGGACTTAAGATCTTCCTATCTCAGCCTCCGTAGTGCTGTGATTACAGTCATGTGCTACTACATTCAGTAGGAGTTATTTCTTACTAGTTTATGAGAATTTACATCTGAGTCATGGTTATATATAACTGATGTTGATGGAATTCTGATGAACAACATTAAGAATTAATAAAATTTCAAGGTCAAAATCCTAGGAAAGGCTTGATTTAGAAAGGGAAGTTCTGACACTATTAACAATGTTAGTATGATTGAATAATATAAAGAAACTGGTAAGAAATTCGAAACCAAAAGAGGAATGATTTAGAAAGTCACTAAATGTAAATGTCATACTATTTTCCCAAAGGGAAGAGACTTCTGAATTAAGTTTGTGGAAAGGGACGTGGGGCTCCTTGCTGAGTGATGGGCAAACAGTCTTATTCTCGTTATGCCTAAATTTCTTTAAGGAAGGGACTGAGTAGTCTTTATTTCATTCTGCTTAAGGTTTTATAGAGAGAAAGAGAGGAAGTAGAAAAGAAAAAAAAAACAGAAATATGTCATTGAAAGAGAAAAGTAGATTTCCTTCTTGGCTTCAAGTGCCTGTTTCTTTTTTTGGAGGGGGGATGGTACTGAACTCAAAGCTTTGGGCTTGCTAAGCAGATGCTCTACCTCTGGAGCCACTCCACCAGCCTGTGCCTGTTTGTTTTTGATTGTTTTTGTCTTATTATTATGAAAGCCTTGAGATAAAATTAATCTTCTGATGCAGAAGAACCTGCCCTATCCTGTCTGTTTTTGCATATAGATTATTGATTCTAAAATTTGGTGTGGATCAGCATTATTACTGGAAGAGTTTGTCAGAAACTCAGACTTGTAGGTACCATTCACAAGATTTCAACTCCATAGCTCTGGAATGCAGCCTGGAATGTGAATTTTAATGAGCTTCTCCAGCAATTGCAATGCAATGGTTTGCAAACCACTGCTTGAGAGAGACACTGGCTGCTTTAGGTTTTGGGTGGAAAACATTTCCATGGTTATTCTTGTTACAAGTGGCACATTTTGTATTCTTCAAATGAAAACTCAATTGGTGAAAATAATTGTTTGTTGATTGCTTTGTTTATTTGGAAGCCACTTGCTGACTATGGTTGGGTAGTCTATTTCACTAGTAGTATTCTTCAGGAACATAACAGTTTTCATCTCAAGGATGCTATTCCTGGGTTCACATTTTAATCTTTGCTTTACTTTTTATTGTCATATTTTGAAAATTCTGTTTAGTTTCAGAAGCCAGGAAGCAACCACTTTCCAAAAAGGCAAGGCAATCTCATGCTCCTAATGAAGTTGAAGAAAATGACAGTGTCTTTGTAAGACTTCTTAAGACATCAGGACTCATTCTTAAAACTGGACCAAATCAGAATCAACTAGGTAATATTTTATTTTTTGGCAGTATTAGGGTTTGAACTTAAGAGTGTCATGCTTGGTAGGCAGGCCCTACCACTCAAGCTCTACCACTTTGAGAGACACCCCAAGCCCTTTTTGCTTTAGTTTTCAGATAGAGTCTTGAGCTTTTTGCATGGGGCCAGCCTTGGAATATTATTCTCCTGCCTCTGTTTCCTGAGTAGTTGGAATTACAGGCATGTACCACCGTGCTTGGCTTGTTGAGATGTGGTCTGGCTAACTTTATTTTGCTTGAGACTGTCCTCAAACAGCAATCCTTCAAAACACTGTCTCTGGAGTAGCTGGCATTACAGTTGTGTTACACCATGCCCAACCTACTATCTCTCTTGTTCAAGAATGAAAATGCTTTTTTTTAATATATATATATATATATTTATTTATAATATATATAAATTAAAATATATATATATATTGTTATAGCCTTTAGTCCTCATTAAGGACTTAAAGGTTACATGTTAAATAAAATGCTTCTAATAATAATCCTTTTCTCTTTTTTTAGAAAAAAGAATGTTTACTACTATTAGTCTTTTGTGCTTCCTTGTGAAAAAAATACATTAATACCTGGGAAAAAATTATAAATGTCTCAGAATAATTTCAGAGGAAAATGTAGAAAGCCATAAAAGGCCCTATTTCTAGAGCATAGATTGATTATTCTGTCTTACTAAGGTTATGACAGGTATTTTTTAGAACATTTAGTGGGTATCCTCAATCAAAGCTAAATCTTTTACTGTGGATTTAGAAGTTTTGGCTCTGAAATTAAGTTGAATATATTTTTAGTGGTGTCATCAGTAACTTAAGTCTTCAGGGGAGAAGAGTGGCAGATATTACAGACCATGGTGACCAGCTATTCCTTCTTTCCTCATAGCCGTGGATCAAATAGTTTTTCAAAAGAAGCTCATTCAGACTCTGAGGAAACATCCTTCTTATCCCAAAGTATGTATTCTCTTTGTGGTGGTTTTGGTTTTGCCAGAGTACTCTGGAATTAGGAATTTAAAGACATTGGCATACAGTTGAATGAGCTAGAATGACATTTTGCTGCTCACCGTTCTCATGGTTTTATATTTAAAATCTTATTAAGGTAATAGAAGAATTTGTTAATGGTCTGGAGTCTTACATTGAGGACTGTGATGGTTTCAAGAACTGCCTTTTGTCTTGTGAACGTCTACAGGATGAGGAAGCCAGGTATGGAGAGGAAGCCTACGCACGGCTCCCTAAAATTCAGTCTGTTATAGTAATTGGATTGGGGTGGGAGAATGCACTCATTTTTGCCATTTCACTTTTGACTTATAACTCTCTTTTCCTCAGAGTTTAAACCTCGCCTTAATATTATAAAATTTGTGATCATGGGGTTGAGGATTTAGCTCAGTTGGAAGAGTGCTTTCCTGGCAAGTGCAAGGCCCTGAGTTCGGTACCCAGCACTGGGGAAAAAAAAAAAAATTGCTCTCATAAGGCTAAGAACTAGAGTGTTTTCTAGAACATGTCTTATCTCTATTGATAGAATTTCAAATATGCTTCTCCCTTTCTAAGGGTTAAGGGTTTCTTGTTTTTATTTAATTTTATTTTACTTTTAAATTAGCATACATTGCTAGTAAAGGAGATTTCATTGTGACAATTCCATAGAGGTGTACAATGTACTTTGAATAATTTCACCCCCTCCCTTGTATACCTGTATCGCTCTTTCCCTCTTCCCCAAGGGTTTGGGTTTCTTGTCTAAAAAAGATTGTGAATATAATCTTTAAGGTTGTATATTTAGCCAGTTTTATAGAGAATGATTTAAATCATTAAAACAAGGAAAATAAAATAGGAACCAAATATCTCTTTTACAGCATGAATACATCTTTCTCTAAGAGCCTTATCAAACTGCTTCTGGGGATTGACATGTTACAGGTGAGACTGCCACTTTTCTGTGACATTCGATGAGTTTGATTTGTGTTGTATACCCAATTTAAGTAGCTGTAGCACAAGGTAGAGTAGGGCTAAATAGAGTTTGATCTGCAGCAGCTTTATCAAAGCCCTTTTGCTGAGCTCATTTTCTAGAGTAATGTCTATGTCTTTGTACTCGTGATTAGCCTAGTTCATCTGGCAGTCCATCCAATTCATTTCCTCAGCATCTGACTCCTCTTTGTTGAAGCTGCGTCCTGTGTGATAACCTCGTACTCTGTCACATTCACACCTGAATGTGACTTGATTTTGCTCTTCATCTCCTCTTTTGATTTATCGAGTGGATGATACATTGACATGTTTTTAGTTTTGGTGAGACAAGTTTGAACTCTCGGCTTTGTGTTCGCAAAGCAGACGATCTACTGCTTGAGCCATACCTCCACCCTATTTTGCTCTGGTTATTTTGGTGATGGAATGTTGTGAGCTATTTGGGCTGGCCTTGAACCTCAGTCCTCCCAATCTCAGCCTCCCAAGTAGCTAGGATTTATAGGCGTGAGCCACTGGCACCAGGCTCATTGACATGTTTTAAATATCTCAAATTGTATAAATGCATGTATAGTGAAAGTCTCTCTCCTACCCAATCCTCCATTTTTCCTTTTCTCTTTTCCTCTTCCCACAGTCTTCCCCCATTTTTACACCCCAGTACTCAGGGCTTTGTGCTTGCTAAGCATGCAGCAAACACTCTACCATTTGAGCCATGACCCTAGTCCTTTAACTTTTTCTTTTTTTTTTTCTTTTTCTTTTTTTGGTGATACACCTTGAGCCACTCCACCAGCCCTTTCATTGTGATGGGTTTCTTCGAGATAGGGTTTCATGAATTATTTGCTTGGGCTGACTTTGAACCATGATCCTCTGGATCTCTGCCTCTTGAGTAACTAAGATTACTCAAGGTGTGAGCCACAGGCACCCAGCTAAAGTGTGCTACTGATTTTTTTGTTTTTTTTTAGCAGTACTGGGGTTTGAACTCAGGTCCTCACGCTTGCTATGCAGGCACTCTACCACTTAGCTGCTCAGCCAGTCCTACCCATTAGCTTTAACGGTACTTTTTATTTATTTATTTATCTTATTTTAAAAAATTTTGGTGGTGCTAGGGTTTAAACTCAGAACCTTGCTCTTGCTGGGCAAGCACTCTACTACTTCAGCCATACCTCCGGCACTCCTTTTGCTTTTTTGTTTGTTTTCACTTAGTTTCACAAACTAACTTTGTCTGGGCTGGCTTGAACTGCAATCCTCCTGCCTCTGCCTTTTAGTAGCTAGGACATTAGGCATGTGCCACTATGTGCAGCCATCTTCCCACACTCTTTATCTCTTCCTTTTCATTGGAAATCTTGAAAATAACTTAGCTTAAATCTAGAGGTTCACTTGTTCCTCTGAAGAGAAGGCCTATTCTATTGAAAATCATTTCAATTCTACATTGATAGAATAACAGTTACCACATTTAGTGGTGTTTTTATTATTTGGTTATTGTAATTTTTCTTGGCAATCATTTTTTAATACCTTTGAAAGCATTATTTATAAATCTTTGTATTTGAACAGCGTCTATTCAGAATATTGACAGTATTCATGTGATCATTCTTAGAATAATCTTAGAAAAACTCTTGTATAATTTGAGACTGTCTCCTAATTCCTGTCTCTTCTCTTTTAGCCTGCCATTATTAAAGTTTTATTTGAAAAGATACCAGAATTTCTTTTTGAAAAGTAAGTGGAGGTACTTTAAAATTCCTAAAGTACATTGGTGTTCTTAAGTACTTCTCTTAAAAGCTTATTCTGAAGCATCATTGGTTTCTTTGAGAATCATATGTTTTTATCATGATGCCAGGTTCTTAAGTGATTACTAAAATTTGGGGGAGGGGGTCTTTTTTGCTGTTGTTGTGTAGGATTTCATTTTGGGGGAATATTTGTTTTTTGATAGTACCAGTTTTGAATTTAGGGTCTTGTACTCACTAGGGTGATACTCTACCACTTGAGCCATGACTCTTGCCCAGTGGTGCCTGTTTTTGAAATTCCATCTATTAATGACTTCATAAAGTTAACAAGATTGTTAAAAGTAATATTACCTATGATTATATATATATATGCTTAGATAATCCCTACAAAGGATACATGATAAACTGGCAATAGTGGTTGTTTCCAGGGAGGGGAGCCAGTTGACTGGAGTCAGTTATTCTCTTAACACTGTTCTTTGCCTTTTATTTTTATAACGTATGTATACTATGCACTTTCTTTTTGGTACTGGGGTTTGAACTCAGGGCCTACACCTTGAGTCACTCCACCAGCCCTCTTTTTTTTGTGTGTGATTTTTTTTTTTTTTTGAGATAGGGTCTTTTGAACTGTTTGCTTGGACTGGCTTCGAACCGTGATCCTCCTGATCTCTGCCTCCTGAGTAGCTAGGACTAGGCATGAGCCACTGGGCACTCAACTATACTATGCATTTTAAAAAATCACTATGTTAGGAAAAAACTGAACAGCTTAATAGAAACATAGACAAAAATTGTGAACAGAAAATTCACAAATACAAGAATATCAGAGATGAAAATGTTTGATTTCATTAGCAGAAGCACAAATGTAAAATAATAAATGCACTTTTCCATTCTCAAAGGGTCTTCTTTGTTGAGTGTAATGAACAGACATCCTCATACATTGCTAATGCACATATAAATCTGCTCAATTATTCTGAAAAGCAATGGGTTATATATGTATCAAAACCTCAGATTTGGGGTTGAGGATGTAACTCATTGGTAAAGCACATGCAGAGCCCTGGATTTAATCCACAGCACTCCAAAACACTAGTTTTTGCAAACTTTTTAATTCTTAATGTGATATCTTCTAATTTGTCATAAAATATTAACTGAATGAGAACAAAGATGATTATCATTTGAAATAGGAAGAAGTTATAAACTCAGATGTTTAAGAATATCATATGGACATGAAAATCATAAAGAGGACTATTTAATACCACACATTAACTGGAAATTTAAAAACTTGTGTAATAAATCAGTATTTATGAGCTGAAGATGTGACGTAAGTGGAAGAGCCCTGGCTGGTCTCAAACTGCGGTCCTCCTGATCTCTGCCTCTTAAGTAGCTAGAATTGCTGGCATGAGCCACCCGCATCCTGCAGTTTTTTACCTTTTAAAAATACTTGTTTCATTCAGTTTAAAAAGTTTATTAATTTTATTATCTTTTTAAAAACTACCTGTATTACTTTAAAGAAATAGCTATTTCACCCTGTATTCCCTTCTTTCTAAGCCCTCCCTGGCTGTAGCCACTGTCAATAGTGTTTTCTTCCAGACCTCTTTCTGAACATATATGAGCGTATGTATACTGCTTCTTTTGGTGTTGCTTGTACATACAGCACAGTGCAGTGTGTAGTAAGTGTGCAGGAAATGTTAATTGAGTGGCTGAAATGTTTTGAGAAGTATTAATACTGTGCAGAAGTTAGAATGGCTAAGTTAAGGAGTTCAGTTGTAGAGTGCCTGCATAGCACTCCCCACCCCACCCTGCCCCCAAAAAGAAAAAAGCCCAGTAAAGTCAAGTCCCTTATTATCTCATTCTAACATTTCAGGCAGAACAGTGATGGAATCAGCATGTCTCGTCTCATTTTCAGTCAGCTGAAATGGCTTGAGAGAATCGTGGATGGCAAGGTAGGTTTGGGGGCTTTATTACCTGGATTTAAAGATTGTTTTCTACACTTGACCAAACTTCTAGAATTTGTAGAGACTTTTCCTTTCTAAACTGAAGATTCAAAATTTTTTCTATATTAGGTTTTTCAGTTTTCAGAATTTGAGAATCATGAATATATCACCTTTAAATTTCTTCAACAAAGAAGCTTAGGGTAGGCATGGTGATGCACACCTGTAATTCCAGCACCTGGGATGCCGACTGGAAGCTCTAGGCCAGCCTAGACTATATAGTGAGTCCTTTTCTCATTTAAACAACAACAAAAAAACAAGTTTATCCAATTACAAAGATTAGAGATCATTTATTATTTAAATATTTGGAACGATCTCTTTTGTGTGTATGGTAAGACTGGAGTTTGAACTCAGGGCTTCACATTTGCAAAACAGGTGCTCTACTATGTGAACCACACCTCCAGTCTGTTTTTGCTCTGGTTATTTCTGGAGATGGGGGTCTCATGCTCAGGCTGCTCTTGTACTGCATCCTCTTGATCTCAACCTCCCAAGTAGGTAGGTTTATAGGTGTGAGTCACCAGCGCCTGGCCCTGGAATGATATTTATTAGGCTTTCAAAATACAGAGGTCAGTGTGTTTATTTCTCAAAAGTGATCTCAAAGCTTCTTATTTCACTGCAAATGTTTTGATTTGATTGTATATTAAGGAAAATTACGAGAAGTTTTTTTAATTATGTGATTTGTTGTTTACTACCTTCGTAATGTTGAATCTGTTTTGAACTAAGTGCTTGATGTCTTCTTTTCTTAAACTCATTCTTTTAAGTTTTGGCAGATATTTCATGCTAAATTTGGTTTAAAAGAACGTGAGTTTTGGAGACTCATCTGGGCTGGAATTTTGGGGTCTGCCCTTTAGTTTTGTATTCTTAAGTAATCCATATTCCCACATTTTAAAAATGTGTATTACCACACAAAGTGCATGGTTGTGAAGACTGAATGAAATAATGTATTATTTAATTAGAACTATTAGATAATAGACTATCTGTCCTGCATTTTTTCTAGGTACATCTTGTGTGAATTTGCTGGGGAGTGGCCATTTGCCTCTTTAAGTTACATTTTGAACTTGAGTCTGTAGTTGTCATATCATATTCACAAAAACTTCAGCTTTGTATTTCATGAGTAGGTAGTGTTTATTCTGGCTAATGTGCTACAATTCTAATGATGTTCCCCGCCACAGGACCTCACCACCAAAATCATGCAGCTAATCAGTATTGCTCCAGTGTACCTACAACATGACTTCATCACCAGCCTTCCTGAGATCCTAGGGGATGCCCAGCATGCTGATGTAGGGAAAGAACTCAGGTGGGCAGGCACTGTGGTACTGTCTCAGTGAGGATCCATCATGGGAACTTATCCCGGCAGTGTGAAAAGCTTGGTGGTAATGTGTTAAAAGCTTGGTAGTAATGTGGTCCTTTCTATAAAAACAGCATGATATACCTACCTTCCATAGGATTTAAATGTGTTTTTCTAATTGATAAATATTTGACACAACCATCTACTTTAAGTGATATACCTATTATGAAGTTGCTGTTTGGTTTAGGAGTAGGTATATAAATTTGGTCTTTGCAGAACTTTATTTCATTTGCATATCCTCCAAGGGGACCTCAATCGTGACTGTACATCAAGATAACTTATGCAGCTTCTTAAGCATCTACAATCTTTGGATCCCTATATAATTCATTGTAATGCACATCCCTGCATCACATCTATTGTTGAGGCCCATTGCTTATTTCCATTTATGTGAAAACAAGTACTGTAATTGGTGGATAGTAATTAAGAAGAGGAAAATTATATCAGGACATAGTTTTTTTTTAATTTTGAAGTACTGGAGATTGAACCCAGGGCCTCAGATATGCTAGGCAAGCTCTAGCACTGAGCTACATCCTCAACCTTATAGTTTCTATCTTAATATAACTTTTTGCTTGTCTAAAAAGTAGCATTAAGAAATCAGTTTGTAGGGCTGGTGGAGTGGCTCAAGTGTTAGAGCACCTGCCTAGCAAGTGTGAGGCTCTGAGTTCAAACTCTAGTACCAAAAAAAAAAAAAGAATCAGTTTATAATACTTCCTTTTTTATAATTGTCTGTAAAACTACCTCCAAATATATCCAGTGATTTCTTGCCTTTAGACTTTTAGGCAGTTTGCTTCCTCTGATTAAAGTACTATACCAACCACTTTGCTCACCCAATCTAGCTTGACTTTTTGTATAGTCTTCTCTTAGAATCCATCACTGTTCTTTCACTTCTGTGTTCCTGTTGTGCACTGCACATACATATATTTTTTTTCAGGAAGGATGCCTATCAAACTCAATAGTAGTGACTCTGAGTAGTAAGGATGGTAAAGAACTTCTCTTTTCTACTTTATGAGATCATTTGAATTTTAATATTTTTTATAATGAAGACAACTGAGGTTTTTTTGTTGTTGTTGTTTGTTTGGTGGTACTGGAGTTTGAACTCAAGGCTTTTTGCTTGCTAGGCAGGAGCTCTACCACTTGAGTCATGCCTCCAGCCCATGGAGACAGTTTTTAATGAAACAAATAAGGTATTGGGAACTAAGTACATTTTCAACCAAATACAGATCAAAAATACATAGAAAAAAATTGCATCCATACCAACATGTACAGACTTTTTCCTTGTTATACCCAACAGTCCAGTACAACTGTTTGCATAGAATTTACATTGTATGAGGTATATAGGTGTCCTAGAGATGATTAAAAGTGTTTAAGGGGATATGCAAGCTATAAAGGTTATATGCAAATAGATGTACCATGTTACATACTGGATTTGAGCATACAAGATTTTGGTATCCATGGGGTACCATGGAATCAGTCTGCTGCCCGTGCCAAGGAATAACTGGATGTTCTCTCTTCCCACACTCTAGTAAGTGACTGTCTCAGATTATCATCTGCACAGCTCTGTTCAAACCATTATACAACTTTTCTCTGCTATTCACAGCGACCTCTTGATAGAAAATACTGAACTTACTTCCCCAATCCTGGATGTCCTTTCCAGCCTCCAGCTTGATTCAAACTTCCTGTCTAAGGTAGGAAAGACTGCTGTCCATATACACAACTGTCTTTCTAACCTCCTACTACCAGTGTCAGTCTGTCATCATCTTAGGAGAAATACGTGTAATGAAAATTCCATTTTGCATCTGTAGTCAGTGGTAACTTTTTTCTTATCAATGAATTTCAAATGCTATAATATAGTAGATTCACAGACATATTTTCAAGCAATAAGTTTGTTTCTTTTTTTCTCCTGTGCTGGGAATTGTACTTACAGCTTTGTGCATGCTAGAGAAGCATTCTTCCACTAAGGAACATTCCTGGCCCTTTTTCTTTTGGAGTTTGGTTTGTTGAGATGGTCTCACCTTGTAGGCCAGGCTGTACTCAAACTCTGTCTTCCTGCCTCAATCACCCACTGCTGGGATCACAGTCACACCTGAATTAAGCATTGTCTTTTTTTGTTGTTGTTTTTTATGGCCCTGAGGACTGAATTTAGGGCTTCATGAATGCTGGGCAAGCACTGTACCTCTGAGCCACGTAATAAGTTTTAACGGAAATTGTCTGCATTGCCTGGATTCTCATTGTTGTACATAGGAGTAATGCTTTTTAATGCTCTCCTGTACAGAGCCATTTGGAAATTTAGGTTCCAACATCTAAGACAATAACACTTTCACATTTATTGTCTTTCTTTTAAGAAGCTTTGGTACTAACAATTGAAAGTTTGTAATTTGGGAAAATAAAAGGAGGTGTTTCATTCCCAATAGCTCACAGGGAAAAAAAAAATGACATAGTTTTTTTCCCTTAAATTATAGCTAGGAAAACCAAATGAGAAAAATGATTTTTCTAATTTTACCAGACAAGTCTGGGTAAGGTACTGACATGGAAGTAGCTAAGGCTTTTGTCTTTTTATGTTTAGATCCGGCAGTTGGTGATGGGTAAGCTGTCATCTGTCAGATTGCATGATTTACCCATGATTATCAAGTTCATTCTTCATTCTCTAACAGCCTCCAATGCCCTTGAGGTATGCCATTATTTCCCACCAAACCTAGATAAAGATTCATCACGATAAGTTATTTAAATCAGTAGTCTAAAGTGCTCTTCTCTGGCCCCAGACTAGTAATGCTGATTATTCCAGAAAATGTTCAGGAAGGAGACTGGAGCTACTAGTCTGATTGATGATTTTATGTAAGCTGCTGCAGGTTTCTCTGTAATAGTACCTCATGAAATTCTGGAATTTGGGGTGTAGCATATTAACTATTCTCAACAACTATCTTACAAAAATGCTCTCTCTGGCATTTGTATTTTTTCTTCCTCAGTCTTTCAGGGGTTATTACAGTTTCATTGAGTGAGTGGGCTATGTCAGTTCACTGAGAATGTGCAGGGCACATGGCTGATACTGACTTTCTGCAGGTACTTTCTGAGCTTCGGGAGAATTTGGATATACAGCATTTTATTTTGCCTTCACGGTTTCATGCTTCCCAAATCAAGTCGAGAAGTAAAGGACGAGCAAGGTACAGAGTTCTTTGACAGTTGTCGTCTCTTTTCTTCCATAGACAGAGTTTTCTGTTGTTCATCCTCAAGTCAAGATAGTTTGTGCTTGATACTTACAACTGCAAATACTGGAGTAGTATTCACATGCAGTAATTATATGTGAGAGAGATCTTTGTCATTCAGATTATTCCCCAAAAGTCCAGGGTTTTTGTTTGTTCATTTTTGTCATAGAGGGGTTTGATGGTGGGGTTTGAACTTTTTTCTCGCAAGCAGGCTCAGCCACACCTCCAGTCTGTTTTGCTCAGGTTATTTTTTGAAGATGGGGTTTCTTGAACTCCTTGCCCTGGGTGTCCTTGAACCATGAGCCTCCCAATCTCAGCCTCTCAAATATCTAGGATTACAGGCATGAGCCATCAGGCCCAGGTTTTGATTTTTGGTGGTTCAGGCATTTGAACTCAGGACCTTTGCTTGCTAGGCAGGCATTCAACTGCTTGAGCCGCACGCCAGCTCCACAGTATAAGTTTTTTAGTCATTTTACATGTGAGATTGGGACTTGCTCTGCATATGTGGCTAGTAAGCTGGCACCTGAGTCTTAAAAGTTTTTCTCTGGTACGTAGAAGAAATAATTTTCCCAATCTGCTATTTGTAGTTCTTCTGGAAATCAAGAAAGCAACGATAAAGACTGTATTACTCTCCTCTTTGATGTAATAAATTCGGCTGTTAATATGAGAAAACCATTTCAGAAGCCTGGATTAAGGTGAGTGATATCTTTGGAACTTTGAGCATCAAGGAAGAAATAGGTATCAGTGAGTGGCAGTTGTGTAAGTACAATAGGCTGAAATAAAAGTCTTTAAATCATTTAAGCAGAAATCATTGATGTTTAGCACATGGGCATATTGGCTGTCAATTTAAGAGAATGGGGCATGGGGAATAAGGCATGAATAGCATGTTCCACTGAGGTGTTGTAATAGTGTTTTAACCCTTGTTTTTCCAGGCAATTGAAAACATTGCCGAAGATGCTGAACACAAGGTAATTAATATTCTTGTACTGTGGCTAGGTTAAGTTCCTGTTTTCTTCCCTACTCTTCAGTCTTGCTTCTGTGCCTTCTATAGCTGTTCTTAATAAATATTGACTGTTTGGCACAACAAGGGAATTGGACTATGAGCACATGATAAAAGCGAGAGCACACAAGGGAGGGGTGAGGATAGGTAAGACACCTAAAAAACTAGCTAGCATTTGTTGCCCTTAATGCAGAGAAACTAAAGCAGATACCTTAAAGCAACTGAGGCCAATAGGAAAAGGGGCCCAGGAACTAGAGAAAAGGTTAGATCAAAAAGAATTAACCTAGAAGGTAACACCCACGCACGGGAAATCAATGTGAGTCAATGCCCTGTATAGCTATCCTTATCTCAACCAGCAAAACCCCTTGTTCCTTCTTATTATTGCTTATACTCTCTCTACAACAAAATTAGAGATAAGGGCAAAATAGTTTCTGCTGGGTATTGAGGGGGGGGAGCGGGAGGGGGTGGAGTGGGTGGTAAGGGAGGGGGTGGGGGCAGGGGGGAGAAATGAACCAAGCCTTGTATGCACATATGAATAATAAAAGAAAAATGAAAAAAAAAAATAAATAAAAAAATAAAAAATGAATGAAAAAAAAAAATAAAAGATTAGAGGCTCCCTTACCTTAGGAGCAGTTTAAAAAAAAAAAATAAATAAATAAATAAATAAATAAATAAAGTTTTATTGGGAAAAAAAAATAAATATTGACTGTTTGGGAAAGATGACGTGAGTGGGTGGTTGGCAAATAATCTGCCCCTGCTATATAATTTTGGCAATTAAATAAGCCTGCAGTATCCAGAAGGGGAAACATGAACATTCCAAACACATCAAGTCATAATCAAAGAAGTAACATCTCCAACTGAGGCATGAGTCAGGTCTGTCTGTCCAATTACCCTTCCTTCCAACTGGCAGAATTGTTAAGATGATGGTATTTTGTGTTTTACTTTACTTTACCCATGTGGACCTGACCAGGTAGATCAGTCTTTACACTGTTAAGGTAATGGTACTAGATTTATCTTTCTAGTTTTAGAAATACCTTCTATCCAGAAGCCAGATAATTGGTTTCTTCTAAAGACTTTTCTTTAGTTAGTATCTGTTTTGTTTTGAGGAATTTTAGTTGGGTATCCAATTGTTGGATGACTGTCTTAAAGTTTTATTTTTATTCTTTTTTTTTTTTGTGATACTAGGATTTGAATCAAGACCTCATGCTTGCTAGGCAAGTACTTTGCCACGTGAGCCAACATCCCCTAAAAGCTTTTATGATATGGCTAGAGGCATGGCTCAAGGGATAAAAGTACCTGCCTTGCAAACACAAAGCCATACATTCCTGTCCCAGTACCACCAAATGAGTGAATGAATAAATGAATAAGTAAAAACTTCTATGATGTGGAATAAAATGATGGAAATAATTTTGGAGGGGAATAATCAGCACACCCTAGCATAATTCTTATTTTTGAATAAAAATAAATTTCCCTCCTTAGCTGTCTATATACTGTGTTCACAGACTTGCAAGCACTGTATAAATATAAATTTTTATTCTTTTTTTTATTTGGTGGTACTGGAGATTGAACTCACACTTGGTAGGCAGGTGCTATACCACTTGAGTCATCAGCTCTTTTTAGTGTTGAATATTTTCGAGATAGGGTTTCATGTGGTATTGGCTGGCTTCGAGTCATGATCCTTCTGATCTCTGCCTCCTGTGCAGCTGAGATTATAGGCATGAGCCACTAGCACATGGCTCTTTTTTTCATTTTGAGACATGGTCTCATGTAGGCCAGACTGATATCAAGACTCATGTCTCCTGCCTCAGCCTCCCTACTGCTAGGATCATAAGTGTATACCATCATGCCCACCTGTAATTTTTTGTTCTAATTTTTTTCTCTTTACATTTTTTTCTTCTGTCATAAACATTTTGCATGGTTTTTTGTTCTCTGTTTTTCTAGCCTTGGAGATCTAACTAGGGCCTCACACATGTTTTGCAGATGTTGTATTACTGAGCCCAGCCCCTCATTCTCTCTCTCTTTTTTTTTGGTGGGACTTGAGTTTGAACTCAGGTTGCTTGCCTTTGCAGACACTCTACTTGAGCCATGCCTCCAGTTCATTTTGTTTTGTTCTGATTATTTGGAAGATGGGGGTCTAGCGAACTATTTGCCCAGGCTGACCTTGAATCACAATCTTCCGGATCTCAGCCTCCAAAGTAGCTAGATTATAGACACCTTGTGTCTTTTTTTTTTTTTTTTTTTTTTCAGGACTAGGGTTTGAATTTACAATCTACACCTCGAGCTACTCCACCAGCCCTTTTTTGTGAAGGGTGTTTTTCGATATAGGGTCTCATGAACTATTTGCCCAGATTGGCTTCAAATGGCAATCCTCCTGATCTTTGCCACCAGCACCCGGCTCATTGTCATTTTAAATGGCTGTATTCTGTTCTGTTCTATTTTCAATTTTGATATCTAAATGATTGGGGCCTTAAGTGAAAAGATGTCCCAAATCACTTATTTTTTTCTTTTTTGTCTCTCTTGGCATTATATTTTTTTAAAAACATAAGAATTTAAGGTAATTGGGGAAAAAACACAAGGAATTTATACATATAAAAAGAAAATTCCCTCCACACTATGTTTATTCTTCATATGTTCTGTTCTGTTCTATTCTTCATATTAAATGTTTTGTATTCATGTGTAAGGTGTATATGTGTGCAAGTATAGGCATAATCACTTTTATGCCTACATGTCTCTATTTTGTTTCTGTTTTGGTATTACTGGGGTTTGAACTTGAAGCCATGTGCTTGCCAAGCAGGTGTTCTTCTGCTTGAGCCAAGCTGCCAGCCCATATTTATTTTTGTATATTGCTCTTACAAAGTGGAATATTGCTGTGATTGTTTTGCAGGTTCCTTTTTCTCACTTTACCATATATCAGAAATGGCTTTCTCTGTTCAAAATGCAATTTACCTCATTACATAGTCTAGCTTATTCTTTTTTGTGGCTACGTAATATTCAAAAATGATTTTTGTACTTTATTTAACCTTCCCATATTGATGAGCATTTATAGTCTTTTCAGCTTTTCACAAAGCAGTTTTCATAATAATTATGAAAATATATGCTATAGTGATTAATGTTTTCTTTTGAAAAATGTGAAGATGTTCAAAATTATTTCTACAATAATATCACTTCCACTTATATTCCAGTACTTTCTTAAGAGGTACCATTGGTTAGTAATTGTGGCACTTTATTTCTCTAAAAAATATTTCTGCATTTTGTGAAAATGTACTGAGAGTATATTGAGCAGATGTGTTTCATCAACTCTGTTTTAGTGGGAGGAAGTTGAGAGTTCCTGTTTTGTTGCAGATACACTAATTTGTTAAACTGTTTTCCTGTTGCTGTGTATTTCTTGACAATAGACTTTTGATGTGGCGATGCTTCTCCTCATCTATAGCACCAACACTCAGACCAAAAAGTACATTGAGAAGGTTCTAAGAAATAAGGTCCGATCAGGCTGCATGGAAGAACAGCTGCTGGAGAGCACCTTCTATATTCATCACTTGGTGAGTGTCAAGGAGGTGGAGCAACATTATCTGAACGTCTAGAAAGGTCACCTCAGTCTTTGCTACCCATTGTGTCAATCCTAGTGACACCTTGCCTAGCATTAGATCTTTGATAAGGATCTCAGCATATTTCAAAACGTAGTAAAGTCATTATGAGGTTGGTAAACCAACCTATGATTGATTTTCACCTTTTTACCGAGAGGTTCATGAAATCGGTTTATGTTGAGTTTAATTTGACTCAAATCCTAACAAATGTCTTAATCCAGGTCTTCTGATTCCCTAGTATAAAAGTTGTTTTTTGTTTGTTCAGTTTTTTTTTGTGCTGAGGGTAGAACTCAGGGGCTTTCACTTGCCAGGCAGGTGCTCTACCAGTTGAAACTGGGATTTAGAAGGTCTAGCTTGTAATTCCAAATTGGGAAAATAAGAACTGTATTATTTAGCTTATAATTAAACTTTGAGCTTTAAGTTCATTTTTTACCCATCTGTGGAATGTCATTGACTCATAGAGAAAGAAAATTCACAATGGTGAAGGAGTCAAGTGAAAAGATTAACATTCCTTTAATGTTAAAGTGAGAGTTGGAGGTTTGGGATGTAGTGCATTGGTAGAGCCCTTGCCTAGCATGCACCGGGCTAGGTTCAATTCCCAGCAATGTAAAAATTTAAAAAGTTGGGGAGAAGAATTGATATCCCTGAGGGGATATTTTCTTAAGAGAGATTTGTGGTTCAAAGCACATCTTAGATTCTGTAATAATTAAGGTTTTTTTCACAGCTTCTTTTCTCTTTCCTCTTCCCCTTTCCAGGTTCTTAAGGACATTTGTCCATCCATTTTGTCGTTGGCTCAGAGTTTGTTTCACTCTCAAGACCAGAATATACTTTCATTTAGCAGTCTCCTATACAAATATGCTTTCAAGTTTTTTGACCCTTATTGCCAGCAGGTATGTTGAAATATTTATTAGGGTAAGGACAAAACAGGGATTTTTTTTTTTTTTTGATGGTAGTGTGTATTGAACCTCAGAACAAGGAAACGGAAAGAAAGATAGTTCTAAGCAAATTGCATGTAATCTGTCATCTCTTCTTGGTGACTGGAAGACATTGAAGGCGAAATAACTTTGAACTGGGGCATGTAAAACCCAGTTCTAGTCCCAGTCTTAAAGTGAAGAGATTGGCCTGGAGGATCTAAAACTGTTCTGAACTTTAAAATTAAGGTCCAAATCCAAGTTGTTCAAATAAACCTTGGCCTAATAGGTTGGGGTTGTCAGATACTTTTTACAATACAGAAATGGCAGTTAAGTTTAGTGGTAAATAATCAACTTTCAGCTGGTCCTGTCGTTGTTCCTTAAAAAACATATAGCAAAAAAGTGATGAATGAGAAGTGCTTTTTTCATATTATTAGTGTATGCTAATTCAAAAGAGCTATGTTTGAGGCCTAACTCTATTTCCATGAACGTGAGACACCAAGTTTAAATAACAAATAACCCAAGAAGAAAGAATATGCTTGGAAAACAACTAAGAATAAAGCGTCTTACTTTATATTGTTATTCATACTGTACCTATGAGCAGCAGTGTTCAAGCATATTTGAATGGCACTTTTACAAACCCAGATTTGTAAAATAAATACATTCTCTGCAGTGCTGAGGCTCAGACTCAGGGTCTGGCACATACTAGGCCAAGTGTTATACCACTGAGTTACATTGCCAGCCCCTAAACAATATTTTAAAGTTTAGAACAGAAATGCAGCTGACATGAGCTAGGTATTGCAATTGAGAAACTGCGTGACTCTGTTATAGAATAGTAATATAAAAGAAAGGGTGCAGGATTTTAGAGATGTTTTTGCGCCCTCTTAATGTCTTAGTGCACCATTAGATGGGTTCTCTTGACACCATGCAAGTCTGACCTGTGTCATTTAAGGACTATGTGAGTACTGTCTTTTCATGAAATGTCAACAGATTTAAGTCCATTCACACCTTAAAACTTAGTTCATATGGGAAAAAGAACGAAGACTATGTCAAGGAGCAAAATAAAGAAGGCTTAGATTGTGCTCACTGGTGAATTATGGGGAGCAGGTAATGTACAGATCTAGGGCATCCTGAGCCAAAATTAATGAAATTAGATAATAGAGCACAAAACCAGAAAGGTTGTGACTTTAACAATATAGAGACTAGAAAGGCCTCAGGAATGAAGGCATTCAGAATAACCATGCCATACTTTACTTCACACTGTCCTGTTGTCACCCCCTGCTCCCATAGGAAGTAGTTGGCACCCTGGTGACCCATGTCTGTAGTGGGAATGAAGCTGAAGTCGATGCTGCGTTGGATGTCTTCCTTGACTTGATAGTACTAAGCCCATCTGCGATGAGGCCGAACGCCGTTTTTGTGAAGGTTATCTGTTGGTTGCATTGTTATATATTGAATCTTTTTTTTTTTTTTTTTTTTGTGCGATACTGAGGTTTGAACTCAGGGCCTACACCTTGAGCCACTCCATCTGCCCTTTTTTGTATTGGATTTTTTTCAAGATAGGGTCTTAAGAACTGTTTGCCTGGGCTGGCTTCAAACTGACATCCTCCTGATTGCTGCCTCCTGAGTTGCTAGGATTACAGGTGTGAGCAACTGGTGCTCAGTTGAATTGTTTTTCTTTTATGTGTCTTGAGCTGATATCTGTTAGTAAGTGATCGTTTATTTGTTTTTTTGGGAGCGTGTACTGGGGCTTGAACTGAGGTTCTCATGCTTGGTAGCCAGACACTCTACCACTTGAGGCACACCATCGGCCCATATTTGTACTCTTTAGATACTGAGCACTATATGTGGTGGGAGGGATTAGTGGGAGGTTCCATTACAGGCAAGTTATAAAAATGACTTACTGATGTATTAATTCATTCAGAAGATACATCTTTATACCTAACTGTGCCAAGCTCTGTTCCAAATGCTGTGTATCTGAAGGTCAGTCTTTTTTCTTAATAATAGAGGAAGACACCCAAACAAGTCACTAAAATACAATCTGATGAATTCTGTAATAAAAATAAAGTGCTACAGGTACATGAGAGCAGGCAGCTGAGCATGGTGGGGCACGTCTGTAATCCCACATTTTGAGAGGCTGAGGCAATAGTTTGAGGCCTGTGTAGGATACATACTTTGACCTGTCTCAAAACAAAATGAAGGAAACAAAACAGAGCAGAAATCATTAAATTTGGCCTGAGGAGCTGGAGAAGTCTTCAAATAGGAGATGACTTTTTTTATTGTTTTTGGAGGATACTACTGTTTGAACTCATCTAACTTGTACTTACTGGTTAGGTGCGCTATCACTTGAGTCATGCCCCCAGCCCTTTTTGGCTTTAGTAGTTTTTTGGATAGGGGCTTGCATTTGCCTGCGCAGGCTTCAAACCATGATCCTCCTACCTTTGGTTTCCCTATGGCTGGGATTACAGAAATGCACTACCACACCTGGCCTATTTGTTGAGATGGAGCCTCACTAACTGTTCCTGGGCTAGCCTCAACCACAGTTCTGCTCTCCACCTCTCAAGTATGTGAGCCACTGTACTTATCCCAGTAGACAACACTTGAGTGGGAATGATTGGTGAGAGAAGAGAAAGAAGTGCAATTTGCCAGAGAACATTTTGAACAAAAGCAGAGTTGGTGCATGAGTCCACGTATGCCTGAGGGATGACAAATAGACTGGACTGGCTGGAGAATAGGATATATGGTGGGGAGTGGTAGAAGGTAAGGGTGGTATGACATAGGACAGAGCCAAATTTTGAAGGATTTCAGGCCCATACTAAAGAATTTTAAATCAATTTTATAAACCATGGGGAACTGGCATAGGTATTTACAGGGAAGTGACCTAATCAAGTCGGGGCTTTAAGGGCACGTGGTGGATTGAGCGACAGCCACTGAAATGGCCCCAGGGAGTGAGAGAGTAAGAACAAAAATTAGAATCATGAGGAAAAAGAGGAAATGATGGCTTCAGACACAATTTGGTGTTGGGATCATTGTGATCACCACAAATATATACCTGTGAGAAACAGAAACCGGGTACAGGTTCTCCATAGTGCATCTTCTGGAGGAAGCTTGGAGGGGTTTGAGTTTGGGAGCCTCCGGTTTGCATGGTTAGTGGGTAGTAGGAAATTCCACTGTGGAGTCCAGGGGGCTCATGCGATGAAAAGTTTAGTTTTGTATATCCAGCAGACAGGTGTGAGCCAATGTGTGGCAAGAGACCATGGATGCACAGAGGAGTGCAGAAATTTTGAGAGCATTGGAGTTCTAAGTGGCAGACTGGAACAAAGCCTTTTGGAAGAAGAATAAGGAAGCAAGAAGTGAATAATGTAAACTAAGCTGGGCGCCACTGCCTGATGCCTGTAATTCTAGCTACTCAGGAGGCAGAGATCAGGAGGACTGCAGTTCGAAGCCAGCCCAGACAAATAATTCTGTGAGACCCTATCTTGAGAACACCCATCACAAAAAAGGGCTGGTGGAGTGGCTCAAGGTGTAGGCCCTCAGTTCAAGCCCTAGTACCACAAAAACAAAAAAATAATAATGTCAACTAGAAAGATGTCAGGTAGCAGAAGCTCAGGAAGAAGAGAGTTCAAGAGGGAGGCATTTGCTGGGTGTTGGTGGCTCATGCCTGTAATCCGTAGTTACTTGGAAGGCGCAGGTCAGGAGGACTCTGAGGCCAACCCAGGCAAAAAGTTTATGAGATCCTATGTCAGCCAGTGGCTGGGCGCAGTGGTGCACGGCTGTATTGAGAAATACTGCAGGTGTGATGGTGAAGAGGACAGAGGACGGGGAAGTACACAGGATGACCACACATGGGTCCAGTCAAGGCCAGGGTTGTGGTGCGGAATGCAGGGGACAAATGACTTCATCTTTCCCAGTGGAGGTTCCTAGTCTCGGATAAGACAGTCTTAGAAAGCTGCAAGAGCCTTCTTAGCGTATTTCCAGAACATCAGACTTGGCTTCTGAACACAGCTTCTATAACTTAAGCTGTCTGTGTATGTATCCTAAGGGTTGTGATAGACTTTGTCACTGAGATGAATGCCTGAGGACAGCTTAAAAGGTGTGAGGCTCAGTTTTAGCCCTTGATTTCAGAGGTTTCTGTCCATAGTCTGCTGCTGGATCCAGAATGTCGTGGTAATGAGTTTGTGCAGAGGCTGCCAGAAAGCAGAGGGGACAAGAGGCAATCTTTCCAGAACATGCCCCCAGGAGCACACTTCTCCGATGAGGCACCACCTTTTACTCTTCTCCACTTTCCAGTAGTGCATCATAGTAGGAATCCATCAGGATTAATCACTGATTAGGTCAGAACCTCATGACTTAATTGCTTCCCAAAAGCCATCTGCTGGCATCCAAGCCCCCAGTATGTGAGTCCAAGGGGACATTTTTTTCATACTGAAGTTGTAAGAAGGATTTAAAGAGATAAAATGTTAGCTACTAACCTCACTGTTGATATTTTTTTCCTTCCAGGGAATTTTAGATTATATGGAGAACATGTCCCCTCAGCAAATACGAAAAGTCTTCTATATTCTCAGTACACTGGCATTTAGTAAACAGCATGAAACTAACAGCCACATTCAGGTAAGAGAACATGTGTTAAGAAAGAATTTTTGTTTGTTTGTTTTTGGTGGTACTGTGGATTTGAACTCAGGGCCTTGCACTTACTAGGCAGGCGCTCTCTGCTTGTGCTATACCTCCATCCATTTTTGCCTTTAGTTATATTTTGGATAGGGTCTTGAGTTTTTACCTAGGCTGGCTTGGGACTTTGATACTCCTACCTATACCTCCTGCATAGCTGAGATTACAGGTATGCATCACCATGACTGGCTTGTTTTTTGAAATAGGGTCTTGCTAACTTTTTTGCCCAGAGTGACCTTAAGCCTTGATCCTTCTGATCTCTGCCTTCGGAGTAGCTGGGATTATAGGTGTGAGCCATGATGCTTGGCTGAGACTTTTTTAAACTTTATTTCTTGAAATTTGCTTGACAAATTGCTCCAGTTTGTATAATAATAGTGGAAATAGAGTATATAACCATAGTCCAAGCATTTGTTCATTCTTGTCATAGACATTAAGTGCCTGTTCTGTGCCAGTCACTGACATACTAGGTATATTAGACCTGCCCTCAACAAACCAGGTGTGGTGGCTCATGCCTATAATCACAGCACTGGGGAGGCCGAGAAAGGAGGGTTACAAGTTTGAGATCAACCTAGACAACATAGGTGGTTTGATGTCAGCCTGGGCTACATAGTGAGACTGTCTCAAAAAAAAAAAAAAGAAAAGAAAAGAAAAAAAGGGTTATTCTGTTAGGATAGAGATGGATTTGTAATCAGCCTTGATTATTCGTGAAACTGAGTAAGCAGAGCCGTTAGGTTCTATATTGAGTGCTGTGGAAGCACAGAATTCCTTTGTTATTCACGGAACATCCACAGTTAAGGTGAACTTCACCTGGACTCACTTTCACTTGTAGGCACCAATTACTAAGCAAAGCCAACCTAAGGGTGTAAAATCAAAGTTTGCGTTTGAATTGTAACTCCTACTCTTTTGTATCTTTAGTGCCACCTTGTGGCACAAATCCATACTAGACTGTGGCTTTGAATATCCAACACTTTTTTTTTTAGTTAAAAAATTTGTTTTTACTAGGTAGTATACATATATGGTACAAAATTCAAAATGTATAGAAACACATACAGTGAAAAATAATTCTCTCTCCCTTTCATTCCTCTAGACATCTGTTTGTCTCTGCAGAGGCAGTCATTGTCACTAGTTTATAGCTTTCTATGATGTTCTGAGCATTTGCAAATTTGTATTTACCAGTGTTCTGTGCCTTCCCCTCTTGTTCTATATATCACTTTTTGCATTTAGCAGAATATTTTGTAAATTGTGTCATACAAATAATACAAACCCACTTCACTATTGTATTTATGAATTGTAGCATTGTGTATAAAATTTAACATTTTAACTTTTTTTTTTTTTAATTTTTGAGACAGGGTTTCGATTTGTAGCTCAGACTGGCTTCAAACTCCATGTAAGCCAGGCTTGTCTTAAACTCAAAATCCTCCTGTCTCTGCTTCCCAAGTGTGTACTACCACTTCCAACTTTGTTTTAGCTTGTTTTAAGTATATAATTCAGTGACATTAACAATATTCACAGCCAGGCGTGGTGACAAACACTTGTAATCCAGCTACTAGGTAGAGTCAGAAGGATCCCATGCTTGAGGCCAGCCTCAAAAAAGCATAAAATAAAAGGGCTGGGGGTGTGACTCAGGTGGTTAGAGTGCTTGCTTAGCAGGCACAAGACCCTGGCTTCAGTGCCCAGAACTACCAAAAAAAAAAGAAGAAGGAAAAAGAAAGAAGATTACTATTGTCCATTTTCATTTTTATTGTCTTGGTAATTGGCAATAATTCTGTATTTTCCTCCCCTTAGTACTTGGTAATCTGGTAATCTCCAGTCTACTTTCTGTAACATGTCACATAAGTCATACAAGTGGAAGCGTCTGTTTGCCCTGTCCTGTCTGGCTTGTTTTCAGTGTTAAACTATGTGGTAGGATATAGCTGAATTATGTTTTATGTATATTCTGTGTTTTGTTCATTCATCCATTGATGGGTTTTTGGGTTGCTTCTACTTCTGTCCATTTGAATAATGCTATTACGTACTTCAGTGTGCATATATTTGTTTGAGTCCCACTTCTTAATTCCTTTTTGTATATACCTAGGAATAGAATTGCTGGGTCATTTGGTGATTTTAAGGGACCAAGAAAAATTTCCATGGGCAGCTGCACTATTTTAAATTTTTGCCAACAGTGTGTTACGGTTCCCTTTTCTCCTCATCCTTACGTTTTGTTGTTTTCCTTTTTGTAATTAATAACCATCCTAGTGGGTATAAAGTGGCGTCACTGTAGTTTTGATATGTACTTCCCTATGACTAATGACAGCAAACATCTTTCGTATAGGGGAAATAGTGTGCTTTGATGCACAAAAGTGTTCAGTTTTGATGGAGTTCAATTTATTTTTTTCTTTTGTTCTTTGTGCTTTTGGTGTTACACTTAAGAAACCAATGTTGTAATCCTAGCTACTTGGGAGGCACAGATTGAGATGGTCATGGTTCAAGGCCAGCCCAGGCAAAAAGTCTGGAGACCACCCCACCATGTGGTGACATGCACCTATTATTCCAGTTATTTGGGGATGTATAAATGAGGGGAGAAGGTCTCCATTTTGTCCAATCTGACCCCAGTATAAAATGAGACTCTTATTTCAAAATAACCAATAGCAAAAAGGGCTGGTGGAGTGGCTCAAGTGTTAGAGCACATATCTTAGCAAGTGCAAGGCTCTCAGTTCAAGCTCCCTCCCCCAACCAAAAAAAAATTGTCAAATCCGAGAGATCATGAAGATTTTCCTCCATTTTCTTAAAAGAAAATTTGGGTTCATAAATTTAAGTCTGTGATGCACTTTGAATTAACTTTTGGTATTACCTTAATTGTATAAGGTAAGGATTTAACTTTGTTCTTTTACTTAACGCATATCAAGTTTTTTTTTTTTTTTTCTTTTTTGGTGCTGGGAATCAAACCCAGGCCTCATACATGGTAGATAAGCACTCCGTCACTGAGCTACATCCCAGTCCTGCATATCCAGTTTTTATAGCACCATTCATCAAAAAAGACTATCCTTTCCCACCTTGAATGGTCTTAGTGCCTTTGTTGAAAATCAGTTGACCACATATGTGAAGGTTTATTTCTGAACTCTTTTCTGTTCCATTGGCCTATCTACCTGTCCTTACGCCAGTATTACAGCTATATAGTAATTTTGAAATCAAGGAGTAGGAGTATCCAACTTTGTTCTTTCTTTCTTTCTTTCTTTTTTTTTTAAGATTGTTTTGGCTATTTGGGATCCCTTGGAATTCTATATGAATTTTAAAGTAGAAGGCTCTTTTTTTCTTTTTCTTTTGGTGGGACTGGGGTTTGTAGTCAGGGCTTCGTACTTGCAAAGTCTTTATGTTTTTTCTTTTATTTATTTGTTAATATATTATAGTTGTAGTGTGGGTACATTGTGACATTTACAAAAGTGCTTACAATATGACTTAGTTTGACTCCCCCTTACTATGGATTTTTGTGTCTTTGCAAAAAAAAAAATATTGCTGACATTTGTAAAAGGATTGCATTGAATGTCTTTGAATAGTATTGTCATCTTAATAATATTAAGTCTTCTAATACAGGAGCACAAGATATCTTCTCATTTTTATTTATTTATTTGTTTATTTTGGCGTGTTGGGGTTTGAACTCAGGGTCTTACACTTGATAGGCAGGTGCTCTAGAACTCGAGCCACCACCAGCCTTCTTTTCATTATTTACATCTTTAATTTCTTCCAGCAATGTTTTGTAAATTTGTTTTGTTTTGATTGAGGCAGGGTCTCTCTGTGTAGCCCAGACTGGCAACTTGTGATCCTTTTGCCTCAGCATCCATAGTGCTGAGATTATAGGCATGCACCTCCACTCCTGACCAAAGCACTGTTATTTATATACATATATAAATTTAAACTAAGAATAGTATAGTATGCGTATATATTATATGTAAAGGTTTTTTAGTGGGACTGGGGTTTGAACTCAGAGCTTCATGCTTGGAAAGCAGGTGCTCTACTTCTTGAACTAAACCTCCCGTCCATTTTACTCTGTTTATTTTGGAGATGGGGGTCTCATTAACTATTTGCCTGGGTTGGCCTCAAACCACAGTCCTCCTAATCTCAGCCTCCCAAGTAGCTAGAATTACAGGTGTGAGCTACTGGTGCTTAACTTAGTTTTGTTTCTTTTGAGACAGGGTCTCACTGTGTAACCCAGCTGGTCTTGAATTTGCTCTGTAGCCCGACTAACCTCAAACTGGATTGTCTGCCTCATCCTCTGAGTACTGGAATTACAAGCATGCACCACCATGCTTGGCCAGCATTGTTTTGTAGATTTTAATGTATGGATTTGCTTCCTTGGTTAAATTTATTTCTAAGTAATTTATTCTGCATTGTTTTAGCTGATCAGCCAGCATTCTGATAATTTTCATATCCCTATAAGCAACCAACATGACAATACTAACAGTTATTATTACTGAATGTCTACATGTACATGTTCTACGAATTTTTCATAATTTGTCTCTAAACCTTAAAACAACACTTTCCATCTTAGAGATGAGAATATTGAGACTCAGAGAAATGGAATGACTTGCTAAAGGCCACATAGTTAGTAAATGATAGAACCTTCCTAGTCTTAATCTAGTTGGGTTTTTTTGTTGGTTCCAGTATCCATATATTATTTAGCTGTGCCATTCCAGAATCTTCCACTTTCTCCACCCTTGTTTCATTGCAGGATGACATGCACCTGGTGATACGAAAGCAGCTCTCTAGCACCATATTCAAGTACAAACTCATTGGGATTATTGGTGCAGTTACCATGGCTGGCATCATGGCTGGAGACAGGTATATGGGGAGATTCTGACTTCTGTGGCTCAGGATCAATTAATCAAATTTCTGCCTTACCAAAAAAAAAAAAAAGTACATTGTGTTGACATAGTTTAAAAGTAGACAATTAAAACTCTTAAGCACTGAGCATATGTTTTGCTACTTTTCTGTGTTCTCTTTAATCTTGACTTCTAAGATGTATAATTTTTACAGAATTGTGATCATAGTTATTATAACTCGATGGTTAAAAACTAGGAATTTTCTGCTAGGTGCTGGTTGCTCATGCCTGTGATCCTAGCTACTCAGGAGGCAGAGATCAGGAAGATCATGGTTCAAAGCCAGCCTTGGGCAAATAGTTTGCAAGACCGTATCTCTAAAAAACCCAACACAAAAATGGGCTAGTGGAGTGGCTCAAGGTGTAGGCCCTGAGTTCAAGCCCCAGTATTACAAATAATAAATAAATAAAACAATAAAACCAAGAATTTCCAAGATAAAGAATTCTAGAAATCTTTTCATAAAACGGGAACCTTGAGTTGGGCGCTGGTGGCTCATGCCTGTAATCCTAGCTATTCAGGAGGCAGAGATCAGGAGGATTGAGGTTTGAGGCCAGCCTGAGCAAAAAAAAAACGTATCTTAAAAACTAACCAATACACAGAAAAAGCGGGGCTGACAAAGTGGCTCAAGTAGTAGAGTAACTAGAAAGTGTGAGACCCTGAGTTCAAACTCCAGTATCATCAAAAAGGGGGTAGGGGAGAGTACCTTGATCCTCCTGATATGCATTCTTCTGTGTCTGCTCCTGAGCTAGAACACTAGTCAGTGCAGGTGTCTACATTGCTGTGTTAATCCTATCTGGAGCTTCGAGTTGTGTACAAATAAAATCTTCACTGTGGATTTCTCCCCTCTTGATTTTTGATGCCCAGTTGTAGCATCTAAAGAAGCATCTGGTTTGGGACTTGGTAAGATGTTTTCATTGCAAACTGACAGCACAGTTCTATTCATGCTTCTTTGAAATTATCTGTCAGGAATTAGAAAACTCAGTACACATCCTTTGAATCAGCATTAATAATCTGAAGAAGAAAAATAACCTGAAGAGGCTGTAGTGTATCAGTTAAGAGTGTATTCACTCTGAAGTCTTACTGCTTGCCTGGAGTCAAATCCTGGCTCCGTTGTTCATTGGCTACTAATCTTAGGCAAGTTGGTAGTCTTACATCTGTGAAATGAGGATAATGGTAGAATTTACTTCAGAGTTATTGAGAGCATCTCGTGGTTAGAACAACGCCCAGCACATAGTATATACTAAAGAAGTGTAAGCTGAGCACAGTGTCACACACCATAGTCCCAGTTCCTTGACTGGGCAGGAGGATCACTTGAAGCTAGGAGTTCAAGGACAGCCTGAGTAACATATTAAGACCCACCTGGAAAAAAAAAAAAAGAAGTGCTTGCCCTTATTATTACTGAGTCAGTGTGCTCCTAACAATATATAAAGCTTGGTGCAGTGACATGCCCCTCTAGTTCTGCACTTGAGGCCAGAATTTTGAGATATGCCTGAATGGCATCGTGCTACCCCATGTTCAAAGAGGGGTGGGGAACACAATCCTTTGCTGTAATCTGTACTTTGTAGGACAAAATAAGTACTTCTCCATGCCTTCATGAATTTTATCTCTACTTCTACCTCAAGGAAGGCAGGATTCTTAAATTTATGACCCATTGTAAAATACTGCAAAAGTAAGGGATGGGAATCCTATTCCCTTGAGAGACAGAAAGCCAGCTGAGAAGGTAACTGCCAAAGCAGAGTTTATTTAACTGGCTAGCCAGGATCGAGCTCCAGTATGGACACGCAGGTCCAGTCAGGAAAGCTCGACCCCCAGTCTTCTTAGGGGAAAGCTTATATAGTCCATTTCCAGCCGTTACAATGAAAAACCCGCACATTTCTTAACCAATGATTTTGTAACATCCCCTTCATTTCAGCCTATTGAGCAACAGAACAGTAACAAGCATACTTCGTTTATCTGCATTGGGCAGGCAGGCAGAACACGTCCTGCACATAGCTCATATCCTGCACGTTTCCCCTGCAATCGTGTCTGAGTCATGTCCTGCTGCTTTGTTCATCTTATCTATACCAAAGATGGGAGGGGGTTATAGTTTTGTCTGTCATAACAGAGTTTAGTCCCTCTCAAAACTAAAATTTTTTGTTTCTAGAAATAGATCTTCTAATTCAACCCAAGGAAGAGCTGACCTGAGCGATGAACAGTGCACACAGGTGAGTGCACTCCCTCACCTGCATATAATGTAGGCAGATGTTTATGAATAACTGAGGAGCTGCTTCTATCATTGTTGGTTCACCAGAAAGAATACTTTGTTTTGAACTCAGCTTTTTTTTTTTGTCCTTTTCTTTTTTGGTGCTGGGATCGAACCCAGAACCTCAATCATGCTAGGCAAGCATTGTGCCACCAAGCCACATCCCAGCCCTGAACTCAGCTTTTGTGGGTGTTTTTTGGGGCGGGTGGGACTAGGATTCGAGCTCAAGGCTTCATGCTTGCAAAGTGTGCCCTTTACCGCTTGAGTGACGCCTCCAGTCCATTATGCTCTGCTTATTTTGGAGATGGGTCGGGGGGTTCTCAAACTATTTCCTGGGCTAGCCTCCAACTACAATCCTGATCTCAGCTTCCCAAGTAGCTAGGATTACAGGTGTGAACCATCTGTGCCCAGCTGTGTGTTTTTTTTTTTTTAAAGTCATTTCTGTGGTACATAGAATCTTTGACTTGAATTTTATTGATTTTAGTATCTGTTTGTAATCTCTCCACTTAGATTTTAAATTTTTAGCAAGACAGATGGACTGTCATTAAAAATAGGTTAGACTGGGTGTGATTCAGTGGTAAAGACCTTGCATAACACATATAGGTTGGTTAGAGTGTAGGGAAAAATAAGCATTTAGTAGTGAATTGTACATAAAGCTTATTTAGAGGGCCTTGAATGTCAGGTAAGATATTTTTACTTCACTCTTTAAGAAGGGGTAGTCCTTCAGGCTTTTTAGCATGGAAATGGCATAGCTACAGCTTTGTTTTAGAAAAATTAATCTGGCTGCATGTTCTGGATTTGGAAATGGAACGTGATTGGAAATAAGCAGACAACGCGAGGTTTCTGCAAACCTCAAGTGAGAGGCAGAGGTTTTCCAGCAAGATTGCAGAGGGAAGTTGGTACTGCACGGGGCAAACAGCACCCAGGAGGGCTGCCCGCCCAGCCACTGCAGCATTCTCTCTCTCTGGCTACCAGGTGACCGCCTTGCTGCAATTGGTTCATTCCTGTAGTGAGCAGTCTCCTCGGGCCTCCGCACTTTATTATGATGAATTTGCCAACCTGATTCAAGAAGGAAAACTGGCTCCCAAGACCTTGGTAAGGCCAAGTAGCTCATCTTAAAGCCATGAAGCATGAGAGCTGTTTTGCAACATACTCTTCCAGTCCTTCTCTGTTTTGCATTGTGAAAATAGCTTATTACGTGAGCTCTCACAAATTTCACACCTCCCCACCCCCTCAGGGTGCTCCTCTGAGGCTTCCTTCACATATTCAGTAATATTAATGAGAGGAAGAGGGTATTGTTGATAGACATCATCTGTTTGACAGCCCTATCCTGTGCTGGGTGCTGAGCTAAGCACTTTTCTACTTCACAATAGTTGGGTATGGTTATTTCCTTTTTCAGAATGAGAAAACTGATACTTAGAAAGGCTAATGGTAAATATCTAAGACTCTAGACCAAGTACACTATGGACTTTTTGTTTGTCTGCTTCTTGAAGGAATGGGCTGGTCAGACCATCTTTAATGATTTCCAAGATGCCTTTGTGGTGGACTTTTGTGTTGTTCCCAAAGGGTAAGTGCTGTTTGGTTGTACTGCCAAAGAAGTTAAGTCTGTTTTGTCAGTAGGTTTCAACAAACTTAACGCTACCCTTGACCTTAGTCTAGCTTGCCCACTCTCATAGCTTCTTTCTTCTCAACCCTTAAACCCTGTGTTCCCAGCTCCAGAATTGCTAAAAGTTTCCTTCTTGTTTTTTGTTTTTGTTTTTTTCGGTATTGGGGCTTGAACTCAAGGCCTAAACCTTGAGCCACTCCACCAGCCCTATTTTTGTGAAGGGTTTTTTGAGATAAGGTCTTTCAAACTATTTTGCCCGGGCTGGCTTCAAATCCCGATCCTCCAGATTTCTACCTCCTGTGGAGCTAGGATTGATTACAGGTGCAAGCCACTGGTGCCTGGCTTGTTAGCTATTTTTTAGATAAGGTCTCATTAACCGTTTGCCTGGGCTGGCTTCAAACCACAGTCCTCATGATCTCTGCCTCCTGAGTAGCTGGGATTATAGGTGTGAGCCACTGGTGCGTGGCCCTCTTGTTCTTTTTTTCTGTTTCTGAGTTCTCCCCATAATAGTGTGTTTGAAATTGGTTTATTTTAAGGGTGTCCCCCTTATCTTTGCTTACCCCTGAGCTAAGGCATCAGATTCTGTGTTCTCTTCACAGTGATTTTCTGTTTCCTGTGAAAGCTCTGTATGGACTGGAAGATTATAGTACACATGATGGGATTGCAATCAACCTCCTGCCACTGTTGTCTCAGGAATTTGCAGACGATGGGGGTCAAATGACTTCACAGGAATCACAGCAAAAGTCAGTGCAGTTTTTCTTTCTGAAGTCTTTGGTGCTTCGAATGTTCATAGGGAATTCCATAGTTCCATCGACCTAGATGGACTTGAATCAAAAGAGTTTCTACTGAGACACATGGTATTTGAAGGGATTAGAGGGAAAGGAACAGACTACTTGATTTTTCTAGACCCTGGGGTTGAGATTTGTATAGCTCAATACAGCCAGCAGGTATTGTACTAGGCTGTTTCTTGTTCCTGTCCTTTCCCTTGCCTTCCCTGCCATGAGCATCCTTGGCTGTCTCTTCCTGACTCACTCCTTCCCTCCATTTACCTGTTTCACATTCACCCCACGTACCTCTGCCCTTCTGCAATTTAGGTCATTGTTTGTTTGCTTAACATTAATTGAGTTTCTTACCACTTGTTCTTAAAATAAACATTTATTTTGGGCAAAACTATTTCATTATAATATTGTCCTGTAGACGTGGACTAATATGACTATGACTATGAAGTGCAGTTCAAGAAATGGATTTTTTCCTTCCTAGATTGGTGTCTCCATTGTGTCTGGCTCCCTATTTCCGGTTACTGAGACTTTGTGTGGCACGACAACATAATGGAAATTTGGAAGAGATTGATGGTCTCTTAGGTACAGGATGAAGTCCTCAGCTCCTTCCTTCCTTGTTATCTTATTGATAAACATAGACAAGGGCCAGACTAATACATGGTGTATGTCACAGATTAGTATAGCAATAATAATGGAATTCAAGAGACAAAGTAGTATGTACAGAATCCCATTATGTTAGTAAATCAGTTATTGTAGGTCCATGTTGCTTCCCAGTTGTTCTCCATATACTTGTTGCACAAACTTCCTAATTATATTTGTTGATTGCTGTATAATATGGAAGTATTTTTTGAGGTAATCAAAGCTTGACCCTAAAATATGAATTAAAGGGGAAAATAAGTACCTTCAGGGGTTACTGGACTTCAACTAAAGGAAGTTGGAAATACTTGTTCTTATCTCTCAGACTGTCCTATATTCCTTACTGACCTGGAACCTGGAGAGCAGCTGGAGTCCATGTCTGCTAAAGAGCGTTCATTCATGTGTTCACTCATATTTCTTACTCTCAACTGGTTTCGAGAGGTGAGCAGAAATACTGAAATGTTTCACTTATTGTTTGTAGTATTTCCCAAAAGAAAACAATTTTCTTTGTTCCCACAAGGCTCTAAAAATATTTTAGTCTCCACCAAATATTTATATTTAATATAAATATTAAGTATATTTATATTTAATATAGAAGCACATACATGCTTCTCTGTTAAATCCCACCACGCCCTGACTGTAGTTACCTCCCAGTATCACCAAATCAAAGCCTCAGAGTTTATATCATGTGGCTCGTGGTTACCTCCTCCAGGCCTTGTCACAGTTCTACTTCTGCCTGGGATGACTCCTCTCCTCCTCCGCTGTAAAAACACAGTTCCTCCTACCACAGGTGTGCACTCACTGTGAGACGTGTTGGTGGAAGTTTCCCTTTCTTTAGAATGTGTGTGTGAGACAGTAATCAGGACAGTGATAGCAACATCTTACTACTGTCTCACTGCCTTTCTCTTGCACTTTGTCTCAGAGAATGTTTGTGTACTTGAATTCATCATAGTTTTATTATAATGTGGACAGGAGTTGTCCTTGTTTATATACATACAGAATTTCAAGTACAGAGGGTTCAAAGTCATTAAAGTTTATGAGTCACTTACAGTATGACAAGTGCTGACCTAATTTTTTTATTTATACTATTTAACTCATGTAACAAGTATATCCCCACTTTATAGTTGAGGAAGTAAAATCTCAGAAACGTTAAAGACAGCCAAGGTCACACAGGTAGTACATAGCAGAATAGGACACACCAAATGTGTGCTGTCCAGATGGTCCACCTTGTTACATACCTAGTAATAAGTAGAACTGGGATTTCTTTATTGTGGCCCACGGATTTGTTTTCTCTACATCACTTTGGTGATAACATTTTTACATTATAGATTTAATTCTCAACTTTGCATCACTATAACAAAATTCCCAAGATAACTTAAAAAGATCCAGGTACCTTTAGGGGTGGGGCTTGATTATTTTTGGTCACAGTTTTGGAGGTTCTAGTCCATGATGGATTTGCCCCATTATTGCTTTGGGCCTGTGGTGAGGCTACACATAATGACAGGGAGCATGTGGCAGAACAAAACTGCTCATCTCATGGCTAGGAAGCAAAAGAGAAGAGATAAGGATCCCCTGATTCCCTTCAAGGGCATGCCCCCAATGACATGAGGGCCTCCCACAAGGTCCCACCACTCAAAGGTTCCACCATCTCCCAAAAGTACTACACTGGAGATCAAGCTTTAACACATCAGACATTGGGTGACATTTAAGGTCCAAACTATAGCACAGACTAAGTGACATCTCTCAGCTCTGAGTGAGTAATACAAATAAGGTTAGACTCTAAACATGTCTAACTATGAGAATATATTTGTACTTTGTAGGTTGTGAATGCCTTCTGCCGACAAACATCACCTGAGATGAAGGGGAAGGTGCTCACCCGGTTAAAGGACATTGTAGAACTCCAGGAAATCCTGAAAAAGTACTTGTCAGGTAAGGAATTCCTATACTGGTAACCCTATTAGGTCATTGGTGAGGAGATAAAGAACTTAGCTTTTAAGCTGGCTCAATGATAGCAGTCCCACATACCTCTGGGGGAAAGGAAACGTGTGCTGAACAATGAGCACGTCCATTTTGCTCCTATTGTTACTGCCAAGAGATTTTACTCTGAAGAAAACAGAAGCCGAATGCCTGTGGCTCACACCTGTAACCCTAGTTATTTGGGAGGCCTGATCCGTCTCCAAAATAACCAGAACAAAATGGGCTGGAGGTGTGGCTCAAGTTGTAGAGCGCCTACTTTGCAAGTGTGAATTCCTGAGTTCAAATCCCAGTCCCACCAAAAAAGAAGAAAATAAAGAAAGAAAGAAAGAAAGAAAAAAACAACCATGTGCTAGTTGGTATTTGGGAGGCTGAGGTTGGAAGGATGACGGTTCAAGGCCAGCCTGGGCAAATAGTTTGTGAGATCCCATCTCAATGAAAAAAATGCTGAATGTAGTGGTACATGCCTGTCATCCCAGAGATGAATGGGAGTATGAAGTAGGATTGCAGTCTAGGCCAGCCTGGGTAAAAAGCGAGACCCTGTCTCCAAAATAACCAGAGCAAAAAAGTCTGGTGGTATGGCTCAAGTGGTCCAGCGCCTGCCTAGCTAGAGCAAAGCCCTAATTCAAACCCCAATATCACCAAAAAGATAAATAAAATTAAATAGTGGTGTACAAAACAAACTGCTGTGTTACCAAATATATTATCTTTAGATTTTAAATGTAAGTTTGTATATTTTTAGTTCCTTTTCTGATTTTTTTTTGATGATTATTTGGAATAGTTTTATATTACTGATCAAATAATACAATGTTCCTCTAGGTTCTCTATTTTGCTATGCAAAAACAATGTCAGGTGACTTAAATGTATCTTACAAACATTCACTGCTGACATTGATAATTTTAGAAAACTGTTTTTAGTCTCTTGGGTGATTGCACTCCAAGTGTAATAGTGGTATATGGTTGGTCTTCATTGAGCTTTGCTCTCTGTTTCAGTCACCCCAGACTTTGTTCCTCCTCTTGCAAACTTTGATTTGGAAACTTTAGATGTGATACCTCATAGCAGTTCTGCCACGTCAAAAAACAGAAAAAAAGGAAAGATTGGTGAGTATGCGCTTTTCTCTTTATCACTATCTGAGCCACATTGAATTAACCTAAAAAGTTGCATATATCAAGGCATCAGTAATCAGAAAGATTGTGTGATTGAACCCTTTCTTTAGTGGACTAATAAATGTTCTATAATTTAGGCTTTACAATTATCTCTTCTACATCTAGGTACTGTTCGAAAGGTTATTTCCTGAGGGCAATGATACTTAACAAAACATGATTATTAATCAGTTGAGTCATTTTTCTCTTTTTGCAATAGAAGGAGGAAGAAAACAAAAAGCAGATGGCAGCAAAGCATCCTCCCCTGACACACTTTCAAAGGAGGATAACACAGAATGTGACACTGTGCCATCTGGTAGAAGCCAGCTAGACAAGGTATTGGAGTACTGAGTGTGTGGCAAAGGTGTGTGACATCCCAGTGAGAGCTACAGAGGACTTATTCCCTGTGTTTTATGAAGAAAAAAATTAGGGAATAGAGAGGAAAATGAAGTCTCCTAGGTCTTGGAGTATCTCTCTAATAGAAAAGTTCAAATTAGATGCTTAGGTCTTGTCCCTGCTGCACACTGTTAGCTGTTTTTCTTATTATTTCCTTTTTTTTTTGGTAGTACAGAGGATTGGACCTAGGACTTTACATATGCTAGGCAAGTGCTCTACCACTTGAGCTACCCCCTCAGCTTTTTTGTTTTTATTTTGTTTTTGAGATAGGGTCTCACTGACTTTGCCAGGGCTGGCCTTGAACTCACAGTCTTCTACCTCTTCTCACAAGTAGCTGGAATTGGAGTTGCAGATGTGTACCACCACACCCGGCTACTAAATCATTTTCTTGTGTGTTTTACTTCCTTTGTTTTATACCCCATTAGTATTTTAAATTCTTTTCTTGTAGCAGTTATCAAATTCTGCTTAGAAAATACTTTTTGTGCTGAGTACTATGCTCATACCTGGAATCCTAGCCACTTAGGAGGCTGAGATCAGAAGGATTGAGGTTTGAGGCCAGCCCAGGCAAATAGTTCGTGAGACCCCATCTCCAAACTCACCAGACCAAAATGGACTGGAGGTGTGATTCCTGCTTCGCAAGCATGTGAAGCCCTTAGTTCAAACCTACCAAAAATAAAAATGTTTTCTTTAAAAAAATTTTTTTTGAGACAAGGTTTATATAGCCAAGATATCCTCTTGTCATCAGGAGCTTCCTGAGTAATAGGATTATATGAGTAAAGTACCATGTTTTTTAAGCAGTCCTGGGATTGAACCCAGGCCCTTGCCCATGTTAGACAAGAGCTCTAGCACTTGGGCTAAGCCTCCAGTCCTTTTGTTTTTGCATTTTTTTTTTTTTTGGAGATAGAGTCTTACTAACTTTTCCTGGGCTGGCCTGGAAATTGTAATCCTCCTGCCTGTTCTTCCCAAGTAGCTGGGATTACAGGTATGTATCACCATGCTTGACTTACTTTTATATTTACTTCTTTTAGCCTTTTTCCCCTTCTGAACCCAAATTATCAACTTTAGTGAACTGAGATAACCTAAAATGCTTGTAAAGTCTGTGCTCCTTGATTCGTAGTGGTCCCCTCTTCCTGTAACTTTGTACCACCATTCACAGAATAGACTGCTTCCTGGGTTTGTGAAACTGCCTGGATTATACAGATCCCCAATATTTCTGTTTTCCAGCTACCATTTTTTGCTTAACTTATTATGTATAACTCCTCTAATCTCCCTAAAAACCCAAGATTGGTATTAATATGTACATTTACTATGTTAGGAAACTAAGACACAGAGAAGGAAAGTGACATACTTGCTTAAGGACACACAGTTAATAAGTGTTAAAGTGGGATTTAAAGATAGATCATCCTCTCCCAGAGCTCATAGTTTTCTATATCATACCATAATGCATTGGTTTACCTAATAGTTCAGCCCTAAGTAGAAGCTAGCCAAAGGTGATGGTGTTTACTTACATCCCCATGTCCAACCAAGTGCTGTGCTTGGGAAAATTTAGGGACTTTGGGGAAAGGAATGTGTTGATGCAATGAAAGTAATTTTTTGCATAACCGTCAGAGTTTTCATTAAAAGTTACATTAATATAGAAGACTTGACTTATTTGTTCTTTTGGTTGCTTCTGCTTTCCCACCAGGAGTTCCCAGGGAAGGAAGGAAAGACAACGGTGTCACTGTGGAATTACCATGCTTTTTTCCGAGAGCTGGACATTGATGTCTTCTCTATTCTTCATTGTGGACTTGTGACCAAGTTCATCTTAGATACTGAAATGCACACTGAAGTAAGTGACTGATTGGATCTCAGAACTTAATCTTCCAGAAAGCTCCTCTGATCCATTCTTATTTCAAAAGAAATAAAACCTCTAGGACCCTGAAATGTTAGAGGGCTGGGGTGCAGTTCAGTGATTAGAATACTTGCTTAGCATGTATGAGGCCCTGCCTGAGTGAGAGAAAGATGAGGAAGAAAGGAAGAGCAGGGGGTGGATGGTTAGACTCTGACTTCAGAGGCCTTAGTCTGTGAGAGTAATGATGCATAGCTATCTTCATCATTCGGATGTTTTAATTTGTAAATTTTTAACGGTGTGTTAGACATTGTGAGATGCAGTGCTAATGATGTAATCCTTACCTTCAGATTACTAGTAGCAAGCTACTTAGTGTACTTTTATGGCAGAGTGCTGTTCTGGCTCATAGCCATCAGTGCTATTTTTGCTTTTTCAGAACATTTGTTCAGCATCCAACAGATGCTTTCAGAGGACTTTTTTGCATTTGCCACTAATACAGACACTGGCACTGCAGTCGTACATACAGGATGATGTTTGCCTAGAGTGTAATAGGACACAGGAAGTAGAGGTACCTAGCAATACCTGCTGTATCCATGGTCTTTGCTGTATTAATGGTCTGAACTGAATACCAGTAAAACTCCAGGGAGAAAATAGTATTTCTTATGAAGTTGAGAGTAGAGGACATTTTCACAGAGGAAGTAACTTTTGGTTTTATGAGGCAGAGTCTTACAACATAGCCCAGGCTGGTCTTGAACTCAAAATCCTCCTACCTCAGCCTCCCAAGTTCTGGGACTACAAATGTGTGCCATCATGCCTGCTAAAAGATAAATTTTGATAAGGGATTTTACTGGACAGTAGAATTCCACTGGACTAAAAAAATTAAAATAGCATGGGTTTTTACCTAAGAGTTACAGGAGCATAGGCACCTTGAGAATAGAGTCAAGATACATATATATTTAAATCTTTCTGTCAGCTTGCCTATGGGAGAGTCTCCATAAATGTGTGTTGAGTGACCAGTTTAAAATGAGACTATTTCACCCTTTGTACTTCTGTAATATACTTACTGAAAGATCCTCTCTATAGTTAATAGTAGTAAAACATTAGGGGAAAGAAAGTCTGAAAGGTATAATTACCTTCAATTAGTCACTTTTGTTCTATTTATTCATTTATTTACTTTTATTTATTGGCAGTAGTGGGGTTTGGATTCAGGGGCTTGTGCTTGCGAGGCAGTGACTACCACTTAAGCCATGCTCGCAGCCCTTTTTTGCTTTAGGCATTTTTCAGGTAGGGTCTGACATTTTTGCCTTCAATTCTCCTACCTACGGCCTCAGTCACAGGTGCATGCCACCAAGCCTAAATTATTATTGAGATGGTGTCTTGCTTTTTGCCTTGGCTGGCCTGGAACCTCCTTACTCCTGATTTCTGCCTCCTGACTAGGTAGAGTTATAGGCATGAGTCACTGAGCCTAGCCAAATTAGTCACTTTTTATCATTGAATATTTAGGAAGTATATCTTGGTTCCCAAGTGGGAAGATACACAGAATTTATTTCTAGAGAAAAAATGTGTCTTCTAAACTATACTGGCTTGGATTCCTATTTTTATAATTTGTTTTATTTTCAAATGTATTGTATTTTGACTTTTGTTTCTGGTGATTGAACTAAGGGCCTTGTGCATGCTAGGCAAGCACTCTATTACTTGAACTATGCCCCTAAGCCCTTTTGTCCTTATTTTGTTTTTGAGACAGAATCTCACTACTTTTTTGCCTGAGCTGGCTTTAAACTTGTCATCCTCCTTGTCATCTACCTCCTGAAGCTGAATTATAGGAATGTGCCACCACACCTGGCTTACTTCCACTTTCTGATAAGTTGATAGAACACAATAGCCATTTTTTATATGAGGGGAGAATGTTTCCCTTTTTTTAATTAGAAGCCAGATTCTTTACTCATTGGGAAGAATGAACGTGAAATATACCAAAAATACAATGAGTATGACATACTTGGAATGATTTCCTCTTTTCTTCCATACGACAGGCTACAGAAGTTATGCAACTTGGACCCCCTGAGCTGCTTTTCTTGCTGGAAGATCTCTCCCAGAAGTTAGAGAATATGCTGACAACCTCTTTCCCCAAGAGAATCCCCTTCCTCAAGGTGAGTAGAAATAGAAGCATAAGACACAGGCTTAGTGGATTTCGAAACAAGCAGGTCTTAGTGGTGAATAAGTTGTCACTTTCTCTGGCATTGTGCTTGGATCACTGGGTAACATAGTGGCAGCTCTATTGCTAGACTAAACTCACTTTGCCTTAAAAAATAACTCTGTGGCTGGGTGCCAATGGCTTATGCCTGTAATCCTAGTTACTTGGAAGGCTGAGATCCAGAAGATTATGGTTTAAGGCTAGCCCAGGCAAATAGTTCACAAGACTCTATCTCTAAAACAACAAGAGCAGGCTGGCAGAGTGGCTCAAGCAGTAAAATAACAAGAGCAAAATGGACTAGAGGTGTGGCTCAAGCGATAGAGTGCCTGATTTGCCAGTGCAAAGCCCTGAGTTCAAATCTCAGTCTTACTAAAAAAAAAAATTCTGGGGCTAGGGTGTAGCTTGGTGATATGAGTTTTTGCCTAGCCTGCACCAGGCCCCAGGTTTGATCACCAGCACCACAAAAACCAAACAACAGCAATTTAAAAAAACTGAAATGAAACCTCTAAGAGAAAAAAAAAAAACGCCCAAAACAAGAAATTTATTTCTGAATGCCCTGAACATTCCTAAATCTGAATCTTGATCTTTGTTCAGGGCTTTTTTTTTTTTTTCTTTTTTTTGTGGTGCTTAAGATGAACCGCAAGGCCTTATGAATGCTAGACAAGTGTTATACCATTAAGTTATACCACCCTGCCCTCAGGTTTTGGTTTTTATAGCCTCCCAAACTAAGCCTGTACCTAAGCCTCAGTTGGCTGCATCGAGAGGCCAGAATCTCAGATGTGTATACAAGGTATGAACATGTACCTAGCATATGGGAAAGCAGTTGCATGGTGGAAACAGTAAACTGAAAGTCTTGGGTATCAATTTTCAAATGTTAGTATATCTAGTTACTTGATTCATTCTTCTTTGTATTATTTGCTCGACATTCCTGTTAGCTTAAATGATGCCTAATGTTTGTGTGAACAGTAGTTATGATGGGCCAATACTTCTTTGTTTTTGTTTTGTTTTGTTTTTGGTACTGGGGTTTGAACTCAGGCCTCACACATGCTAGGCAGATGCTCTACCACTTGAGCCATGCCCCCAGCCTGGGCCAATACACTGTTCTTACTCTACAAAAGCCATTCTATTGGTTATTTAGAAATGGAGCAAGATTATCTGTCCCTTTATCAAAATGTATTCTTAGGCAAGCAACTAATTTCTCCTGTCTACTCCTACCTGGGACCACAAGTTTGACTGAATTCTTTAACAAACTCTTAATTTCAGAGAATCTGTCTAACAGTTTCTTCCCCCATAATTCTCAATTTATTTTAGAATAAAGGAAGCCGGAATATTGGATTTTCACATCTCCATCAGAAATCCGCTCAAGAAATTGTTCATTGTGTTGTTCAACTGCTGGCTCCAATGTGTAACCATCTGGAGAACATTCACAACTATTTTCAGGTCAGAAGACTATTTTGTTATTATAGAGACTTAGAAATCTCTAAGTGAATACAAGCATTCATTTTTGGCTAAGAACAACTGATAGATGCTGGAGCATCTATCCTAAAATCCTTTTCCTTTTTAGTCTTTAGTTGCTGAGAATCATGGTGTGGTTGACAGGCCAGAAGTGAAAGATCAGGAGTACCACATAATGTCTTCCTGTTATCAGAGGGTGCTGCAGATTTTCCATGGGCTTTTTGCTTGGTGAGTATATATGAGAAGTATGATAGCAGGGAGAAACGAGTGTGTACTTGCTTTTACTTGGTTATTGGGCACTAGGATATAGAAGAGAAGGAAAGGCCCCAAACCTTATGCAACCATGGTGCTTTATTCTTTTTCATTTGATCTTACACCCTGAGTCTTATGGAGCCACTATTTGACAAACTTGATGATTTGCTGATGAACTAAACAATAACAAATCTGGCCATCTTATGCTTTCTCGTTTTTTTGTAGCAAGCAGTCTTTAATAACTGGAGAAACAGCATAGCAGCACTCACCTGTAGTCCCAGCTACTTAGGAAGCTGAGGCAGGAGAATTGTGTAAGCTCATGTGGTCAAGACCAGCCTCAGTAATATAGTGAGACCCTTTCTCAAAAAATAAAATAAAAAATAACCAAGGAGGCTGTTACTTGAGGAATTGTTTCTAGGGCTGGAGGCATGGCTCAAGTGGTAAACGCTAGTACTGCCAGAAATAGAGAGGGAGACGGAAGAGGGGTGGGGGGAAAGAGAAGAGAGAGAGAGAGGAGGGAGACTCAAAAGGAAGACAAATTGTTTTAAACAAGTTGTAAGTACATCTCATATTAAATGGTAAGAGCTGAACACAGTGTATGCTTGGGTATTTCAGGGCACCATGGAAGCAGTGAGACTTGATCAGGCATTTCAAGGGTAGATGGACTTTAAGGAACTCAAGGAAAGAGTTGGAAGGCACAGCATGGGCAAAAGTAGAAATAAGGGAATTATGTCCCTTAAATACTTCTGCTCCTCAGAGGTAGGCCCTGTCCCATCTGTCCTCTTGGACAGATTTTCTGGGCAACTTTATCCAAGCTTAAATTTATGCTTAATTTTTTCTTCTGAGCTATAGGCATTTATATCCAACTGCCTACTCAACACCCCCTTGAATGTGTCATCAGCACCTCAGACTCATCATCTAAAACAGAATGTACCATAACTTTCCCTCAGCTTTGCCTGGCTTAGTAAATGGCATCGTCAGTTATCTGAGCCAAAAGACAGGAGTTATCTCTTATTCCCTCCCTTTATTCTCCACCTTTCTCTCCCACTTGAATCTTCAAACTCTGGTGGTTTTTTTTCCTTCTACATAACATCTAGGTAGCCATCTGTGCACACTGCCCCCTCACCCTCCGACAGCTTTCAGACTCCTGTCATCTCTCATGTGCGCTAGATTAGTTTCACAGTTGGACCATCTGCTTCTAGTTGTTCTGCCTTGGTCCATTCTTCACACAAGAGTCACAGTGATCTTCCCATCACAAACCCAGGGTCTGATCTTGTCCCAGTTTTGGTCTCTATTGCTGTTAGAGTTTTCTTGAGTGCAAACTCTTTGGCTAGCTTTTCAGGTTTCCTGTCTGACTCCTGATGTTTCAGCCATTGTCTTCCCCTCTCCCTCCAAACATACTGAGTTCATTTTGGGACTCGACATACCTTTCATCTGAAAGGTTTCACACTTCCTTCTACCAGGGTCACCACACTTCATCTAATCCCTTGAGATATGAACTTAAACTTCACTTCTTCAGAGTCATCTTTTCTGACACATTAATTCTCTTGCAATAGAACTTATCACATTTTATGGGCTGGTGAAGTGGCTCAAGTACTAAAGCAGCTGAGCACCTACCTAGCAAGAATGAGGCCCTGAGTTAAAGCCCTGGTACCTTGAAAAAACACTTAGCATATCTTATTATTACTTGTTTTTACCTGTCTTCCCTGCTGGACTATAAAGTACATGAAGGCAAATATCAGTCATTTTTGTAGGCTTTACACTTATTTTTTATTTTGAATTTTTTTTTCTATTGTGGTATCTGGCACCAGTTTTTTTTTTATTATTATTCATATGTGCATACAATGTTTGGATCATTTCTCCCTCCTCCCCCCACCCCCTCCCTTACTACCCACCTCACTCCCTCCCTCTCCCCCGACCCCCTCAATACCCGGCAGAAACTATTTTGCCTTTATCTCTAATTTTGTTGAAGAGAGAGTATAAGCAATAATCGGAAGGAACAAGGGTTTTTGCTAGTTGAGATAAGGATAGCTATACAGGGAGTTGACTCACATTGATTTCCTGTGCATGTGTGTTACCTTCTAGGTTAATTCTTCTTGATCTAACCTTTTCTCTAGTTCCTGGTCCCCTTCTCCTATTGGCTTCAGTTGCTTTTAAGGTATCTGCTTTAGTTTCTCTGCGTTGAGGGCAACAAATGCTATCTAGTTTTTTAGGTGTCTTACCTATCCTCATATCTCCCTTGTGTGCTCTCGCTTTTATCTTGTGATCAAAGTCCAATCACCTTGTTGTGTTTGCCCTTGATCTAATGTCCACATATGAGGGAGAACATAACGATTTTTGGTCTTTTGGGCCAGGCTAACCTCACTCAGAATGATGTTCTCCAATTCCATCCATTTACCAGCGAATGATAACATTTCATTCTTCTTCATGGCTTCATAAAATTCCATTGTGTATAGATACTACATTTTCTTGATCCATTTGTCAGAAGTGGGGCATCTTGGCTGTTTCCATAACTTGGCTATTGTGAATAGTGCTGCAATAAATATGGGTGGGCAGGTGGCACCAATTTTTTTAATAGATTTTTTGATCATCCTCTAGAAAGAAAACATTCTAGAGTAACATTAAAAACATCTCTGATAAAGCAGCTGCTAGTACATATCATAAAGCAGATGTGAGATATTTTACATTCACAGAGGTATGATATAGGACTGTCCTACACATCTTTAGTACTAATACCAATGCCTGACAAAAGATGTGAACAGACTCTTCATTGAGTAGATTTGTAGATGGCAGATAAACATATGAAAGGTTGTTCATTAGTATTATTAAGTAAATGGAAATTAAAAGCACAATGAGCTAGTAAGCCCCCCCCAGCACAATAATAATAAAAAAAAGAAAAAATAACAACAACAACAAAAAAAACCCAATCAGTGAGCTAGTAAGCACACCCACTAACATAGGTATGTGAAAAAGGCTAACCCTGCCAAGTGTTGGAGAGAATGTGAAGTAACTGGTCCACTCACATGCTGCTGGTGGGACTGTAAAATGGAACAACCACTTTGGAAAACAGTTTGGAAGTTTCTTAAAAAGTTAGACATATACTTAGCATATGACCTATTCCACTGGTTGGGGTATTTACCCAAGGGAAATGGGAATGTTTATAGCAGCTTAATTTGTACTCCTCCAAAGTGGAAACAACCCAGACATCCATCAGTGGGTAAATATGTAAACAATGTGCTATGTCTACATGGTGAAATACTACATGTAGCAACATGGATAAAAAAGAATTATGCAAGACTACAGGGTTCATAGTATTTGATCCCAGTTTTATAAAATTCTAAGAAAAGCACATAATCATGTAGTGATGGAAAACAGATCAGTGGCGCCTGATGGGTGGTGGGTTAGGAGGCAGAATGGATACAAATGAGCATAAGGAAACTTTGTAGGGGTAATGAATATGTTCACTATCTTCATTCTGTGATGGTTTCTTGGGCCTACAAGTGAAACCTGATCTAATTTAACATTTTAAATACACAATTTATTGTACATCAAGTATACCTCAAGACTGGAGGGTGCAGCTGACACATTGTAGGCCCTGCAAATATTTTTGTTGAGGCAGGCATGGTGGTACCTGCCTATATTCCCAGAAAATTCGAGGCTGAGGAAGGAAGATCGTGATTTTGAAGCCAGCCTGGGCTACATAGCAAGACCCTGACTCAAAACACAAAATAAATGAGAAATAAAAAGAATACATTTGTTGTAGGCTGGAGGCTTGACTCACGTGGTAGGAGAACTTGCCTAGCAAGTACTAGGCCATGAGTTCAAAATCTTAGTACTGTCCCATCTCCCCCCTCCCCCAAAAATATAGTGCCAGAGGTATGGCTCAAAAGTCCCGAGTTCAAACCCCAGAACTACAAAAAAAAAAAAAAAAAAAAAAAACAGGTGTCGGTGGTTCACACCTGTAATCCTAGCTACTCAGGAGGCAGAAATCAGGAGGATCAAGGTTCAGTAGTTTGAGAGACCCTATCTCAAAAATACTCAACACAAAAAAAGAGCTGGCGGAGTGGGTCAAGTGGTAGCACCTGCCTAGCAAGTATGAGGCCCTGAGTTCAAACTCTACTACTGCCACCTCCCCCCAACCAAAAAAAAAAAAAAAGAAATCTGTTGAAAAGAATGGCAACTACTATTGGTGTAAGGAAAACATATCTGGAGGAAAAGATCTAGGAGTCATATTTTGGTGGGTCTTGAAGGTTAGGCAGAAGAATTTAAATGTTAAGAGAAGCAATTTTGAAGGATTTTGTTTGTATTTATCACAGCAATGATAGAATGAAGGCTGTGTTTTAAGAAATCTTTTGGACAGGAATGTATGAGACAGAAAGGGATACACACAAACAAAAAAAGGTCAAAAGGAATTGCCATGAACTACACATATGATGATGAGGGCATGGCTTTGAGTGGTAGTCTAGACTTGAGAAGGATGGGGCAAGGAAGGACAGAACTGTTAAGACTTAACCTATTAATAAAGGGATACTTTATTCAGCATCTGTTGTGACCTGAACATTGATTTGGCAATTTGGCAAAATTACTTCTGCTTTTGGAGAAGACTCAAACTTATCTCTGAAATGTAGGGAATGAGTTCTTTTTCCCTTGAAAATAAACTTGTGAGCACTATTAGCTCTTTAAGGAGAGACTAATAGGGCACACTTCAACTTCTAATCTGATACTTAGAACTTTCAGTTCTTTTTTTTTTTTTTTTTTCCCCTCAAACTCTGTTCACTTGTTCCTGGTACAGCCTGGAGGCCAGGATCCTCAAATGCTGCCCAAGTAATTTTCCTGAAATTAAGCTAAACCATCTTTGACTTTGCTTTAGGAGTGGATTTTTTCACCTTGGAAATCATAATTTCCTATATCCAGCCCTTGAGGTCCTTGCCAGTCGAATGAAGCAGATAGAACACGAACAGCCCTTGGAGGAACTGGTCAGGTAGTCATACTGTGTATCTGAGAGTGTTTCTAAGAAACTCCTAAGGCTGTATTGGTGCTATTTCTTTGAAAAATATTGTATGTCCATAGTTATGAAGGAAATTAATATTTGCAGTTTTATCTGAGTTTTTTCACCTATATATTCTGATAAATTTTAAAACATTAAAAAATCATGTTAAATATTCAAGCATACATCAGCCTGTAAGTTTTATATTTTCAGGTAATTATGTTAAAAATATTAACATTTTAGTTAACACCTTTTTTTTTTTTTTTGGAGGGGTCTCACTATGTAGTGTCAGCTGAACTCGAACTCTCAATCCTCCTATCTCAGCCTTTTGAATATGTTGATTACAGTTGTGAACATCAATCCTGGCTCTTAGTCAACTCTTGATCATCCAGGGACCCACTCTGTCTTCCAGCAAAGCTGGATATGTAGGTAGCAGCTAATTATCACTGATTACCAGTCCCTTTCACCAGTCTTAGAGGAAGACCATATATGGTGAGGGGTAGGCAGTGGGAAAAGAAGGTAAGGAAACAATATGTAAGGGCTAGCCAAGTGGCTCAAGTGGTAGAGCGCCTGCCTAGCAAGGGTAAACCCTGAGTTCAAACCCCAGTGCCATAACCAAAAAAAAAAAAAAAAAGAAAAAAAAAGCAGTGTAAGGGGCAAGGCTCCCAGTCTCAGTCTCTTATCTAGCTTTAACCAGCATGACTTGGTCTTTCTCTTACTTCTCTATAGCTTAGGACATCTTGGGTAGCAATCACTGCTTGCAATCCTTGCCTGTAGAATATGACCTTATTTCATTTTAAATAGACTACTTCAGCCAGGTGTGGTGGTGTACCCCTATTATCCCAGCTACTTGGGAAGCTAAAGCAGAAGGATCACAGTTTGTGACCAACCTGGGCAACATAGCAAGACTCTTAACTCAAAAAGAGGAAAGCTGGGCACCAGTGGCTCCCACCTGTAATCCTAGCTACTCAGGAGGCAAAGATCAGGAGGATCATGGTTTGAAGCCAGCCTGGGCAAATAGTTCTTGAGCTATATCTTAAAAATACTCAACATAAAACAGGTTTAGTGGAGTGACTCATGTGGTAGAGTATCTGCCTACCAAGCATGATGCCCTGAGTTCAAGCTCCAGTGCCATCAAAAACAAAACAAAAAAATAAACATAAGACTTATTTTGTTTGAGTTCCTTCTTACTAGTCAATCAGGAGTTGGCTTCTGGGTTTTTGGTTTTGTTTTTTTTTTTTTTTGGGTGGAGGTGGTTAGTTGTTTGTCTTTGTGGTACTGGGACTTGACACAGAGCCTCACTTATGGTAGTTTAGTGCTCTACCACAGAGCTATACTCCCAGCAAAATTATATAGAGCATCAGCTGTGTGTCAGAGAAGGGTTTTTTGTCCTTTGGTGCTAGGGATGGAACCCAGGGCCTTGTGAATGCTGGGCAAGCACTCAACCACTGAGTTATAATCCCCAGCCCTCTAGTTTTATTTTAATGGTAGTTTTGGACCAATTATAACTCTCCATCTCCCATTATTCATTATTTCACTGGATCAAAAACTGACTGTTTGCAAAATGTTCCTTAAAAACAAGTAAGCTTTCTGTCTTGTAATTTCCTTCCACATTGTGTTCCCTAAGGCTTTAAAGAGCAAATAACTGATCCAGGATTGCACATACTTGCATGGCACTTGGGTTTCTTGGAGTACATGACCCATCAAAGCCAGCATTCCATATGTGGGTCTCTCTTCTGCTCTGACTTTCTCCATACAAAGTTAGTGTTTTCTATCAAGATGCTCAAAAGACAGTTGGTACTAAAGTACCTGAAAGTGAGAAGAATTCTGATTATGTCATCAAACACTTAAAGGTCACTAGGTAACTCATGTGGATTTAAACCTGTCTTTAGTACATATGATGCTATTTTGGTTTTTTCTTGTTTCCTTACAGCCAGAGCTTCAATTACTTGCAAAATTTCCATTACAATATTCCCAGTTTCCAGTGTGGTCTTTATCTCCTCAGAATTTTGATGGCCCTTTTAGAGAAATCTATAGCTCCTACTCAGAAGAAAGAAAAAATTGGTAATTGGCCCAGATTCTCTTTTTTTCTTTTGTCATGAATAGGATTAATATCTCGTGCTTGTAAACTTGGGGCTTCCCAGAATTTTGTATTTCTTGTACATGTAAAGCCCCACATAACCTTGGAAATGCCTTCTTTCTGCACCAGGAGGGCTATAATCCCAGAAGGAGCTCTGGCATGCTTTGGTGACATTTGTTAGGTCAACTGGACAAATTATTTCTTTTTTTTTTGGTATGGGGAGATTGAACTCAGGACTTCATGAATGCTAAGCATGTGTTCTACCACCAAGTTACACCCCAAACCCTAGATGATTTTCCATTTTGCTTAAGTTTTAATCATATCCTTTTTTTTATTTTAATTTTTTTGGCAGTACTGGGGTTTGAAATCAGGATCTTGTACTTAATGTTGTACCACTTGAGCCACACCTTCAGACCCCTCCCCCTTTTTTTAACCTGAGACATTTGACAAAAAGACACATAAACCCTGGGGTTAATAAAGTGGAAGAGATGGAAATTAGGATCCAGTGTAAAGGAAGTTCTGGTTCCTTCCATAATCTTTAACTGTCTTTTATCATAACTCTTGGAATGTAACGTGCTGATTGTACGTTCTAGTTGGTAACACAAATGGAAAGTAAGAGGCTTATGTGAAACAACCATTACTATTCCCTATTGAGTAAAGGTGGGTGGGGAGGAGTATGGTGTGACAGGGAAGTTCACTGCTGTTGACAAACCCAAGAGGATCAAGATTGACTGCCCAGCAGCAACCTTCTATATGTCTGTGTATGCTCATGTTTGTGTGTTTCAGGAAGGAATGAGGAGTGGGACATGTTGTATTTACATTAGTGGGTCTAATTCTGGCAGAAGGTTCAGTGGGACAGGTATATAGCAGCTTTTTAAAATCTTGTTGGACTGAAGCCGTGGCTCATGCAGTAGAGCATTTGCTTTGCAATCTTGATGCCCTGAGTTCAAACCCTAGTCCCACCAAAAAAATTTTTAAAAGGTATCTCCTAAAAACTTCTTATTAGGGCTGGGGTCGTGGCTCACAGTGGTAGAACACCCTGCCTAGCAAGTGTGAGTCCTTGAGTTCAAACCCCAGTACCACAGAAAATAAATAAATAAATAAAGATAAAAGCTGTTTGTTTGACCAGAAGCTTCTTAGTAAATTTGAAACAATTATCTTTTGGTCAATAATCATTCCTGAAAGACAAGAATGAGGTTGTCTGATCATTACCCATTATGTACATATACTGAAATGTCACACTATACTCCGTTAATATGCACAATTAAGAATTTTTGAGAGGAGGGCTGGAGCAAGACTCAAGTGAATAGAGGGCCTGCCTAGCAAGCACAAGCTCCTGAGTTCAAAATTCAGTACCACCAAAGAAAGCCAAGCTGGGCACCAGTGGCTCATGCCTATAGTCCTAACTACTTGTGGGGCAGAGACCAGGAAGATCTCAGTTCAAAGCCAGCCCACCCAAATAGTTCAAGAGACCCTACTCAAAAATAACCAACACATAAGGGGGCTGTTGGAGTCGCTCAAATGGTACAGTGCCTGCCTAGCAAGTGTGAAGCCCTCAGTTCAAACTCTAGTACTGCTAAAGCAAAAGGGAATTTTCGAGAGGGGGGAAAAAAACAATTTTAAGGATACTTTTTTCTTTTTTCTTTCTTTTTGGTGGAGCTGCGGTTTGAACTTAGGGCTTCACACTTGTAGGTGCTCTGTCACTTGAACCACATCTCCATCAAGAATACATTTTTTAAAAGGAGCGAGATCATTTTCTCATACATTCATTGCCTTTGTCTTATTTTCCAACAGCTTCCCTGGCCAAACAATTCCTCTGTCGGGTGTGGCCACATGGGGAGAAAGAGAAGAGCACCATCTTTAATGACCAGCTCCATGATTTGCTTTGGTAAGGTGTTTATTTTCTTCCAGTGAGTCCAATAGCCTTTTCCATTTTTCTGCTGTTTGGATACCTCACCTTTTCAGGTTCTAAGAACTAACCTCTGTTAGGGAGTTCAAACTCCAGTACTACCAAGGAAAAAAAAGAGAGAAAACAAAACAAAGTAGTCATACTTCACTTAAAATGAACACAGTTTAGAATCTGGATCATAAGATCTTGTGCCTCTGCTTTCTGCCATTGTTCTTACTGTTAAACCCAAAGAAAGTAGCAAAGTCTGCAGTTGTGCCCTACCTTGTTAGTGAGTCAAATATATTATATATTGCCTGCCATAGCTAAGACATGTCCATCACTTATTAACTGTATTTCTAATTGAAACTTCATTTACTTTACCTCCTCACAAATACCTAGAATCTTTGTTATTAAAAGTCAAAGTTAGATGTTTTAAAGCTTAACACCTGATAAACATCTCAAGAAAGAAATCTTGACATAGGAATTCTGTGACACGTGTTCATACTCTTCTGTACTACTCTCCATGTAGCATTTACCTGGAACACACAGACAGCGTTCTAACGGCCATAGAGGAGATTGCCGGTGTTGGTGTCCCAGAACTGATCAACTCTCCAAAAGATGCATCTTCCTCCACATTCCCAACACTGACCAGGTAAGGGAGTTCTTGCCTGCCGCTTTCTTCTTAACATAGAATCACACTAATGTGTGTAGTTTTCAAATAATCACGTTATTCTTCATTTAGCTATGATGAAGATAGCAGGTACAGTCATTCACATAGCACTGAGTCTACTATATATTCCTTCCAAGAGAAAGCAATGAACTTCTGTCTACACTGAAAGGATGAAACTTTAAACTTGAGACAAGGACTGGGGAATATAGCTCAATGGCAACACATGTGCTTAGCCTGTATGTGGCCTTAGTTCATTCCCCAACACCACAAAATAAAAATAAACTTGAGATTGTTTTTCTAATTTTTTAACCACCTGAAGAAGGACAAGATGGCTGGGTGCCAGTGTCTCATATCTATAATCCTGGCTAATTGGGAGACTGAGATCTGAAGCATCCTGACGGCTAGCCTGGGCAAATAGTTTGCAAGATCCCATCTCCAAAATAACCAGAGCAAAATGGACTAGAGGTGTGGCGTAAGTGATAGTGTGCCTGCTTTGCAAGTGTGAAGCCCTAACTTCAAACCTCCAGTCCGCTAAAAAAGATGAGAAAAAAATAGGAACAGAACACAGTAATTATTATATTTAATAACATGTCTTTTTTTCCTTTTTTTTTTTTGCAGTACTGGGGTTTGAACTCAGAGCCTTCACCTTGAGCCACTCAACCAGCCCTTTTTGTGATGGGTATTATTGAGATAGGGTCTCATGAACTATTTGCCCAGGCAGACTTCAAACTGCAATCTTCCTGATCTCTGCCTCCTGAGTAGCTAGGATTACAGGCGTGAGCCACTGGTGCCTGGCTTGTTTCATTTTTAAGTCAGGATCTTGTTATGTAGCTTAGGGTGGCCTAGAACACGTGATCCTCCTGCCTCAGCACCTGAATGCTGAAATTATAGGCATGTGCCTGAAACCCAGCTTAGTCTTTCCGGTTTTTCTAATTTATAAAACACTTTCACATCTTTTCTCATTTGCTCCTTCCAGTAATTCTGTGAGATAGGTATCATTCCCGTATTTCACTGTTGAGGAAAATTAGGGCTAGAAAGGGAACTTTGCAACCTTACACAGGCAATAAAATGAATGTGAGGCCAGGACTCATGCTTCAACTGCTTTTTCCACTCATCACACCACCTCCTTTCATAACGTTCAGTCATTGTTTCATTTCTGAATCCTTTCCACTCCCTTGTTTCAATGGACCCTGGTGAAAAGAATATTCAGAGAGGTAGGAAAGGAAAGTATTTTTGGTCCCTAGCTTTCTTCCCAGGAAGTTCTTTCTAAGTAGTATATCATCATGTGGGTGTGCATGCTTTCCCCTCTTCTAGGAACACCTTTGTCATTTTCTTCCGAGTGATGATGGCTGAACTGGAGAGGACAGTGAAAGGTCTTCAGGCTGGCACAGCAGCAGACTCGCAGCAGGTGGGTCACATGCTCCCCCACCAAGAAATGGACTCTGGATTGCTGATTCTTTTATTTCTTGGGTCCACATTTCTCTATGCTATTTCATTTGAGTTACCAAGATCCAGGATTTTTTCAAAGAGCTTCTGGTTTGGTTTTCTTTCCCTCTAGTTAGATGTGAGAATTGAGCTCTGTTTTCCCTAGCTTTTGTCCAGTTTGCCACTTGCCTCCTGGAAGAAGGTAAGCCAGCCTGTTTGAGATGCTGTGGCCCTTGGTAGCCTGTTGACCAGATCTGAGGTAGACTGTTGAGAGCAAGGGCTAACAGAGGGAATTAAAAGCCACAGAGATCTGGTGGCCAGTGGGTATGCTGTGGAGACTTTTAACTACTTGGAAATGACTGAAGAGACTCTGTAAGGTACTCTGATGTTATCACAGTCTGCAGAGCCATCTTGTAGGTTCACTGGTTCCCACATCTGTTTGGGAAAATAGTTGAAGAACCGTGTATTATGGGAGTATTATTTGCCTGTGATTTAAAGGCGCTGTATTTGACTGACCTCAGGTTCATGAAGAGAAGCTCCTGTACTGGAACATGGCTGTTCGAGACTTTAGTATCCTCATTAACTTGATGAAGGTGAGTATGGGGGATTCCTGACTCATCTTACAAGATAACTACAGAAGCTAAAGGTCCTGGTTTCCAAAATTGACCCTCTTTGCTCCTCTCTTCACCCTCCTTTGAGATCTGTCTTCTCCTCCCTCATTGTCTTTTTCCCTTGTCCCCCTGGCCGATATCTTTTTCCTTTTCTTCCTGCCTCCCATCTCTGCCACACTCCCTCTGATCTAACTGAACACACTCCCTCTTCCAACCCTGAGTGCCTTCATTATACTTCAAACATAATGTGCATTCTCCCACTCCTGGGTTTTGCTCAGACTGGGCTTTCAGCCTAGGCTGTCATTCTCTCTTGTAGTCTTAAGGCTTCAGATCAAGGTTTCACACTCTAATAATGCCATCTTTTCAAAATCCCAAGATAGAATCCATTTTTTTTTTTAATTTCTTTTCTTTTTGTTTTTGGCAGTACTTGGATTTGAGCTCAGGGCCTTGTGCTTGCTAGGCAGGTGCTCTACCACTTGAGCCATATATGCCCCCAGTCCTTTTTGCTTGAAATTATTTATCAGATAAGAATCTCATGTTTTGTGATTGGGATGGCCTAGACCTCAATCCTCATACTTATGCCTCCTGCATAACTGGAATGACAAGTTTGCACCACCATACCCAGTTTGTTTGATGAGATGAGGGTCTTGCTAACTTTTTGCCCAGGCTGGCCTTAAACCTTCATCCTACTGATCTCTACCTCCTAAGTAGCTAAGATTATATGCATGAGCCAGTGAGCCCAGCCTGGAATCAATTTCTTGATCCTCTTTGCTTCTCTGTTCCTTTCCTTGGACTTCAGTTCTGGGTATTACTTTACTCTGTAAATCTGTCATTTAGTTACACTGTTCCCATGCCTTCTCCATTTTAGAATTCTCCAAAGCACCCAGAGCTATGATTTGCAACATAGGAAAGAGACTGGGTGAAGGAGCAGACCTCAGTTTTGGTTTCTTATCTTTTGCCTCTCTAGGTATTTGATAGTCATCCTGTTCTGCATGTATGTTTGAAGGTAAGAGATTTTCTGGGCCATTTCTTCTTTCTGTGGATGGTTCTATAGAGGACCTCAGGTGAGATAAATTGCTTAATACCTTATCTACATGCCAGAGTCTCCAGAATCTGTGCTAACAGGTAGTGGTTTAGGGAGGACAATAATAGTTTTCCCACCCTAGTTGGATGGCTGGAAAAGTCAGTTTTCTTACGAGTTTGTAAATTTTTGGTCAGAATCTTAGAACTAAGAGGAATGGCTTCAGGAAATGTTGAATTTAAGAGTAATAGTCATTATAGGCAACAGGGAGTGGATGATTCCTCCATTTGTTTGTTTGTTTGTTTGTTTACTTATTTGTGGTCCTGAGGATTGAATTCAGGGCCTCAAGCACTCTACCACTTAGCTATGCTCCTAGCCCTTTTATTTTTCTGATAGTGTCTCCTGTTTTTGCCTGTTTCTGGCCTCAGACCTTGATCTCCCTACTTACTTACACATTCCAAGTGGCTGGGATCTCAGAAGTGAGGCACTGAACCTGACCCATGATTCCTCTTTATGAACCTATTGGACAGACTTAGGTCAGTGGCTCAATTTCAGAGTGCTTTCCCAGCCTGTGCAAAGACCTGGGTTCCATCCTCAGCACTGAAAAAATCAAAAAGCCCTCATGAATGTGATATTCTGATAATTGCCAAACTTTTCTTTCATGGAAACTTCCAAATTTGGCCTTGAATTTGACAGTAAACCCAAAGGGACTGTCATGGGGGGGATGCTTTTTCCCACTCCCAATGTCTGTATCCTTCCAAGTGTGAGCACCCCATGCTTGTTATCTCCTGGTCTTCCCCACCCCCCCGACCCTAATTCCACCCTGACACTGTGTGGGAGAGGGGAGATTCAAGAGTGATTTCTCTGGTTAGGGAGTTTGGAAATTAGCTATGTGCTTCCTCAGCCCTATGCAGTTTCTCTCATGGGTGTAACTTATCCTTAGGGAGCTGAAGTTCTACGTGTTTCTCTGTATTCTCACTCTTAAGCTGAGCAAAGCTTTTGGCCACTGGCTATGTCCATAATGTCTGGGGTGGGTAAGTTTGCCTCATAACATAATACCCTTGGGCAGGGTAGCAGTATACTGCCTCAACCAGGGGCCTGTCAAGTGAAAGTCCTCAACTAGAGGTCACCAGTGTGTCTCTTTTCTTCAGTATGGACGTCTCTTTGTGGAAGCATTTCTGAAGCAGTGTATGCCGCTCCTAGACTTCAGTTTTAGAAAACACCGGGTAAGATCTGAGAGCAGAGAGCAAAGCCATGCTCTGAAGAGCTGCACAAAAGCTATGTCTGGGGTGATTCCTGGGTTGGGACTGAGAATAGGAGCTGTCCTACTTGCCCATCTTCTGGACCACTGTTCTACTTTACACCACTTTAACTAAAGCCAAAGCTGCTCAAGTAGGACTGAATACTCCAAAGTAGGCTGAACTACTCAGACCCACTCTGATTCAAACCCATTTTTTTTTTTTTTGGATGGGACTGGTGTTTGAACTCAAGGTCTACCACTTGAACCATACCTCCAGTCCATTTTGCTCTGTTTATTTTGGATTTGAGGGACTCACAAACTGTTTGCCCTGAGTGGCTTTAAACCACGATCCTCTTGAAATCGCCTTCCCAAGTAGTTAGGATTATAGACATGAGCCATTGGCACCCGGCCAAACCCATCTTTTTACTTCTATCCCTTGTCTTAGGGTAGTTGTTCCTTTTAGCTTTATTATATTGTACTGCTGCACTCCCAGAACCTCACATGATTACCTAGGTCTACTCTTAGGAATAATAAAAAGAGAGCTTGGGCTGGCAGTGTAGCTCAAGTGCTAGAGTACCTGCCCAGCAAGCATGAAGCCCTGAGTTCAAGCCTTAGTACCAAGAAAAACATAGAGCTCATGTGTGTCATGAAACTTTTTACTGTTATAGTGAATGACAGTTTTTTTTTTTTAGCCAAGTGCTAGAGTATCAAAGTAAAGTAGAAACAAATGAATTCTCACATGCATTTAGCAAGTTGGGCTTTGTAAAACACCCACAATATTTAACTCATCTCTCATAACCCTAAAAAAGACTGGGTATTTTATCTTAATTTGCAGATGGGAAAACTGAGACATGGTAACCTATTTAAAACTGAAATCTAAGGCTGAAGCAGAAGAATCATGAGTTTGAGGTCAGTCTCGGCTGCTTAGTGAGCTCTAAGCAACCTGGGATAGTAAGATTCTATCTCAAAAAAAAAAAAAACCCTGCAATCTAGGTGTTAGGACTCTCAGGTTGACACAAAATACAGAAGGGGGGCTTGAGAGTGACAGTTAGCCAGCGTTTTCCTATCTGAGGGCCAGATTAAGATGGTTGTTAACACAGGTTGGAACCTGCGGTTTATCCTCTTTGGAGTCCTTGGCAAGGACATCCTGCACCTAAAATGAAAATGGAACTTTTCCTTATAACATTTATGAATTTCGTTGGTTTTAGGAAGATGTTCTGAGTTTGCTAGAAACATTCCAATTGAGCACAAGGCTACTTCATCACCTGTGTGGCCATTCTAAGGTAAGAAGGGATCAGGTCACATTACTGCTGGCTTACTCTGCAGTTGCTGTTAGGATGTCCATGGGCTCTAGCTACTTCTTCCTTTTTAATCCATTCTCTTCTTTTGGTATTATCACTTCTTTTCTTTTGGTGGCACTTCTTTTTTTCTATTTATTATTACCTTTCATTTTTTTGGCAATACTAGGCTTTGAACTCAAGGCTTCATGCTTACTAGGCAGGCACTCTACCACTTGAGCCACTCCACCAGCCTTATTATTACATCTTTTTGAGACAGGGTGTCACTATATAGCCCAGGCTGGCCTAGAATTGGGGCTCCGTCTACTCCAGCCTCCCAAGTGCTAGTATCGCACCACCATGCCCTGCTTTTAACCTCTTCCTGAGCCTTTCTGTCTGAGACTATGTCCAGAGGTAGTTTATTCAGAGCAGGCAAATCCTTAGTTGCTGGTTGGGATTGGGCAATTTTCTAGTGGGCAAGTTCTGCATCTGAGATTTGACTCAAAGTCCATAGCCCCATTTCCTCTAGAAATGCTTTTTGACTGAGCAATATAGAATGCTGCTGATGGTTACTACTGCTAAAAGTACTCTGGGTGAGAGTACTCTGGAGGCAAGGGTTTCTAACACAGTTATCTTACAGCTTTTCAACTGCATCGACTTAGTTGTCAAGGACTAGATCCATCTCTTGTGAAAACCATTCACTGATTTTTCCACTTGAAGTTCACTTAGTTAATGAGCCATTGTCACCTCTGTCTGAAGGAACACAGAACTCTAGAGTTCTGCAATAACTGGAGAACCAAGTAATGCTTTGAGCCAGTTCCTATTACTCTGCTTCCCTCTCCGCACTTCCTCCTATGGTTCTAAGTTTAGAAAGTGTAGAACAGTGGAACTTTAAGGACTCTGAAAGCTAAACACAGCTACTTTCTGTTTAATATTGTTACAATATTGGCTCAAGAATATTTGAGCAAATTTACTGGTGGTCACTTAGAGGTTACTTAGAGGAATTTGGAGGTATTGGTTGTCTGTCTTGACTAAATTTTTTAGCTGCCATTCTCTTTGGAGTACTTTGCCAAATTTTTGCTGTTTGATGAAACATGTCTCTGGGGCATAGTGGCAGGTTATATGTTCTTATTTACTATTCAGGTTATGAGGAATTCAGACATTTCTGTGTAGAAAATATGAATGCTTGCCAATAAACCTTCATGAGTATTTTTATTTCCATTCAGATTCACCAGGATACAAGGCTCACCAAACATGTACCTTTACTCAAAAAGACACTAGAGCTACTAGTTTGCAGAGTCAAAGCTATGCTTGTCCTTAACAACTGTAGAGAGGCTTTCTGGCTGGGTAATCTCAAAAACCGGGACTTGCAGGTAAGCCTTGGGACCATCAGTAATAATCACCTCTCTTTTTGTTTTCCTACTAAGACTACTTTTTGCCGGGAGCCTATTGCCCACACCTATAATCCTGGCTACTCAGGAATAGAGATCTGGAAGATCATGGTGCAAAGCCATTCTGGGCAAATAGTTCTCAAGACCTTTCTCAAAAATACCCAACACAAAACAAGGCTGGGGGAATGGTTCAAGTGAGAGTGCCTGCTTAGCAAGTATGAGGCCCTGAGTTCAAACCCCAGCAACGCCTGGATAGTTTAGTTCATAAAGTTAAGGTACATTGCTTATTGGCCCTGTTCACAGGCTATACCCTTTATCCCAGGCAGCAAAGGTACCAAAATATACCATTATTGTAAACAAGTCCTCAGAGACAGAGGAGCCAGATCACAACAACCTCTCTTTACTGCTAGAAGAGCACTTTTAAGCCCTGCTGAGAGTAGATTCATAGTATTTTTGTATGAACAAACTTTAGTTTTGTTACCTTGAATTTTTTTCCTTAAACCAGTATGTCTTATTCCTGAAGCCAGCATCTGGCTAATTTTAACAAATGAGCATTTCTGATTGGCTGAAATCTTGGGTTGTTTATAATACTGCCTTGTAGTCGTAACATTTTTTACTTTTGGTCCAAGCCTTCTCATTCATGTTTATGATACCTGAATTTTATAATTGGCTATCTGTGAAAAGAGTAGATCACAGAGAATTCGTTTCCTTATGAGGAAGATTCTGTTGTTTCCTTGAGAAAAGAAGTGCACAGAATTAACTTACATAAGGCCGTTTAGCAGTAAGTGAATGGAGCCAAGGTTTAGGTTCAAACAGTCCTGTTCTAGAGGAGTTGTTCTTAAACCACTTCACTACACTATTCTTTGGCCTCTACATGGCTGTTCGTGGTAGGGTATGCTGGTGCTTATATGTCTTAAGGTATTGGGAAATTTTAGATCCATATCACTATTATCTGAAAGTCACCAGTACAACCTGGCCTTGTAAAATCTAGTGCAATAATATATACAAGATAGACCATTTGTAGAAATATATATTATTACTTTAATACCATATGCCTCTGTGGTCATTCAGAAACCTCTGTGGTATTTGAATACCCTTTTTCTAGATTCTGGATCACAAGTTGGTATCTGTATTTTGAATGGCTAGAATTATCTTTCTCTCTATTGCCTATATACTCAAAACCTTTCTCCTAAGACTACAGATGTGACCATTACAGCCCACCATTTGACTTGGTCCTTCGATATTTAGGGTGAAGAGATTATGTCACAGAATTCCCAGGAGAGCACAGCAGAGGGGAGTGAGGATGGCAGGACATCCCAGGTCTCTAACAGCAAAGCAACAGAGGTATCTGTGCAAAGGGTACCAGTTTGGCATTGATGGTTACATTTTGTTAACTATTCTGAGTCGGTAGAGATTGAAGAACGTTCCCTTCTTATATTTGTTATTGAATATTTCTATGCCCATCTCCATTCCTTCCCCCGAAAACCTCTGTGCTTATATGAATAATCTGGGGCCCAGACAAAACAATTATACAATCTTAGAATCACTCTTGAGTACCTTATACTGTGGCATGTGTTTCCAGCCTTTCAAGGGGCTGAGGACATCGCTCAACAGTAGAGCATGTGCTTAACATGTGGAAGTCCTTGGGTTTGATCCCAGTTCCAAAAACAAAGACAGAAAGGAAAAAAAGAACTTTATCTCCCATTATGTTGCCTCCTGTTTTCCATGAACTTGGTTTTACCATTTTAGAAGGGAGAAAAGAAGACATCAGAATATTCTTGGAGCATTGAGAAAGCGAGTTTTAAACCATTTAAACATGTTTTGACATAGAAAAATAAAAATGTAAAAACTGAAGCCTGGAGTCAGGCTGCTATCACAGAGGAATAAAATAATAGAGGTCCTTATTATCTTCTGTGGATAAATGCTTTTGTAAATTTAAAGAAAGCTAAATAAGCACAAGGCTCTGAATTCAATCCTCAGTACAGAGAGAGGGGGAGAGAGAGAAAAAGAGTGTGTTTTGCTATAATTCAGGTGGATTCTGGGTGCTAAGAAGTTCAGATGTAAGAACCTCTCCTGAGAAAGAGGAGGGAAACAAGGAGGCAGAGAGTGAGGGATGGAAAAGAAGATAGGTTTGTGTTTATAAAATTTTGTTGCAGTTGGACTGGAGGCATGGCTCAAGTGATGAAGCACTAACCAGTGCAAAGTCCTGAGTTCAAACCCCAGTACCATCAAAAAATAAAAAGTAAATTAAAAATATTTCAGATATTAAGCTGGGTGCCAGTGGGTCATGCCTGTAATCTTAATTACTTGGGAGGCTGAGATCAGAAGGTTCACAGTTCAAGGCCAGCTTGGGCAAATAGTTCAAGAGACCCCCATCTCCAAAATAACAAGAGCAAAAGGACTGGAGGTGAGGCTCAAGTGTTAGAGCACCTGCTTTGCAAGCAAAGCCTTGAGTTCAAACCCCAACCCCATCAAAAAAAAAAAAATTGCTACAGTAGGTTTAAGAAGTTCATATATAAGACCCCTGCTGTGGAGTTTGTCTCTAATTGAATTTAAAACTGAGGCAGAAAGATTGTTCACTAAGTCCTTTTATTTGTATGGTTGTTTTGTTTGTATTTAATATACATCCTCTTCCTGGTTCTCAACAAGAATTTGAAGCTGCCAGGCATGGTGACTCCATACTGGCAGTCCTAGGTACTTGAGAGGTAGAGATCGAGAATTGTGGTTAGAGGCCAGCTGGGGAGGGGGGAACTTGTGAGACCTCCCCTCTCAACCAATAAAAAGCTGGACATAATGGCACGTGCCTATCTTCACAACTATGTGGGAAGCATAAATAGGATCACAGTCCAAGATGGCCTGGGCATAAACATGAGACCCTGTTTGAAATATAACTAAAGCAAAAAGGGCTGGAGGGCAGGGATGGACTCAAGTGGTAAAGCACTAGCAATGCAAGGCCCTGAGTTCAAACTCCCAAGTACTTCAAAAAGTAAGCAAAAAAGAAAGGGGAAGGAGGGAGGAAAAGAGACCGAGAGAGAGAGAGAGAAAGAAAGAAAGAGAGAGAGAGAAAGGGAGGGAGGGAGGGAGGCAGGCAGGAGAAGATGAATTTTGAGGCAGACAGTATCCTATTAATTTGGTACTTTGTCCTAAACAAACCTTTCCTACTAGAGTGGCAAACCAGACAGATTTTTTATGATTCCTATTGAGATATCCCAGGTTTTTTTGTTTTGATTTGTTTCCAGTGTGGGGCTTCAACTCAGGGCCTCACGCTTGATAGACAGACACTCTACCACTTGAGCCACTTGCCCACCCATTGCCAGTACTTGTTGTAATTATTTATTTTGGACACAGTCTCACTATGTAGCCCAGACTGGACTTGAACTCCATCCTCCTACCTTAGTCTCCTTAATGCTGGGATTACAGGTTTGCCCAACTTCATTCTATATTATTGAATGATAATGTCACTTTTTTCCTATGTCACATTCATGAAGAAGAGCTAGAGGGTAACAGGTTATTTAAAAATCATGCGTGTGTGGGGCATGGTATTGCACGCCTATAATCCTAGCATTCAGGAGGCTGGAGCAGGAGGACCTCAAATTTCAGGCCAGTTTGGGCTACATTGTGAGACACTGTCTTAGAAAACAACAAATTCAACAAAACATAGGCTGGTCATGGTTGCACATGCCTGATGTGCCAAAACTTGGGAGGCTGAAGCAGGAAGATCATGAGTTTGAGGCTGGCATGGGCTACATAGTGAGACTTTATCAAAACACACAAAAAAAAATCATGCATGGGCTAGGGATTTAGCTCAGTGGTAGTATGCTTGCCTAGCATGGACAAGGCCTTGGGTTTGATCCTCAGCACAACCAGAAAACAAAAAATAAGTTCTGGAGATATAGTTCAGTGGAAGAGTACTTGCTTACCATGTTTAAATCCCTGAGTTTGAGCCCTAGAAACACACACACACACTAACAATCACACAAATCTGATTCATTTAATATGGCATAAGTATCAAAATGATCTCCCTGGTCATGAGTAGCTTACACCTGTAATTCTAGCTACTCAGGAGGCAGAGATCAGGAAGATCGCCGTTCAAAGCCAGCCCTGGGCAAATAGTTCGTTAGACCATCTCAAAAACACCCAACACAAAAAGGACTGGTGGAGTAGCTCAAATGGTAGAGCGCCTGCCTAGTAAGCATGAAGTCCTGAGTTCAAACCCCAGTACTGCAAAAAAAAAAAAAAACAAAACCAAAATGACCTCCGTCCATGGTCTTGGCTTATAGTTCATGGTTTCAAGAAGAATGGGATTTCTGGCTGTGGTGGTGCACACTTGTGCTGGCATTACAAGACCTAGGCAGGAGCATTGTAAGTTCCATGCCAGCCTGAGTTACTTACCCTGTCTCATAAAAAGGAGAATGGGAGAGCTTCATCTTACAAATGAGTGTTTTAAAATCTATTATTGACTTTAACAATGAAAACAATATAGTTATTTGTCTTTGGGGTATATAGTGCAATTCATGGGATCACCCAGAAAATACTTACATTTCTCCTTTGCTCCTTAGGATGATGAAGAAAATGAAGAAAGTGATGGAAAAAAGGAGCAAGATAGTGAGGAGAATGATGACAACTCTGATTAGACCCCATACTCACTCTTGCCCCCTTCATCTCTATTCAGGGTTTAAAATCTGATGTCTGCCTTTCTTATTGGAAGCATCCTGTTTTGTCCTTTAAGAGGGTGTTTTATTTACTTAAGTTGTTGAATGCCAGCACAGTTTGGGCTCAGGATTCCAGTGTAGCAGCATTTGCTGGTTTGGGTAGACATGGCAGTGTACTACAGATTAAAAGGAGTCATGATTCTTAGCTTTGGGAGCTAGTTTTGAAACTGTTTGTTCTAGAATTTAGGTTTACATATGCTGTACAAATAAATTCTAAGTTTGGCCTTATTTCTGTTTTTAGATTTCTCTCATTATTCAGAAGTTAAGTTGAATTGAACTGAGGTTTGTACAGAGACACACATGTACTGGTGTCAACATAGATCTATCACCTAAAGTCATGTTCCCTATTATAAAGATCATTTTCATTTATGATGAGATCTTTGTGATCTTTCTGGTTGTGGTTTGGTTTTGGAGAGGGGGGTTTGTTTTGTTTTGTTTTTCATGGGACTGGGGTTTGAACTCAGGGCCTCATGCTTGCTAGGCAGGCACTCTTACCACTTGAGCCACAGCACCAGCTCTGTGATATTTCCTGAGAAGTAATTTAAGCTTCTTGTCAATGCCCAAAGAAAGTCAAAAGGAATATTTTAGCTACCTTTTAAAATTTTTTTGGTGATTATATTAGTAGAAGACAAAGGAAGAAAATGCATCATCAAACTTATGCTGACTTTGTATATGCATATGTTTATTTCCACATTATTCAGAGTTATAGCTACATTCTAGTTAAAAGAATGCTACAACTTTTTTTCTAAAACAGATGCTACAAAATTAATTGCAGTTTATTAGAAATAGAACATTAAGAGTATACTTTAGCTAAAACAGGGACTCTCCTATCTTCTTCCAGAAAGCGTAGCTTCAGTGTTGCAATGAAATTAATTCCTTCTGGGCTGCAGGGATTGTTTAATGTAATATTACTACCCACTTTAAAATAGTACTTTATGATGTGGGGTTAGGGAATTTTTTTTTTTTGTCATCGTTTTGATGGTAAAGTCTGTTTTTAAACGAATCCTTGACCCACATTAAGATCTTTCAACCCTGGAACACACACACAAGAAAAAGCATTTTCAACCCCTTTATTCTATGGTTCAAAGAAATCCATACATCGCTTTTCTTGACATACCCTTTTTTTCCCAACTCATTGTTAATCTTTGGTGTTTCAGTGAGTTCACACTAGACTTGTTGGTTTATATGGTTTATTTAATGGTTCTTTATCACATGTACATGTCAATACTAGTTTGACTCTCTTAAACTGTTGTTCAACTTTACAATGGAAATGTTCTCCCTTGCTCTGTATCACTGGTCCTGTTTTTGGACAGAAAAGGAGGAAAGGGGCTCCTGCATTGTCACTGCTTGACAGAAAAGCAAAATATCTGGAGCGATAGCCCAGTTCCATTTACCAGGACAGGTTTGTGTGAGCTTCAGGTACATACCAAAGGGCATGGTGTGAACAACTGCACATCAGTCAGCCAGACAGGACCCTTTACTTGGAGTGTTGCAAGGCAAAAGTGCACTTCTTGTAGGTTGCATACAGCAAGAGGATAGAGCGTAGCATCTGTTTGCACATAGTCACTGTCATTTGAATCTGAGGCTCCTTAAGTCCAGTGGGCCACTGGTGCTCCCTGCTGATAATTTTGCAAAATGCTGACTTGTCTGAAACTCTGAAGGTCCCCGTCCACTTGGGTGGCTGAGCCGTGATGACCCTGCCAAAGACAGAATCCACTCCACTGAGGCGGACAGGCTGGGGCTTCCTGACTAGTCCTTTCTTGTTGTTCATGGTTCGGAGGTCTGATGTGTGACAGGGTAACTTGGGACTTACTCCTGGTTCCAGGAATGGGCTGTCTAAGACTAGAGTGACCTCTTGAAAGCATAGCTGCACTTCAAGGTCAGAGGGGGTGTGTGCAAAGCAGGGGGAAGCCCTAAATGGGTGTTTGGAGGAAGGGGTAGGTGTTGTATGCCGCAGCCATTGGAAGCTCTCATCCAGTGGGGTCCATGGTGACCAGAGCTGGTATCCTGCCATTGACAATCCTAAAGGAGAGGAATCAAACATGGAATTTCCCTGGTGTGCTTTTTGTAGAGGTATGGCTGTGCAAATTCATCTCTTTCATTAGTGATTTAAACTTTGTGGTTCCCACTGAACAGATTATAGTAGGTGACAGGGCAATAAGTGATGGTAACAAATACTGATGTGACAACTGCTATGTATACTAAAACTTTGTTAAACCTTTTCACAAGCCCCTGAAGATGATTTAACCCATTCTACAGATGAGGAAATAAATTTGTCTGAAATGGAATATCCCAGTCCACTATTGGGACCTGTGCTGTAATTGGTAACTGCTAATGACAGAATCGATGCCTGTTGGGTTTCATGATGAGACCTGACTTTGAGATTAGAAGCAGCTCAGGAGGGCCATGTGACTCTAACTCCATGTACTTTACACCAGTGGTTCTCAAAGTACGACCAACCTCTAGACTAGCAACTTTAACATCATTTGGGAATTTGGTAGAAATGCAAATTCTTGGACCCTATGTCAGACCTATAGAATCAAACTAGGGTGGGGTACAGAAGACAACATTTATAAAACCCTCCAGGGGATTCTGTTGTACTTTAGTTTGAGAACAACTTATGGTGCTCCAGCTTTCACTAGTATGGAGAAAGTCTCCTGTTGGCCCTAAAAGGCTCTCTGTTTTCTGATTCAAGAGAGTAGCTCTACAAGAGCCCTATGTATCTTATGTACCACTTCAGAGCAGTTACACAGACTAAGGGGAAGTTTCCAAGACAAGTCTTTAAAATTTGTTAAGATTTTTGGGAGGAGGTGGCCCAAATAATGTATACATGTGTAAGTAAAGGTAAAAACGACAACTAAAATTTAAAAAATAAATGAAGCAATCAAAGAAAAAAAGATTTGCTTCCACACCTGGGAGGAGGGGGAAGGTATAGGTGGCTATTTTTCTTTTTCATCTGTGAGAGACCCACTCTTTAATACCTTAAATTTTATCTTTGAAGATAAAGGACTGAAAGGATATTGGTAACTCAAAATTTATCCAAGACGAAATTGGACTCCCATCATTCTACTTCAGAATCGCCAAAATCAGGCGATGCTTAACATTTTTGAGCACCTACCTGTTATGTTGAGGAACTTGCCAGGTCCCTTTTCTTTCCAGCCAAGTATATTTCTCTGTCCCTTCTCACTTGTCCCACAAAAGCAGATCTTATCCCATCCCTTCCAGAAATTGCCACTGTTGAGCACTTGACATCCCCACTATAGCTTATGACTGTGGACTTCATTTAAAAAAAAAAAAAAAGCTGTTGAGCCAGGCACTGGTGGCTTATACCTGTAATCCTACCTACTTAGGAGGTGAGACCCCATCTCCAAAATAACCAGACCAAAATGGACTGGAGGTCGTGGGTCAAGTGGTAGAGTACCTACCTAGCAAGTGTGAGGCCCTGGTTTCAACCCCCAGTAATGAAAAAATAAGCTTTGGTGACATTTCAGACCAGAAATATCCCTGACAGTGGCTAGTATTAAGGAGATTTGTTGATGTCCTCCACCTGGTATGTTTCTCATCTATGCAGTCCCTTTGGAAATTAGTAAGTGTTCACATGTCTGGACTGCCTTAGGATGAGAAACTGACAAAGGACAGTTACCTATCCCAAATAGCCTATGAAAGGCTTCTGATGCTTGATACCTTGACCTTCAGAGACTATATCCAAGATCAGGGCGCTTTGACACACCACCCATGGCAAGGTGGGGTGGAGGGTATTAACTTCTCTGAACACATATCCAAAAAAATGTATTTAATCGCAGGATTCTTTACTTGACTCATTTAAGAGGAAATGAAGCCAAAGGTTAAAAGACTCAAATGCCTGGCCTAAATCTACAGGGAACAAGATGGCTTTTCACTAGCTCTTTCCACTTCTTCACATAAGGCTTAAATAAAAATGACTCTGCCCGCATCCCCAGCACCTGGTGTCACTACCATGCATTCCAGGATGGGTTGAACCTAGGAAGTCTGTCCAAACTGCTCTAATAGCTTCCAGACAGGGATACAAAAAGGCTTCCCCTTCATTGGCTTCGCCCGTTCCAAGGAGCCTGGTCCCTTCATTTCCCCACCTGGGAAAGAGGAAGGCAGCGCCAAAGCGCAGCTGAGGTCCTCATGAACTGTAAACACATCCCGAGGGGCTGGAGTGCTTGGAGGAGGGCCTTGTCCCCCGGGAGGTCCCTCCCCGGGGGCGGGGGCCACCTGGCCCTGGCCAAGGCGGAGGCGGCGGTGGGAGCCCGGCCCCGGGCCCACCATCACCATCCGGGCCGGGGGCTCACCTGCTGAACACCGCGCGGGACGCACGCTCCAGAGTGGCGGCCGCATCTTCTTCCCACCGGCGCCTGGCAACCGCCTTTGTGATTCAGGACCGCTGGGGAGCCCGAGCCGGGGCGAGGGTGGGGCGGGGACTCCAGGATGAACCTCCTGGCCCCCTCTATTCGAAAGGCCTTGTCTAGGATTCAAGGATGGCAGAGGGGTGGTTCGAATCCTACCCCTCTGCTGTCCCCACCCCCGTACCTGCGCGTCTTTGATTAGCGCGCAGAGGACAGACACCCCCCACTTCAAAATCTGTGCTCAGGTATAAAAGCCCTACATATAAGTCCTGGAACAAAAATTAATCTCTGCTCATTTTCAGGCAGAGTGACCCATAGTTCTGAAGGCTTTTATGATTGCGTTAGAGCGATTACAGCGGAAGGAGACAGAATTTATTATATACTCTCACCTATCAAGAGAAAGATAGGTCTTTCCTTGACTTCCTGAGTGAAAACCTCTATCTTCAATTCAACCTCAAAAATGACGATTCTGTTCTCTTTTACAATACCGAAAAACTGATGGCTTTCTTACTATATCGGGAAAAAAAAAAAGGTTTGACAACTTTGTGAGCATCACTTCAACTGCTTTAGGTGGCAGGAGTGCACCCAGCCAACTCCTTTATCCCCAGTGCTTGGCAGTGGGAAATATTTGTGGGGGAAATTAATGGCCCACCTGTCCTTTTCTTGCACACCTAGAATTGCTCTTGCATTTTGCCAATTGCAGAACAGAGCATCAGTAAGAGTTTGTTACCTGTTGTCTGTTCTTTGGTGAAACAGAAACTGAGGACCTGAGGATGGGGTCAGTCTGGTATCCTGGTTTGGAAGACTATAGTCAAGATGAATTGGCCTCTGCCCAGTGTGTGTGCTTGTGCTCCCAGCTCCATGTAAGGGGAAAAGTTTGGAGGGGAGTCAGAAAATGGAGAATGGAGCACAAAATAACAGGACTTGGAAGAGGTGCAAATGACTTGGAATTACAAAACTTTTTTCCCCAATTTATTTTTATTTTCCTCCTATTGAAGAAGAAACAATAGACACCTGTTATTTAAAAAGGCAAACGAAACCATATTTTTTATTGCACAGTAGCGTTTGGAAAAAAAAAAAAAATCAAAGTCCCAGCTGGGCAGTGGTGGCTCATGCCTGTAATCCTAGCTCTCTCTGGAGGCAGAGATTAGGTGGATCAAAGTTCGAAGCCAGCCCCTGGCTGGGGGTGGGGTGGGGGAGTGGAGCGAGCACTCAGGCGAGGACGTGACTGCGGACGTGACTGCGCAGGCGCACCACCAAGCCGCACCTTCGCAGGCGCCGGAAGAAGGGCGTGGGCCGGAAGTGCATGCGCACTGGGGGTCTGTGGGGTCGGAGCGCCTGCGCAATCAACTCTCCCTTAGGTGGCCGCCATGGCTGGGCAAGAGGATCCAGTGCAGCGGGAGATTCACCAGGACTGGGCGAACCGGGAGTACATTGAGGTCATCACCAGCAGCATCAAGAAAATCGCGGACTTTCTCAACTCGTTCGGTCAGCGGGCGAGCAGGGGATTCGGGGAGGAGGGGGACCTCGGAGCGGCTCCGCGGGGCGCTGAGGAGAAGCTTTGGGGGACTCCCCGAGAGCCTGCTGCTAGGGCTGGCTTTCGTTCCCTCCTGCAGGCTCCACCTGCCCTCAGAACCCACTAGGCAGTCTTTGTCCTGCCCTAATTTGGTGGTTTCATTGCCATCCCACCCCAACCCACTAATGCGTCTTCGGCTCAGACTCATCAGGCAGCAGCTTGAACCTTCCGTGGCCTCCCTGCCTCCTTTGACTTTTGACCCTTCCTCATGTCCTTCAGGATCAAGTCGAAACCCTTTAACACCTTGAGGTTTAGTCGCCTACCCCCACCCTCCCAGCCTTTCCCCTGCCATTCCTTGCCGTCCCCAGTTAGGGCGAGCTGAGCATTGTAGGAGGGGGAGGTCCTCTCTGTATTGGTAGTTCATGGTAGGCGTCTGTCAGCTTCTAGCCTTTCCTCGGAGCTAACCCAGGGCAGGTGCTTTCAGCAAAGTGACAGCTTTCCTAAAATCTTTTCTGGCCATGGCCTGATCGTGACAGCCTTCCATTCTTTCTGCACTGTTCGTGTCCTTCTGCACAGCAGTCTTGTAACGGACTTCTTCTGCAAGTGTTCTCCAAGTGTTTCTTTCAGAAAACTTTCGTTGAGTGTAATTACAAAATACAGACATGACATCTAGTGATCTTTTTCAGCTTGTGTATTTTGGTTCCATTAATTCAGCAACATTAAACAATTAAGACTAAATAGGAGAAACTGTTGTCAAAGGAAAGTTTAAATTATTATAAAAATTTTATTAGGATATAATTTATACTAATAAATTATATTGTTAGTATACTAAGAAAAGAATTCGAAGTCGATTATTTTGTATCTAGTAATTGAGTTCTAAGTAGTATAAAGGTAAGGAAGTAACAAGTTTGTCTGTGGTCGGGTGTGTAGCTCAGAGGTACAGAGCCTCTTAGAATGCACAAACAAGGCCATGGGTTCCAACCCCAGCAGTACCCCCCAAAAAGGGGAAGAGTTTTGTCAGAAGAAAAACAAAAGAAAAGAGAATTTTCTAAAAAGCATCAGCAGGAGAAACTAGTTCTTTCTACATCTCTCTCTCTCTTTGGCACTGTGGGGTAACACAATAACCATTTCTTGCATTTGAAGATGAAATAATAATAACTTCAGGAGAAAGCAGAACATTGTTTTTTTACTAACATATACAAATGTGTATAGGACAGTAATCTTGATACTATTGTATAATAATAGATTTCTTTGTCAGGGAATGGAGGTAGAGACAATAAGAGAATAGTATTAATATATGTCAGTGATGTATATTCACATACAAATTGCTGTAGAGGGGTAGTAGTAGGGAATCGTAGACAAGCAATCATACAGCTCAGGTATCTTAAAAATGTTTTTGTAAAGGAATATTATATGAAGGAATATAGTTTAGTGGAAAAGATAGGTGGGCTTGGAATTAGGAGACTCCAGGAGGCTTGGGTAATTGATTTTACTGAACTGAAAACGTTTGAGAAATTCTCATCTCTTTACCTTGCTACACATATAGTCTGGTTTTTCTCAAGAAGTTTTATTTATTTATTTATTTTTGCAGTACTAGGGTTGAACTCAGGGCTTTCACCTTGAGCCACTCCACCAGCCCTACTTTTGTGATGAGTTTTTTCGAGATAGGGTCTCTCAGAACTGTTTGCTGGGGCTGGCTTCAAACTGAGATCCTCCTGATCTCTGCCTTCCGAGTAGCTAGGATTACAGATGTGAGCCACCTGTGCCTGACTCTGAAGTTTATTTTTGTGAGTAAAGTGGGAGGATTTATTGAGATAGAAAAGTATATAGTGGGAGGGTAGAACCCCCTGAGCTGATGCCCGGAGAACTGAAATTATGTTAGAGGGTTTTTAGGCAGTACAAAAATCTGAACTCGGTCTCATGCTTGCTAGGCAGGTGCTCTTACCACTTGAGCCACTCCATCCGCTCTTTTGTGTTGAGTGTTTTCAAGATAAGGCTTCCAACCATGATCCGCCTGCCTGGTTGGTGGAGGTTCTTTATGGCATTCCTTACTCGTAACATCGCCTCAGAGAAAGATAAAAGAAGCTGAAAAATTCCATAGTAGAGAACACAATGAAATGATAGGATCATGTGTTGATACTTTGGCTTTGTATAGAGAGGCAGTGGAAAGTAGCTATTTGGAACACTGGGTACTGTTGGCTCATGCCTATTATAATTATAGCTACATGGGAGGTTGAGAGCAGGAGGATAGCAGTTTGAGGCCGGTCTAGGCAAATAGTTTGTGAGATCCCATCTCTAAAATAACCAGAGCAAAATGGGCTGGAGGCATAGCTCAAGTGATAGAGTGCCTGCTTTGCAAGTGTTCAAACCCCAGTCTCACCATCCCTACCCTCCCCCCAAAAGAAAGTAAGTAAATGGAAAAAATGACTCACACGGAGAGTTTTAAATAGCAAAATTAAAAGACTTCATTTATCTAGTAGGAGTTAATACCTGACATTCACATACAGAATAACATCAAACCAAAATATTAGTGTCAATTCAGTAAGGAAAGCATCAAAAATAAGTTAAACTGGGGCTGCATTTCAAGATTTAGAAGTGGTCTAGTATCTAAGTCTCCCACATTTGGATTCCAGTAATATAATAACTGTGTTAGTAAACTTTATTTTTGCTATGCTGCCCTGACTGGCCTCAAACCTCTGGGTGCAAATGATTTTCCTGCCTCAACTCCCAAGTAGCTAAGACTATAGGTATGAATCACCATGCCTCTCTGTATTAAGCAATTTTTTCTTTTTTTTTTTTTTTTTTTTTTTCATTTTTTCTTTTATTATTCATATGTGCATACAAGGCTTGGTTCATTTCTCCCCCCTGCCCCCACCCCTCCCTTACCACCCACTCGCCCCCTCCCTCTCCCCCCAATACCCAGCAGAAACTATTTTGCCCTTATTCTAATTTTGTTGTAGAGAGAGTGTAAGCAATAATAGGAAGGAACAAGGGTTTTTGCTGGTTGAGATAAGGATAGCTATACAGGGCATTGACTCACATTGATTTCCTGTGCGTGGGTGTTACCTTCTAGGTTAATTCTTTTTGATCTAACCTTTTCTCTAGTTCCTGGTCCCCTTTTCCTATTGGCCTCAGTTGCTTTAAGGTATCTGCTTTAGTTTCTCTGCGTTAAGGGCAACAAATGCTAGCTAGTTTTTTAGGTGTCTTACCTATCCTCACCCCTCCCTTGTGTGCTCTCGCTTTTATCATGTGCTCATAGTCCAATCCCCTTGTTGTGTTTGCCCTTGATCTAATGTCCACATATGAGGGAGAACATACGATTTTTGGTCTTTTGGGCCAGGCTAACCTCACTCAGAATGATGTTCTCCAATTCCATCCATTTACCAGCGAATGATAACATTTCGTTCTTCTTCATGGCTGCATAAAATTCCATTGTGTATAGATACCACATTTTCTTAATCCATTCGTCAGTGTGGGGCATCTTGGCTGTTTCCATAACTTGGCTATTGTGAATAGTGCCGCAATAAACATGGATGTGCAGGTGCCTCTGGAGTAACAGTCTTTTGGGTATATCCCAAGAGTGGTATTGCTGGATCAAATGGTAGATCGATGTCCAGCTTTTTAAGTAGCCTCCAAATTTTTTTCCAGAGTGGTTGTACTAGTCTACATTCCCACCAACAGTGTAAGAGGGTTCCTTTTTCCCCGCATCCTCGCCAACACCTGTTGTTGGTGGTGTTGCTGATGATGGCTATTCTAACAGGGGTGAGGTGGAATCTTAGTGTGGTTTTAATTTGCATTTCCTTTATTGCTAGAGATGGTGAGCATTTTTTCATGTGTTTTCTGGCCATTTGAATTTCTTCTTTTGAGAAAGTTCTGTTTAGTTCACTGCCCATTTCTTTATTGGTTCATTAGTTTTGGGAGAATTTAGTTTTTTAAGTTCCCTGTATATTCTGGTTATCAGTCCTTTGTCTGATGTATAGTTGGCAAATATTTTCTCCCACTCTGTGGGTGTTCTCTTCAGTTTAGAGACCATTTCTTTTGATGAACAGAAGCTTTTTAGTTTTATGAGGTCCCATTTATCTATGCTATCTCTTAGTTGCTGTGCTGCTGGGGTTTCATTGAGAAAGTTCTTACCTATACCTACTAACTCCAGAGTATTTCCTACTCTTTCTTGTATCAACTTAAGAGTTTGGGGTCTGATATTAAGATCCTTGATCCATTTTGAGTTAATCTTGGTATAGGGTGATATACATGGATCTAGTTTCAGTTTTTTGCAGACTGCTAACCAGTTTTCCCAGCAGTTTTTGTTGAAGAGGCTGCTATTTCTCCATCGTATATTTTTAGCTCCTTTGTCAAAGATAAGTTGCTTATAGTTGTGTGGCTTCATATCTGGATCCTCTATTCTGTTCCACTGGTCTTCATGTCTGTTTTTGTGCCAGTACCATGCTGTTTTTATTGTTATTGCTTTGTAATATAGTTTGAAGTCAGGTATTGTGATACCTCCTGCATTGTTCTTTTGACTGAGTATTGCCTTGGCTATTTGTGGCCTCTTGTGTTTCCCTATAAATTTCACAGTAGATTTTTCAATCTCTTTAATGAATGTCATTGGAATTTTGATGGGAATTGCATTAAACATGTAGATTATTTTTGGGAGTATCGACATTTTTACTATGTTGATTCTACCAATCCATGTGCATGGGAGATCTCTCCACTTTCTATAGTCTTCCTCAATCTCTTTCTTCAGAAGTGTATAGTTTTCCTTGTAGAGGTCTTTCCACCAGCCCTTTTTTATGATGAGTTTTTTTTTTCAAGATATGATCTCTTGAACTATGTGCCCAGACTGCCTTTGAACCCTGATCCTCCTGATCTCTGCCTCCTGAGTAGCTAGGATTACAGGTATGTGCCACTGGTGCTGGTGCCTGGCTAGGTTCTTGAACTTTTAATTGGTGCAGTGGTTATTTGCTTTGGTGAC